CAGGAAGTGGCTCTTAACTAGGCCGCACTTGCTCCGATCTGCCCCAAACTCGACATGCAGGATCACAGTCCCGCCCGGAGCAGGTTTGCGCCACACCCCGCCGTGCGCGAAGGCCGACAAGCGTAGGGCGAGGACCCGTCCATCGCCGCTTGCGGCTTTAGTTCGAAGAAGAATTTTCTCTCAGAATAAAAAACTGAAAAAGATGCAGTCTGTAGATTATCCAGAGTAACCAGAGGTTTGTTTAATTAGGTTTACCAAATAAGCCAGGCTTATTTCAGTAAGTCCAACTTACCTAGAAAGCAAATTCAGCATAGCTCAAGCTCGATTTCTCTGTAAACTTTCCATTTTTTATTGTTTATACGAAGAAGATTTTTCTCTCAGGACAAAAACTGAAAACAATGCGTTCTTAAGATTATCCAGTGGCCTGCTCCATGAAGTTAGCTTGCCAAATAAGCCAGACTTATTTCAGTAACTCCGACTTACCGTCAAAGCAAATTGAACTTGGTTCAAGCTCAGTTAATCTGTAAACTTGGGAAACTAAACTAACATCTTAATTCAGTATCTGTAGTAGCGTACAGAGATTTACAGTCGTGCGATTTTGAGCTACTTGTACTTTACTTAAGTACATTACTTTTACACAACTTTTTACTTCCACTTCATTTCATTTCAATATTCAATTTTCTGCTCCACTGCATTTATGTAGTTACTTAAAGCTGTAGATTTTGAACAATTGATAATATAACAAGCTTTAAAAATGTAAGAGTTAAAGATACAACCAGTGTTTTCCAACTTTTTTGGCTTCTTACAAAAAGCAGGGTGCAGTCTGACTCACATTTCAGGTGTCCAGCAAATAGTGATTTTCTCTTGAATTATTCCATCTCAAATCATCGGGTTCCTTCTGCTCGACCTTCTCTGGACTTTATTATTATGAACTTTGGATACTTAAAATGGTATCTGTGAAATTTTAGCTTAAAATATCAACTACTTTCTGAGACTTTTTTTTTTTGCACATGAAATCTGAGGCTGCGTTTGATTGATGATATCTCAGGAACTATTAAAGAGCCTGAAAATGTGACTGTTAGTTTTGATCATGATATTAAGTAAATCAGATATTCTTTAATGGGTGAGTTGAAAATGAAGGAAAGTCCCATTTCTGAGCTCATAAAACCTGCAGAAGTCAGCTAGTGATGTTATGTGAACCAGATGTAGCTGCACGTCATAATAATGTAAAATAAAACGTATACAATGTTGTTGGTTTTTTTTGTTTTTTTTTTTTAATCTTGAAATAATTGGTCATAAAAAATGAAAAAAGTTATTTCCATAAGTGATCGAGCAGCTATGACCAGTTGTACCACAAAAACAAAAAGTGCAAGAAAGCACCAAGAAAATGTTTTATCAAATATGACTAAATGTTATTTTTTTTCATGTGGGCATATTTTTCATAGAGTTCAGGCTTTTATTTTACAATAGTTCCTGAGATATTATCATCCAAACAGCCTTAAAATTCAATTTGAGAGAAAACGTGAAGAGAGTGGGTCGACGTGGAATTTAAAAAATATATTATCTTAGAAAGTATTTGAACTATGAAGCTAAAAATAAGTAATATCTATAAATATCCATATTTTATGCTATAAAACTTTCAAGCAAATCCGAGATGGTCCAGCAGAAGTTGTTGTAAAACTTTGATGATTTGAGACGGACTCACCGTCCTCTGAACTGCTCACATGCTTTAGTGAGACACAGAATCACAAACTGAAACAGGGTGAAGGACACAGATGGAAAGAAGTCATTTCAAAATGTCACTTTTTGCAACTTTAGCGAGTGGGAGAGAGTTTGTCAGAAGAATGTGACGGCAGCATGACCGTGAGAACTGCACCTTGACGTATCAAAAGTCCAGTTATTCTATTTGATAAGGACGAACAGAAAAGCGACTCTCACGCCAGGAGAGATAATGACCGAACGCTTCAGTGGCCTTTCCATTTGTCTGGCACAGAAAACCTCTCAAGACTGTATGTAAAGTAGTTCAGACCTGCAGATGATTCATTATTTATGATCTAATGATGCCAGATTAATAAAATATCAGTCAGAGGAGCTAAAAAAGGATTTTTACTTTAAAACTTAAACTATATTTTGATGCCAAAACTTTACCTCAATTCAGATTTTTAATGTAAGACTTGTACTGTTAAAGTGTTCACTGAGGAATCTGAATGCCACTGAACATTTCAGTGTCATAACGTCGTAGAAATTCACTGGGTGACACCTTCAAACATTAACAATCACATATTTACAGTGGACAATAATTATATGGCTTTTTCTTGCATCTTTCGGTTCTGTTTAAGTTTTAGGAGCCCTGACTTCACAGTTTAGATTTAGTCTCATTAAGCTCACTTTAGGGAGCAGTTTTTAAACAAACGAGTTCTGATAAACTCGCTGTATGTCTCAGCTGCAGCGCTCAGAAAGCAGGGAGACAAAGTTATCCACCAGCTGCTGAACACAGCGAAGCATTTAGCAGGTACAGTCCCAGATGTTTCCTCCACGAGTTGGTGGACAATATTGGAATTACATTCATCAGGTAGCCAGAAACTCAATTTCTAACTGGATGCTGAACAGTGTAGCAGCAAAAATAAGGTTTGGATAGGCTCTGAGCTGGAATGAATTGAAGTTTTACCTTTTATAAACAGTTTACTGCTATTTTACAGATTTTCCCAGTGTTGGTAAATTACTTTAGAAAAATAAATTACTTTTACTAATATTTAAAAAAAATGTTTTAAAAAGTGTTAAGATAATTGTTTACATTAAACATAAAATAAAAACACACTACATAAACTGTACATAATATCAGTGTCAAAAATCTGTGTCTTTTATAAATGCTAATTTATTCTTTTACAGTTTTTGGCACTAAAATTGCTTTTTTTCTGAATTTAGATCAGCAAAAGTATTATTTTATGGATATCTGCTGTTATTTGAAAGAAAAAATCTATATTAAGGATTGTAATGCTATAAAGTTCAATTCAATTCAATTTTATTTGTATAGCGCATATTTACAACAACAGTCATCTCATAGCGCTTCACAAAGGCAGAGACAGAAACACCCAACAATCCAAAACATCTGGATTCCCTACAAGCTTCAGCAGTCCGCAAGCAGTCTGCAACAGTGGGAAGGAACCGAGAACCCCCACAGGGGAAAAAAAACCTCCGACAGAACCAGGCTCAGGGAGGGACGGCCATCTGCCTCGACCGGTTGGGTGAGAGTGAGATGAATTACACAATTTAGTTTTGTTTTTTAGTTTGTTTTGGTTAAAAAAATAAATAAAATTTAAATTTAAAAATTAAACAACAGTCCAAAACTACAAATATGTCCACATCAAAAATCTGTATTTTACAACTTTTTGTTGTTTGTTTAAATTACTGATAATATCTTTTAAATGAGTTTGTTCTTTGACAAAGTTAACAATAAAACTACAGCGTTACTGTATATAACTGCTAAAAAAAAATCATCTTACAGACTTTTACCATTTTTACAACTTTCAACTTTACAGTACACAATTTTTAAAGTTTTTTGACACCTTTGCTGCCAGATTTTCAGGGTTTTTTTCTCCTTTTTTAGTGTAATTTGATAATATTTTCAAGTTTTTCAGCTCTTTAGTCGACAAAGTCAACCTGATGTGGATTGTAAAGGACTGTTACTGGATCTAAGCATGTGATAATATTTCTTGAAAGTCTTAAAACTTGATGAATATGGCTGTTTATAAAGTCATTATAGACAAACCACACAGATCAAATGTTAAAGAAAATACAGTTTAATTAAAAATCTTAATGGCTTAGGCATGAAAACATGGCAACACAATGAATGCTGAGGATATTAAAAAGACAATAAATAAAATCGTATCTACACAGGCAATAACGAAGCAATGAAGACAACTTTTTAGTAGGCAAGTTCCTGTTGAAAAGGCGAGTTAACATGATTACACCACACGGATTAATCAGCGGATCTGAACCGACGCGCCGGCTGAGCTTGTCGGCGGCTCTAAGAGGGGAAAGCGAGCGAGACGGCGGAGCCTCTGGCAGTGATTCAGGCCTCGAGTGGATCCTCGACACCTTCACGGTCCAGGAGTCCAAACGCTGAGATCAGGTGAAACACGAAGCCGAGGGACCTACGACACATTCTGTCACTGTCCGGGGGCGACACGAGGAGCAGCACAGCGCTTTAAAAATGCTTTTGGTTTTTTTTTTGGAGGGGGGTTAAAGCTGCAAAGATTTCTGTGGATTAACATTTGTACGACAATTTCAGGCTGGTCCGAGTGTCTTTAGAGGTTTTAACGACACTGGGCATGCTTTTGTTCTCCCAAGATCGTGGAGGCAAAACAGACAAAAAAAAACACAACAGGAAATTAAAATCAGCCTGATAAATACAGCAGTTATCTGTGCAGCCAAACACTGCGCTCAATAAAAGACAGAAATATGACTCAGTGCGTGATGGATCTTGTAAGAATTAATGACAATAAATCAAAACTGCAACATAAAGTCTCTACTTTGTGTCTTCAGTGAGCTACTGGGACAAAAAAAACACGTCCGAGGTCGCTCAAACTATCCCGTCGTTACGCAGTTTGTCCACCAGAGAGCGCTGAAGGTCGTTTTTCTAACTGTAAAAAGTCCCGCTTGGTGTATATTTGGTCACAAGATCTTTCATTACCAAATTTAAGGGCTCCTCAATAATAATATAAAATTAAAAACACAAACTTCAACTGATATACTTGTATTTTTTTTTAAACTTTCAAATGTCTATATTGGCCTTAATAAAAAAAAAAAACAACAAAAAATAAAACTATCTACCAAATGCCCCCGTGTGGAGTTAGTGAACATAAATATCTGAGAGAATCTGCTGTAATTTCCAGTTTGTTTTGGTTTGCTGGCGTGTGCAGGTTGTAATTGACAGAAGGCACATTTACTGTACATGTTACTGCAGAAAGTTAGACATTTAGTTTGGAAAGGGAAGATAATGAGAAATAGTGCTCATAATTAAACATTTCCACCACTTCTCTCTAAAGCAGAACTTCTGTTACTATGAATCCGCCTTGTTGCAGCGAATCGAGCATCTTGTACGCTTTAATTGCACCGTTTGCCTGCTGTGGCGTCTTTCAATGGTCGTTCTGATCCTCTTTTGGGATACTGAGCCTCGTGTAGATATGACAAAAGGTAGAAGGTGCCTGCGAGTGACTGCTGCTCATTTTTGGTCCACTGGAAAGAAACTAGAACCTGAGCGAAACCCACAACTTTAGACGACTGTTTAGTTGACTCAGTTTCATTTCTACACGCTGCTTTTGTGGGAGTGTGGCGGGACTTGAGACCAGCAGGTAATAAAAGTGATTTACTGGAAGAACGTTGAACTCACCGGATGGTCAACAATCTACTGAGCAACTTTCAAGAAAAATGAACAATACTGAGAGCTCACGCAGACGACACCGATGTTTACCAGAAGAACTGAGGTTTTGAGCAGATTATGGCGCTAGCGGTTTATCCTACGAGGATCCTGAAAAGTTAACAAAGCATTTTACGATGGCACCACAGGAAAAAAACAATCACTGAAGTCAGCAGGATTAAAGATGGAGTTTGGATTCTGGAGAAAGATTGTTGATATTTAGATAGTTAGCATATCTAAGTAGTTAGCACATGCTAGATTTACTGTTGCTCCCATTTTCCTTCATCTCCCAACTGAATTTGATGAAAATTGTGTTGGATTAGAGACACTTACTCCACCTTTAATCAAACATAAGTGCCTGTACGAAAGGTTTATGTCAACGTATCTGAAGGTTTTGGAGATATTTCCATGGTGGACCGAGCAACGTGGCATCAAAACACCGCCAGCTGAGTGTAAAGCAACAGTTTACGCTGTTAAAGACCTGTGACTTCCACTTATGTTGAGCCCTGTAAAAAGGTGGCACAAGAGTTCACTTTTTGTCTTATTGATTAAAGTAACGCCCTGCAGCCAGACTAAAGATAGAAACAATCTCATTTGAACAGAGCTGCAGCCAAAGATTATTTCATTATCAATTAACCTGCTGCAAATTTTCTCAATTAATTGTAACTGTGAATGTCAGAAAATCCTGAAAAGTGCCTGAGAAGTCCAAATGTCATGTTCTTACCCCTGAATTATCAACTTGCTACGTCGCATGAGAGCAAGAAACAGCAAATCGACACGACAGAAAATCTGGAACAACTGACTAGAAATGAAAAATCGATTCACAAACTAGTTGCAGATTATTTTTCTGTTTATCGACTGATTGATCTGCAAAAGCGCAATTTGGAACAACTGGTCCAGGTTTGAGGGTGGTGCTTAAATAACCTATAAAAGTGCACTGCAGAACATGAATGGCTCAGATATGTGTTGGTGCCACCTCTAGAAAAACTGAAAGTCCGGCTGAGTCGGCTCTCGTATCTTATGAAGTTGCTCAGGAGGTTGAGTACCAGCTGGTGACGTCCATCCCATAATGACTTCTATAGACTGCTGAGATGTTCATCCAGGACTTGTGGATTGTTTTAACCATGTTAAACGTATCCAGAGTTTAAATTAAGGAGCGAATGAGTTCTGGGAAGCGTCGCAACATCGATTTTAAAGATGTTAATTAATGCAGGCAACTTAAAAAAAAAAAAAAAAGAATCCAATCACTGGAATGTTTCTGCAAAAGCTGAGGGAGTGCTCGCTGTATTACCATCTCTGTGTCCTTTACATCTGTTCATTCATTACATACAACCCTGGCTTATTACACAGTACCTGAGTCCACATGACATTGCACCACCTTCAGTTTTTTTTTTTTTGCTTTAGAGCGGAGTGTAAATCCCTTCAGTCTGATTTCTGGTGAACCCTTTGAAGCTCTACTGGGCACAAATGCAGAGATAAATTCTGTGATGCTGAGCCGTTAGAATAAAAGCCCACAGCTCATGTTAAAGTTCTTTCGGTTCTTACTATGAAACTAGAAAAGTCTAGAGAAGCGTTCGACTAAATAAACCAGCCTTCAGTGTCGGACCACCACACGGTGGCGTGAAATCATGGAATTAAATGAGCCCATTGTTAGTACTACACACGGCACAACACGTTATGAGAGTACTTAAACATTAAACTTGTTATTTCGTTACAGAACCATCGTTGAACCAGGAGCCGAGAGAAGATAATGGAGTTATTATGTTCAACTTGTCGAATACCATCGAAACGGAGCGAGCCACGACGACGACGACGACACGAAGCCCTGCGATACTGCACTGCAACTGAACGTTCACATTCATCAGCATGAGCACACGCGTCACGGAGTTCATCACTAGTTTTTCCCACCGCGCCGGTGTCGCTACATATTTTCGTACGCCACGATTTGCAAAGAAGCCCGTAAAGCACCAAACTGAACGGCTGCCAGCAGCGGGAGTCGAAAAGCGACGGTCCGCACGGGGAACAAAGTCAGTGTAGCTTCAACACTTAGCTTAATGAGAGACCGTACTCGGACCGAGGCGAGTACAGCAGGGTCAAAGCTCGGCTACAGAGAGCTCACCGTAAAGGCTTCGATTCTCCATGTATGCTGCGTTCAGGTCACATCGGCCTCTCAGACGGAGCTTTAACCAAAGTTTAAATGATGGATACCAACATCCCTGTGCTCTTTCTGTTTGGGCTGAAACCCTCGATCTCCAAGTTGAGGCGTAACAATAGTCCATGTAACCAAAGTAATCTGTTTTCACACCAAAAATCCTCTCAGAAAAGTGAGTAAAGCCTGACGCAGTTTGTTCACTGTCGATTGCAACTGACCTTCCGGTTTCCGATATGACGTGAACGCAGCATTACGCCTCACATTAAAGCCTTTTGACAAGCACTCATGGCCCTGCAGGAAAGTGCTTGGTAAATGCTATCCATGGTAATGGCACAGAGTGGAGACAGGGGCGAGACAGAGGGGGAGCGAGACTGGAGTGACTATGTGGCGATGTGTGCCGTGGAGGGGATGGAGACAAACTCGCGCAGGATGTTCTTGGCCGTCTCGAGGTTGTTCTGGGCGATCATCAGGGCTTTCTGGATGTCCTGGATGGAGTAGCCTTGCGACATCAGGCATTCGATCTCCCCGTTTAGAGCCAGGCTTCCAGGGCCTGCAGCAGCAGCAGCAGCAGCAGCAGGAGGAGGAGCAGGAGCAGGAGCAGGAGCAGGGGAGGAAGAGGAGGCAGAGGAGGGACCAGGGAGTTCTGGCAACGGAGGAGGAAATTCACGGTTCAACGGTCGAGGCCGTCGGTCAGAGTTGGCTCTACGAGGGAGAGGTTTGGGGGGGCGTTCAGGGTCGACACTTGCTGCAAACATACCTGGAAACACAGGAAAAGAGATGAAAATCAGTTAAAGTGGTGCAGTCAAGTACCTGAGGAGGACTGGACTGATGAGCCCTGGAGCACAGTGATCACAATCAGTACATGCTTTGTTTGGAACCTGCATCAAAAAGGGACTTTCCTTACATAGTGTTGTACCCTGCAGTGTATTCATGCAGCTCTGTGGAGATTTTGTGTCTCTTTCTCTTTAAAAATGATTTTAGATCCTCCGGTTTGCGTCTCATTTAGGACACCTGGGATCTTTCTGCGTGGAGTTTTATGTTCTCCCCATGCAGCGTGGGTTCTCTCCGGGTTCTCCGGCTTCCTCCCACACAGTCCAAAAACTTGCTGAGATTAATTGGTGATTCTAAATTGTCCGTAGGTGTGAATGTGACTGTGCTTGTTTTCTATAGTCTTCTTACAGCTTTGTTTGATATATTGTTAATAACTTACTGCCTATTCAGGAGTTCACCTTTTCACTTTGTCCACCTTCTGGCAGTGACAGACGTTAGTTATTTTTTTTACTGGTGTGTTTTTATTCTTCTGAGAATGAACGATGACGTTGAATGAAAATACTTTTCCTGCCAACTTGAAAAGCTCTAAGCTACACAACTGTCTAACATTCTGACCTCCAAAACACACCAGCAGGTTTGAAAGGCACGTTGTTTTAAAAAAAAAAAAAAAAAGTTGCCATTTATTAGGGCCAGAAACTGTGAAAACAGAAAGAAGTGTTTTTCCCCTAGACAACTGGGCATAAATACATTTTAGAAAGAAACTAAAAAATATGTGCTCCACGATGCAACCTTGATGCCACAACGGATTCAGCTGTGCCACATGATAATTGATCCTGATACTTTCTGATAGTGATCATTTTTCCCTTAGAGGAGCTCAAACTACGACAACTCCAGAAAAATACTTAACAATGCTTTATGAAACACAGTTTGTACACGTCACAGAATGATGCATGAATTTAACACATATGTGCTCTGACATATTAACTGCTTGTTTGATATGATGCTGAGATCCACCGGGTAAACAACATGCATGTAGAATCCCACAACTCATCTTTGAATCTGGCTGTCGAGGTGTTTTACCAAAAGACAGAGGAGTATTTTAAAACAACAATACAAATACATACTGGCATCTACTGCAGCGTCCATGCTGAGAGTGCTGAAGGCCGCAGAGGGACCGCTGATCTCTGACAGGGTTCTCCTGGTGGGGGCCGGAGGGACGACCGGCCGGGGAGTATCGTACTCGTAAATGTCCTCCACACTCGTCTCCTCCTTCTTGTCCTGGGCTGGATGTTGAGGGTGGTCTGCAAAATATCACAATGATGAGCACATGTAGCCAACATGCAATACGCACTTACAAACTGAATGATGAGGGAAAAAGTAATGTATCATCAGTCATAAAAACTCTGCTGACCTGCTTGTGCTAGGTAAGAAAAAAAAACTGAGTTACAGAGACCACTTTGAAGTTCTCTTTGTTCTGGCTGCATGGAAGTGAAACTGATATTCTTAACTGACTCCCTGTATGACAGCCACCAATAACGACTTCAAAAAACACTTCTGCAAGAAACTTGAAGAGCGTTACCCGGGTCAGAGGCCTGTGTCGTCTCAGTGGAACCAGCCTGGTTCTGGATATTACACATGGACTCGTAAACCTGGGGGTCCTCAGAGTCGCTGTCGCCCACCTCACTGCTGGGATGAAGAGAAAGAGATCAATCATTTTAAAGTGCTTTTATCTGCAGTTCTTCATGTCTCATCTTCACCAGACTAATCCTCTCTGAGAGGGTCAGTCTATTGTTCCTTACATCTAAATCCACAGATTGTTATTGTACCGGAAATTTTTTTAAAAGTCTGAATCAGTAAGAATCCAAAGAGCCCCAAAGCAAATATGAGGAAAATGAAACTGAATAAATCATTGTTGCATGCAGTACAGCAAAATAAAAGCTACTCTTTTAATCTGCTTCTTTCCAATTCTACCTTAAAATCATCTCCACTAATAAAGACACTTGTGCTTAATCATTTTAAGCTGAATCGACTGTGCCTGAACCCATCACTGCCACTGCTTACATTTACAGGTTCACATTCAGCAGTCCGGTTTTATCATTTAAGCAGCAATTCTGGTTATTTCTCCTTTGGTGAGTGGATTTGTAGTCCTGCATTTTACACGCTGTCATCATTTCATCAAAGAGGCGAGTTTTGATGAAAAAAGAAGCCGCACACTTCTTGAGCACTGCGTTTGCTTCAATTCCTTTAAATTATTCAAGGAGGTGAAAAGCAGAAAGTAAGTGAAAGGGTGGCATTTCTGGGCATAGGAATGGGATATCCATGCTAAAAAAAATGTGAAGAATTAAAAATAGTGAAGCTGCAGAGCCCCCTGTTGGACATAAAAATACAGTTCCAGATAGACCGTTGCAGTATTTAGCCCAGTATGTACAAAACAATCCAAGTGTCAGGAGTCAGTGAACACCTCACAGCATGTTTTATAGTCCAGTTATCTCCCTAATCATCTCACCTAGTCCACAACCTCACTTGAGGAAGAGGACGTTTCTAAAGTGATTACACACTATAACAACATCCGTGAATCTAATTCCAGATTTTACGTTAGTTGGTATCACACATGAAAATATATTTTCATTTTATTTCCTCTATATGTCTGTACACAAGTCACATTTTGTTATATGTTGCATGTTCACATCTACAACTGTGTTATTCTGCCACCTGCTGGTAACTTGTAACCAGTTAAAGCAATTTTGTAAAATTGGGAAAGAGATTAGAATAATTTCCCAGATTACATTACAGCCCCAGTCCACTGCAAGAACTTAACACATAGAGGAAGCTTCCAGTTATCTGATCTGAACAGGACTTTACAACTCTTTGATACAAAGTTCTTCTTTTTCACGCTGCATTTTACAAATCAACATGTGTTGACAAATGCCATAAATAAGACAACAGAGGCACCAATTGTGCCATTTTTATGTTGCCTTTGGCACAGATTTAGGTCAAATCTAGAGACACTGCTGGGCCTGACGAGCTCTCTGTCAACAACAACCTGCTCAGGGATTTCTTTGTTGGGCTCACACTGTGGTCCTTTTTGTTCTGTAATTCTGTATCGTCTTTTTAAAATGATTTCCCTGCACATTCAACTTTAACTTAGAAATCTTCTGATTCACCTTCTAGTCTCTGATCACAGAGTGCAGTGACTCTGACATCCTGGTTGCTTCAGATACTAATGCAGGCCCAAGGTCTTACTTCGTCCACAAGTGTTTGCCGCTGTTTGCTGAAAAAATCTTGGTTGCCCAGTTTAGGGTAGACAGAGCAGTAAAATGAGCATTTCTGTTGCTGTGTTTGTTGTAATTGTCCCTTTTGTGATGTAAATATCTGTTTGACCTATTGTGATCAGCAATAGAAGTAACCTGGAACCTGCATGTTGGGTTCTGTTAGGCTCCAGCAGCGGAGAAGGTTGTTTTAAAATCATCTACCTGAGAAACTTGTACTGGACACTGGTCTAAAAAGCATATGACGAAAATCGCAGCAGTTACAATCCAACACCTTATTAACAAGCCTGACATATTTTAGGATTCATTAAACTCCCACATTTCATGATAATTGCTGTAGAAGGAAAATCCCTGGTAGCCCTGACATCACCCTCTTTCTCATATTCACCTGATGTCATTGTGGTTGTTCGTCTGGGTCGGTGCTGGAGGTACCAAAGAGCCTGTAATGACCCAGGGGGCACCAGAGGCCGGCAGGGAGGTGGGACTCATGTACTCGTTCTCCTCGCTGTCAGACGACAGCTTCTCGCCACTCGACACCGCTGACGCTGGCAGAGACCTGAACAAATGTAGACAGAACATGATTTTAATATTATAAAAATCACACTAATTTCTGAGAAATCCTTGTCCGAAAAGTATAAAAGTGTAAAATAAAAACCAGAACTGTTTACAAACACAGGAACATGAATATTAATTTTTCACGTCAGATTCATAAAGCTGCACAAAAACCTGATTCTGTTTTAAGAAACCTCAATCACTGTGGAACACATTAATGAGCCCTACTTCCACTGATACGGTTTGTTCTAAACGGATGCAGAAACACATCTAAAACAAGTATTTCACCAAATGCACTTCCTCCCATTACAGGAGACGCTGATACGAATCTGTCCACTACAAATCAATTACACAAGGACTTTAGAACAACTTAAGTATATTCTTTTCCCCAAAACTCACAGCAAACTGGGATTTACTTCATGCTAGTTAAGAGATAATGATAAATTGGAACAAAAGCCAGTGTGCCTGTTACCTCTTTGTGCAGTAATGATACCAAAAAGTCTAAATTGTGTCATGTATTGTCTTTATCTAATATTATCTCCATCTATTTTTCACTGTTTATCCTAAACAGATGTAGAAACATTCTTTAAACATCTGTTTGCATTGGATACTACGATTCCACTCGGTCTCTCTCGCCAGTATAAATTGGTTATAAAAATATATCTTTGTCCCACAACTAACGTTATTGGCCCACAGCGGAGTGGAAGCTACGTTGGCTAAGAGATAATGTTTATTAAGACAAAAGCCAGTATGCCTATTGCCTACCTTAGTATGTATATTATCTCTATCTATTGTTATCTCTATCTATCGTCAGCTACAGTTGTACCTAAATAGATGTAAAAACACCCCTAAAACATCTGTTTGCACATAGACGCTACAGTTTTACCATTTCCAGTAGATGCTGCTAAAATTCTCCCCAGTACAACTTGGTTAATGGTTATAAAATTATATGTCTCTCCCACAAACAACTTTATTGACCCACAGCAGAGTGGGAGCTACTTTATTGTGGTTAAGTGCTAATGTTCAATGGGACAAAAGCCAGTATACACAATACCGTTCACTGCAGTAATAAAAACAGAAAGGTTTGGATACGACAGCACTAAAGGCTTTAATTCATCCCTTACAGCCATTTGCTCTTCCTCACTTCCTGTCTACCTGCTGCTCTTCACAGCACCAGAGCTTCGTACCTCGCAGCCAGACAGTAAACAGCGTTGGTAGCTGCCTGGGGTTTGCTTCCTTCTCCGCCGGTCCCGTTGCTCTGAGAGGCAGAGGACAGTACTGACGGAGCCTTGGTGGCAGGACGTGGGATCATGTAGTTGGCGGCCCAGGCAGGCTGGTCGGGGGTGGAGGGCAGGGGTCTCCTCTGGAGTCGGGAGTCCTGACCGACCAGGGAGGGGCGCTCTGGAGGGGGAGGAGGGGGCAGCTCTCTCAGGGCTGGAGGCAGAGGTAGAGGCTTGTCTCGGTGTGTGGCTGCCATCTGGGTGGAGGTAGGAGGGGATGTTGGAGTTATTAGTCGACAGAGATGAGAAGGCACATGCATGCATAACCTCCTGAGTGTATTGTGAAGTTTTGATGAGTGGATTTGACCATTAATCTCTGTTAAGACCAATTCATGCCTTCCACATTCGCGTCTCTGCAAGAATCCACGCAAATTTCATCATCTACAAAAGTATGCAGACTCCTCTGTGGACATCTACACACTTCACATGCGCCAGGAAAACACGCTCAAAAGAAACGCTTATCACAAGGAGATTCTCTGTCATTTACACCTGTATAATGCATCATTTAAGGAGCTGTAATTGAAAAAGTTGCTGCTGGTGCTTTGATTTTGACATGCTTTTCATCTATGGTGCCCAAACACATAAAGAAGTTTCAGATTCTCCAGAAATCCTGTGCTATGTCTGCCAAAAGTGCTTGAGACAAAAGAACTGGGAAAAAACTCTGCCACTTACACTGTGCTACGGTTCAATCTCTAACTAACCAAAAGAGCACAAAGTCACAGCCAGCCTTCTAGAAATATCTATAGAAGCCCCGTGTGTATATTTCTGAATTTGATGTGAGGGAGTATGGGGTACGGGGCCCTCTGTTAAGGGCTGTCCGTTCCCTGTACGACTGCAGCAGAAGCATGGTTCGCATTGCCGGTTGTAAGTCAGACCTGTTCCCAGTGCGCGTTGGTCTCCACCACGGTTGCCCTTTGTCACCGGTTCTGTTCATTATTTTTATGGACAGAGTTTCTCAGCACAGCCAGGGGGAGGAAGGGGTTCGGTTTGGGAACCACAGAATTTCATCTCTGCTGTTTGCAGATGATGTTGTTCTGTTGGCTTCATCAAATCAGGACCTCCAGCGTGCACTGGGGCAGTTTGCAGCCGAGTGTGGTGCGAGCGGGATGAGGATCAGCACCTCCAAATCCGAGGCCATGGTTCTCGACTGGAAAAAGGTGGCTTGCCCTCTCCAGGTTGGTGGAGAGTCCTTGCCTCAAGTGGAGGAGTTCAAGTATCTCGGGGTCTTGTTCACGAGTGAGGGGCGGATGGAGCGTGAGATTGACAGACGGATCGGTGCAGCGTCTGCAGTATTGTGGTCGCTGTACCGGACCGTCGTGGTGAAGAGAGAGCTGAGCAAGGGAGCAAAGCTCTCGATTTACTGGTCAATCTACGTCCCAACCCTCACCTATGGTCATGAGATCTGGGTAATGGCCGAAAGAACGAGATCGCGGATACAAGCGGCCAAAATGAGTTTCCTCCGCAGGGTGACTGGGCGCTCCCTTAGAGATAGGGTGAGGAGCTCGGTCACACGGGGGGAGCTCGGAGTAGAGCCGCTGCTCCTCCACGTTGAAGGGAGCCAGCTGAGGTGGCTCGGGCATCAACTTCGGATGCCTCCTGGACGCCTCCCTGGGGGAGACCCAGGACACGTTGGAGAGATTATGTCTGTCAACTGGCCTGGGAATGCCTAGGCGTCCCCCCGGAAAAGCTGGAGGTGTGAGCGGCTCGGGAAGTCTGGGCGGCTCTGCTCAGGCTGCTGCCTCCGCGACCCGACTCCGGATAAGTGGGAGAAGATGGATGGATGGATGGATGGACAATGTGACTGCCTGCATGCATGGACGCTCACCCTGTAATGTGTACACAGTAGAGTGGATCGGACCACGCCTGCCGTCGGTGTTCAAAGTCCAAGACGCATAAGCCATGAATTGGCTACAGCTGACTACTGTGAGTACCAACACTTAAGCATTCACATGGTTTCCAGGAACTTCACTTTCACAGTAAAAGCATACTTGAGTGAGTTATTTGATAGTCAAATGGACATTTGACAGAATGTATGATGGCTAGAAGGGCAGCAGTAAATGTAAACCAAGTTATACTTAGGCTCAATACACATCCACACAGGTAAGAAGAGGCAGAGAACACCTGAGACACTCACATCTTGGCCAATTTAGAATATGAAAGTATACAAAAATCAAAAAAAAAAAAAACCCAAAAAAGCTTTTTGTATCTGCCAGTGGGCTCTCGATGAATAAAAGTATAAAAAAAAAAAATATTTCTACTTTGTGGGGTTTTTTGCATTTCGTCACATGCTCACATATACGTTACACTGTTTGCCTTCGTAATTTAGAAGTTGGGGACAAAGTCAAAACAGTCAGTTCCCTTCTAGTGCATAATGTTCTTCTGGAGTTCAGCTGATTATAGCGTATACAAGGCTTCATCTGTCTCACTTAGTCAAATGAAGTGTGCATTTTCTAAAGTTAGCCTTTTTATAAACTTAAACAAAATTCCCCCTTCTTTTTCCTGCACTGTGTTTCCTTGTTGAGCTGTGACATATGGAGAGTAACACAAAGTGGGAGTTGTGTACTAAAAAGACTTCCCTGTTTACATTAACCTCAGTTTAACTTTTGATTTGTATGCATGTTTGCACAGACTGAGGATGATGGATTTTGTTCACCATTTAGTCCACTTAATTCTCATTAGGAAGGCGTCCTTCCACAGCCAGTACAGAGAAAGAACATCACAGAGACACAATAACTCTAAAAATGTCTATGATGAATCCAAATATTGTTCTAGGACAGACTTGAAAACATTTGGATCAGTTCTTTTATCCTATTCCATCAATAAGAAGTCTGTTGCTCTGAAGTGCAGTCATACATGGACCTACTTTGGCTGTGGCTCCCTGACCCAGTGCACTATGGGAGCTGGAGGATCTCTGCTGCAGGAGGTCCAGTCGAGGAGGCACCGGAGGCAGCTGAGACACTGGAGAAGGTGGGCGCTCGACCTACACACATAAAAACAAACATGTAGAGATGTTGATTGAAACGTCAGTACTGCAACCTGAACTAAAACAGTTAAGAACATTCTGTCAGCCGTGACTAAAACGATCTTCCTCAATTGTAAATAAATAATCACAAAGGCTATCGTCTCACCTTGGTGCAGGCCAGCCTGCTCATGACAAGGTGCTGGTCTTCCAGACGATCGTCTTCTTCCTCCTCATTGCCAGCAGCTTCTGCTCTGCTGGACCCCTGGAAACCAGCGAAGGAAGCCCCGCTGGCCTTCGGGTGGAAGGGGTCCACGACGATGGGCTCTGTGCCTTTAATCTCACATCGGCAAAATGGGCAACCTTGACCCTCCGACTCCTGACACACAAACACAGGAAGGTTGAAATAAGAGGAAGCAGAAGAATACCTTTTACCATACAAGAGACACTTTACTTCTGCTCAAATGCAAATTCAAGCTCAAGCATCTCTCTGAAAGTGTGAGAGCTTAAAGGGAGAAACGGGGAACTACCGAGGATCACCTAGACAGGCTGCAGCAATAAAAGCGTTGTTGTAAACAAATAGCAGCAATGGTAAATATTGAACTTCTTTATAGTCTTCCGTATTTTTTGATATACCTTAATTTACACGGTTTAATCATATGAACCTCAAAGCCTGCCATCGAGTTTGAGAGCATGTTATCTGTAAACAAAAAAATTGGCAAAATTACACAAATGATCAGAGCCAGAAACTGCATCAACAGAAAGAAACGCCGATTTTCAAATTTCCGACAGTCCTTGCTTTTCTTTTATCCTGAAGAAAAAATTAAGCAAATGTAAGGTTACGATGAGGATAGTTTCTCAAAATCTGATTATTTTATATTTTCACCAAAAAAGATAATTAAAATCTACAAACTCATCTTTGAAATGTGGTTCCATCAAAAAAAAAAAAAAGAACCCAAATGTGAGTTTAAAATCGTGACATTTCATCAGAATCAGTTTTTTCGACAAGACTCATTTACAGATGGTGTCAAAATTAAATAATTTACCAACCAGATTCTGCAAAAAAGAAAACCATTTGTGACCAAAGGCAGAATGACAAAAATTCAGGGATTTTAAGGCTGCAAGTATGAAAACCAATTTGAAATGTAAATTGCACAATATCTCTTGGATGTAAAGACACATTTTTTTTTTCAGTATTGGTAACATCTGTAGGCACTTTGAGAAATGTAGATACCATTTTTTTCAAATTTTGAAAAATAAATAATACAAGACTTTTCTTTTTTCTTTTTTAAGATTATTTATTGTATTATAACTTTGTAATTCTGAAAAAAAGACATTTTTGAGTTCTGTTTCCTTCCAATCATGGTTGTACTGCTTCCTTAGAGGCACAGGATTTTATGTTGCAGTGAAAAATGAGCCCACGGGAAGCAAAAAACTGCTTGAGGTTCAGAGAGTTGAAAGGAAAAATCCATGATTAAAACATATAAAACTCATGAAATGGAAGTGAAGAGAATATTGACCACCAAACATCTGCAGAAACTGCTGAATTGCAGTAGATGAACAATAAAGAATTCTGAGCTTAAGAATGCTTAGAATTTTTAGGTAAGAATCATTTTTCTATGTTGAAACTCCGACCAACAGAGTGTAAGTTTTAATGTGTGTGTTTTAATTACTATGTTAAATTTATCATGAGCCACAATCAACAAATACAAAGTCCATCAGTGCAACAAGATTAATGCCAACTAATGCTCTGATAGACTCGTCAACACTTCCCTTTTCTTTATTTTCCATGGAAGTTAAGCGATTGCCAATGAAGCTCATCATTTCTTGGGTATATTTTAAACAAAGAGTCAACAAGATCACCTTTGCCCTCTGAGAAACTTTATGCTTCCGTTATGAAAAATATCTGCAGAAGTGCTTGAGTTTCATTTGCAGTGGTTTGAAGGTTATATTAAAAAAAACAACACGGAGGAAGTGTTCGAAAAGAAACATGAAACTGTGTTAGAGGTGAAGACACAACTGGCAAATATTCAATTAGGTTTAGTGCTATTGCAGCTGAATGACAAAGAGGTACTATTTATCCGCTTGAGGATTTGTGGTAATCACATAAACAGATACACAGTGTTCGGAGCCAGTACTGATTTGCAACAAATGTTAATATTTTAGAGAGAAATCTTACAGTAAGATTGAATCCAACACAAAACTTGATTCAACCCGCTGAACCCCAGCAGTATCTGAACGTTTATTTGCTCCTGACACATTTTTACTCACTGTGGGCTCATTTTTCACTACAACACAAAAACCTGCACCTCTATGGAAAGATTACAACTATGGCTAGAAGTAAAGAGAACTCAGACATGTCTACTGTGCAGGGTGACACAGGTAATAATGCCAAAAATTATTTAAAAAATGAAAAAATGGAAGCTGAATTTCATTTCTTTAACTTTACAAAAAATGAGAAAACCTGGAATCAACATGTCCAGCAATTTTCCAAGTTTCCAACTCTGGGGGAAAACTGGTGACTCTATGCTATATACTGTATTTCTACTTATATTTTTTAATTTGCTTCCATATTTATCTCCCTTCTGCTTCACGTACAGATACACAGCCTGCAGTTTGTGTAAAAAGACCCAGATTTTTTGTCAGGTGAGTATTAGTCACAGCCGAATCACTAATAACTTCCTGTTTGTGCCACGGATCAAAGAATATTTTGTTTTGTTTTGTTTTGTTTTACAGAATCTGATTAAAGTAGATAGTTTGTTTTTGGTTCATTGTGAAATGAGCCACATAGAATAATGTGATTTTAATAAAATAGAATGATCTCAAACTTAGATTTGCCAAATTTTTGGACAGAATGACACATCACAGATGAGTAGTTTAAGGTAGAAAGGTAAAAATCCAATGACTCTTTCTGTTTTTACAGTTTACTGCCATCGTGATTCTCAATAGAACTTTCAAAAGCCGTCTGGTTTTTGGGTTCAGAGGGTTAAATGAATGTTTATAGCAGGAAGCAAAGCACAGATGAACTTCCCTTCTGGGGCTATCAGGAATTACAGAGCTGCTACAAATCAACGTAATTAAAGTGTAAAGTGTGCAGTGGTGAGCCTCACCTGCCAGGCAGTCAGACAGGAGGTGCACATCAGGTGTCTGCAGGGCTCAATCTTCACATCCTTGTCGTTCTCTGCACAGATCTTACAAAGCTGAAACGTGGAGCCCATCTCACAGTACAGCTCATACTGCTCCTGCAGGGACGAGGGAAGAAGAGAAGGAAACGTTTAACACTTAACAGTCATCTCATTCTCAACCTAAAAGAGTTTTATTCATGCATTATTAGTCACTGTCATTATTTATTTATTTATCCATATATTTATAATGAATGTTGTTGTCTTTTATTCATCTGTTTACATCAAGCAGTACAATGTACATTTCCCCAGCGAGGAACCTATAAAGTTTATTGTATCTTAATGGTCTCCATACTGCAGCATAACATGGAGGCACTAAATTGTCTTCTTCTTCTTTTGTAGACTGACGATAGCACATGGGCACTTGGTACTAAAAACTACTGACTGGTCCGTACATGAAAAACAAACAAACCTGAGTAACTTTGATGTGGTCCTGTGGAGAAGGTTCACACAACCCTGTGAGGTCTGGATTCTGCGCACGGCCATCTGGGAAAAGATAGCTGGAGAAGCACCGAACATGTGAGCATAAAAAGGAACAACACAGTGATATTATTTTTAATAAACATAAAAAATAAATTTGGTATCAGTTGAGAGTGAGAAAACCGCCTCAGGTAAAAAGTCTCTTTAACCTGTAACTCTTATTTTTTTTAAACACTTGCTGACTTTTCAATTATGAAAAGTATATATATTTTTTTTAGTTTGACCAGCTTTGTCCTGTTTGTTACTCTACAAGAAGTGCAAAGTTTGTAGCTTTAGACTCTTTCAATCTGATGTTCTGATCTATGACAGAGGATGAAACATGGGAGAAAATCTGTCAAGCTGTCCTGATGCGTTTTCTGTGGCAAACTACTCAAATGATGACACAAATTGCAACCTAAGCTCTTTGCAGACACGCAACATTCAGTATGTTAATTAGGCGAAGGTCACTTTCACACATCTGTTCCTCATGGCTGCATTCAGACAGATCACAGTGAAGGAGGGGGCCACAGTGTGAAAATACTAACTATAATACCAACTATAACAACTAACAGCCTAGTTTATTTATGATTTGCTAAACACTGATAATTCTGTCCAGGTGTGATGATAATCTAACTACTACTTTATAATAAAAATATACAGACAGCTGTGACAAAGCTCAGACCTTAACCTGAGAACAGCAGCTATGCAACTGATGATTTCGCTGCAGCTGTGACTCTGTAACAGCTCACCTGTCTGAGGTGAATAAAAGTAGATCCTGACCAATCCTGTCACAGTGTCAGGGTTTATTTATAATTAGAAGTAATTAGCAAAGTTACTCTCTTGCTTTGGCAATGCTCATACGGATCCTGAAGCTGCAAATATTTAATGAACTCAGAGGAAAGACTCCAACAAACAAAACCTTGGCATCTGTCTTGGCTTTGTCAAAATAAAAACTACATTCAGCACTGGCGAGTCTTATTAGTCTCTGCTTTATCACACTACGTTTTATTTTTATGGACACTTCTTTTAATAATAGAAGTGAAACTGTAGGGGACAGTTGATTGAGAAAGGAGTTTTATGATACATAAACTGTTTGATGCTCTCTGTGAAGTTTTTGGACTAATACTGGAACTGAAATGTAGAAAAAAAAAAACTTCCTCAAGTCACTTCCACCAACTCAAGGCAGGCTGCTTGTGTTGCCTGTATGCAGTTCAAACAGGAGCTGCGTTGAGGAGATGTTAGTAGGTCCGACCTAATAGGAGTGCTGTCGCAACTCTTACTTTCATTTAGACATGAAGCTGACGCATTCAGTTGCTGTCAGATTAATGGAAAGGGCTGCATGTCTCAAAGGGGCTCAACATGCATTTCTCTGTCAAATCTGAAAGCTGTGCACTTTTGTTCTTTGTGCATAATCATCAAAAAGTGCAACTGACTTCAGCGACTCTGACCTTCTGTTCTTTTGCGCTTAAATTATTGAACCACATTAATAACCTCTGTGTTTTTTGCTTCGCTTCAGTGAGCAACCAAGGAAAAGGGAAAATAAAGACACACACTGAGTGAATAAACTTACTGCTGCTATTGTTCACATAGTAAGAAACAGTAACATGCCTTCATATGTTGGCTAAAAATACACATCCGCAGAGGCTTTTATACACTTTAACATAATGTACCTTAAAATGTATAAACTGCTGCATTGACACTATGTTGAAATGTGACTCACAATCCCTCTCTGTATCCATCAATGAGGGCTTGAAAGAGTGGTTTGTTATGGGGGATGGTCTGCAGGATGTTCCCATCAGCTGTCACGTAGCCGATCGCCCACTGGCCCAGCCGAGTGCAGCTCAGTCTGAAGATGTAGCTGAGAGAAAGACAATGATGTCAGCCAGAAGGTACATACTGGTACTGGTGACCTATCCATCATGGATTTATCTAAAACAGATTCAGTGACTGCATGTGCCAGTATGAAGATTTGTCTGTGGATCTTACCTGCCAGGTTTGTGGATGAACCTGTGCAGTCGAGCTTTGACCTCGTCGTAGGTCAGGAAGGCCATGTAACCAGGATGTGTGACTGCCAGACTGTTCCAGTTCCTTAAAAGAGACGACCACGGCTACAAAACACACACACACACACACAAAGGTTAAAAATACAAACTGCTTAGTTTCACTACGCAAATCAGCTTTTTGATATCCAGACAAGACTCTAAATCTTTCCTCAAGTCTGCAGTAACAGAACATTTGGTGAAGTGCAGGCGTTTTTTTGTTGTTGTTGAGAATGTCAAAAGTGTCTATGATTTGGCAATTTTTAAGTCAATTCATGCTTTCTTTGTGTCCCCAACCTGTGTGAAGTGAAAATATCCTCTTCCATGTAAGTCAGAGAGGGTCCACATAGACTCATCTCTGCAGCCAAAAATCTGAGACCACGAGGACTGTGTGCACTGCAAGCAAGTCAACTGCACATGCACAACAAGGACAGCATGTGCTTAAAACAATCGCTTGTTATGAGGAGAGATTGTACGAGAAAGTTCTGCATCATCCTAACTTTTCTAATTCACCATGTTGCAGATGAAAAAGTCACTACTGGACTTTGGAGGTGCTTTGATATGAACATGCTTTCCCTTGATGGCGCACAAACCAACAGGAGGTTCTAAATTCTCCAGATATCCTGTGTCTGCATACTACTGCGCTCAACACACCCCAGGATTATTTAAATTGACAGGATGTTGCAGCTGAATCTCTCACTTGTTGCTATATCCGGTAAAAACTGCAAATATACAGCCTTTCAGAAACATTCACAGAAGCCCTGAGAGTTCTCTATGTTTGGTATGAGGAGCAACGCACACCAGCACATTATAGCAGGGGAATCAAGCTTGTTCTCCACCTGTTACTTTAAAGATCATTTCCGTACTAATTAGGGGAAAGCCCGGAGAGCTTAAGAACTTCACGTAGACAAACAAAGCCATCAATTCACTTTCATTATTCAAATCAGGGTTATGTTACAAATCAAACTCAAACAATAATTTCTCACAGTGAATGGCTCATTAAGTCAATGATATCCCAACTAAAAGTCAGAAACAGAAAAAAAATATTGTTAAGAATATCACAAGCTACTTAAGAAAAAAATGTCACTTCAAGAAATAAAAATTCAGTTCCCTTCATTTTAGAGCATTTTTGCTCAGGTCATTTCAGTGAAGGGTGTGAGTGAGTTTATGTGAAGTATGAGAGTGTTGGTGAGGGGCTAAGGAGGGCAGGAGAGGTCAGTGTAAAATAAATATTTACCTAAACTGAGGAGTGGGGAAGACTAGAAACCTGGAGGTTTGGACAGAAAATAAAAGGTGACTTATATCAACCAACAAAAGGTCCCAACGGCCAGGCAGCAGTCTGAGCAGCCAACAAGGTGGAATGGTGTTTATCCAGTCCTGCTCCTGGGATTAACTTAAGCACAGCAGGTTCTTAAGGACCAGAAAACAGGCACCTAACCAGCTGGTTCTCGATTCCAAAACTACTCCAAATACTTCAATATAATACTTTCGAAAGCAAAGTTGACCAGAAGCTGGAAAGTTCGTCTTGAACCTTTCTGGTCTTGTTGTTTATGCGACTCTCTGTTGTTCTTCATGTTTCTTTTGTTAGCAGCTCACAGGTGTGTCTGCTTCATCACCTCACTTCCTCCCTACCTGTCCTGCCAGCTAGAAGAAAGGGCTGCTCTGTCTGTTTTCTTTTCCTTTGTGCTACAGTGAATCTAATGAACTTTGTGCATGTATGGTGTCCACTTGCAAAGACCGCATTTGTTATGCAAAAATCATAAACCGGCCTTTATGAGTGGATCCTTTTACTATAAAAACACTGTTGAAGAATCCGTCTCATCTACTGCTGCATCTACACAGCAGAGACTCAGCTGGACTCCATGAAAAAGCCATGACCAAAGCTGAGATGTGGTGGGTTTGCACTATTGGGAAAAAACAATAAATTGATTCTAAAACCTCCAAACCCCATTGAAATCACAAATGTCTTCCCACATAGCGGAATTTTCGAATCTCTGAACTTATTAATGATTGAAAACTTGTGCTAGCATCTGAATCAGACTTCAGACTTACTACATGAACCTCTGGACTTTGACATCCCCACAATGCTCCGCTGCGACAAGCCTTACCTGGAAGAGCCTTGTGAAGATGTCAAACTCAAACACAGAGATGTAGTCGTTGCAGGTGAGGTCGATGGTGGATTTGAGGGCCATGGCCTCCAGACCTGAGCTGATGGGGTGAAACTCGTGGAGAGCCTGACGAAATGTCCTCCATGGCACTATGGTCCTGCACGGGAAGAAGTGGGTCAAAAAACAATACACTTTTTTTTTAGAAGAATCTGACTATTCGTCATTGTTTGAATGTGCTCACAAATCCAGAAGGAAAGGAAGGCTAACACAGAGAGAAAGAGGGCAAAATCAAAGTGTAAGTACAAACTTACAAAACTAGTTTTAATCGAGAGTTAGTTACCTAGATTTTCTACTTCACTTCACTTAAGTAAACACTCAACAATGTGCAATAACTACATATCTCTGTGCAATGACACACTATTTATTACCCTTTATACTTACATTTTATTTTCTCAGGAAATGTCCATTTTACTTTTTCTGCTTATGTTTATCTATATATTTTTGTACTGTTTATATTTCTAAGACTTTGAATGGGAGCAACTGTAATGTGTGGGAATAAATAAAGTATTTCTGATTCTGAATCTGCAGATGCTGATTTGCAAACTTAAAATCCAAGCAAACACCTATAGACCTAATGATATGAGCACACATAAATATATGCGCCTGTGATTCTAAATGTAAAAATACTGACCAGAATGTGGTTCATTAAGTCTTTAGTAATACTAATTACTGACTAAAGTAGAACTCACTTGTCCCCAAATGACCTTCTCCAAAACTCAGCTGCATCAGCTTTGGTGATCCTGAAGTTGTCGCCCTGAAACAGGCCATTGGGGAAGATGGCTTTTAACTCGGCCAGCATGTGACTGAAGATCAAGGACAGCTTGGTGAGGTTTCGCCTGAGTAAGAGGACATGACGAGAGAACGACAGAAACAAGCCAGTTACAGATATTATCAGAGTAATACTGTATTCACTCACTCGCCAGAAAGGTTACAGGATGTTTTTTAAGCACACTATGTTTTTCCCCCTTAACAAAAAAAAAAGAGGAAATCGCACTTCTATTTATTCTTTTGACAGCTTTTAAGCCATCGAGGACGTCAGTGGTGAAAGATGTTATTCAAATGTTGAGAAGTTCAGTATTACTAGGGTATGTAGGCTTAAAGCATCACATGGGTTGTAAAAATATTCAACCTGTATTGTTCATAAAAGTGAGTGTATTTCAAACCTAAAAACGTCTTTAGGAGGGTCCAAGTAGGAACAGCGGTGCATAATTACTAGTTTCTCTTAGAATTTCCCTTCCTCGTACACATTTTAGGCATTTTTACCCACATTTTCTCTCTCACACATGATTCAACCATATAACAAAAGGGCTTACATCTTCTTCTTTCTTTTAATAAGACCTTTAGACATCACGTCAGGCAACCTTTCTGCATTTTCCGTTTTGCTACCTACTGTTGAAGTGACACAGTTGGTGTTGGCATGTGCAGAGTATGTAATTTTCCTGAAACTGTAGGCTCAGTGGTTAAAGCAGCTACCTCCCAACCACGTTCTAACCTCACCGTCTAATTCAGATGTCTATTTAAAGCTGAAATGGTTAGGCAACCTACTGAAAATAGCTATTTGGACAACTGATTAATTGCTTCAGTCACTTTTCAAGCAAAAAAAACAATCGTTTGCTGACCCTCTAGAAGGTGGAGTCTGTTAATCTGGAAAGAGACTGTTGATACTAAGACAGTATATTTAGAAAGTTATCATGTACCACATTTACAGTCCCTTTCACCCCCACTGCCCCTTTTTCCTGTACACAGGACAGCTTAAAAAAAATGTTGTGTGGTTCAGTTCGAGCCACTTTGTTTGCCATTTACAGAGCCTAAACTGTGTACGAACACTAGCTAGCAGAATAAGAGGAAATATTCTCTGATTTTGATTAAAACCGTCTTGACTTTGAATCACTGACTTTTCTTTTAAAAGGTGAGAATTTTCTGCTTTCCTAAGTGTAATCCTTATAAAGCCTTTGGTTTGTTGGCTGCTCTCTGGGAAAGATGGGTGAACCATTTTTCAGTATTTGCTCACAAATAATCTGTTAATTCAGGAAATGATTCATTGTTAATGAAAATAGACACTTTTCTTTTAACCTTTACCAACCCTACAATCCACTAGTTGAATGATTTGAGAGGTCTACATTACACAGTATTTTTCACCTAAAGGAAGCCCTCTCTCTTCTAGTTCTTCCAGTCCAATACTTTTGGATCTTTAGTTTAGTGCATAATCTGGTGAACACAAGTGAACATTCTTAAAATGTTTCAGCACAGTTTAGGAGAACCACAACATCAGACTTTTTTCTGGCATGAAACAGGCCTTTTAGGGGTGACAGTCCACAATATTAAACATGACTGGTTCATCTACATTTACCTTTTACAACCAAATAGGCCTATTATGCTTGAGCAGATGAAACCCCCAATGAGCAAAACTGGTGAAACAAGTTCTTTTTGTTTAGTTTTGACTCTTTTCATTCCTGAGCTGGTGATTTTCCCTTGGATCTGGCCAAAAACTCTTTAGGAGGCACCAAAAATTCACCTGAACATTAAGTATGGCATGAAACCCAATTTATAAAGTCATTAAACCTCACAGAGAATGACAGCCCAACAACCATGACTTTACAAACATGTCATCATCATGTGGTCTGTCATTATGATCTGGCATTTTGACATTTCACTTAAAAGGGCAGTTCTTAGTTAAAGCCCTGGTGACTGATACATTTTGCTAACCTGGTTGCTGATGAGGAGATATTGACGAGGAATTGCTTGATAAAAAACAAAATGCGTCAGAGGAAGGATGAGCTTTTGCCTAGTAATGGCTTTCTCAGAAACAGAGGAAGTAGACGTGATTGCGACAGTTTCATTTTTTTTCTTGATCGTACATGTCTGTAAATTTACTTCTGCTCATGTGGCCGGTCTAGATTCGCCAAATGTCATAAATCTGATTTTCAATTAAGTTTGATGGATAGTGTAAAGTAAGAGAGAGAAAACTTCTTAAACTTGTTTTTTAAAGAAATTATTTTTAGAAAAAAAGAGTGCAGAGAAGTATTATAGTGCCTAAAAGAGCTTCTTAAAGCAAACACCTTTAACAGAAATACCTCAGGAAATCACTTTGTTAACTCGGAACAAATAAAATGGCAGCTGCCTTTAAATTAGCCACTGCAATTAAAAAAAAAGTTACTCTGACATATTCTCTTAACTCGGTTTTAACCTTTCTTATGACAAGAGAAACAACACTGTATGAAATCTCACTTTAACCCCACTTAGTCATGCCCTTCTTTTAGCTCATGTGAGCGTGAACCAGCACCCTGGTAACTTCTCTCTGAAAGTCACAACGAAAATCTTACTAGGTCAGCTCTCATAACATTTCCGATTCACTTTCAACACGGCACAAGTCTGAACTGCAACTTCAAGCTGTGTGAAGCCGATTTGGTGAAGGTTTTCTCCCCATTTCAGCGCTGACATTACATCCATTACAAACTGATATTTCCATAAAAATAAAACTTTAATTCTTTGAAGACAGCCAACTTTTACAGGTCAGATTAATGGGATTCATCAAACATGATTATAATTGAGGTTTTAGCAAATTGTGAGCAGGAGCTGAAGTTTAGTTTTTTGCTTCCAGCTGTTTGCAGGAGACTTTCCTTGGTGTTTACGAAATACCTGTGTCATCAGACAGCCGCAGGATCCATATGAGCATCTCCAAAGACAGGAAGTTGTACTGATTTAAGCCCATGGAACAACAGAAGTAACTTCATTAATTACTTATGATTATAAATTATCTCTGACATGGAGACAGGATCGATCAGTATCTTATGGTTAATGCCACAGTTGCACTTTTCTCTTATGCACAGAATCAACGCTTATATGGTGCACTAAAACTATTTGTTACATAGCTGATTTGGTTTGTTGTCCATCAGTGCATTATTTTGTAATATACGTCCCTTCATGTACTGTCCAATCTCACGGGTTTTACAAATATCACATGTGTACCGTGTCTCTCTCCTTCCTTGTATGTCTGCAAGAAGCCAGCAATGTTAGGTATCCCACATCTGAAAAGGACTTTTAACTTTGGATTTATCTCAGCTTGGAAATTGTTTGCATCTTTCATTTACTAAAACAGGCTGGATCAGTCTCAAAGTTTTCACTTAGCCTCATTTTAAACCAGCCAATGCTCTGTGCAACTCTGTCCTCTAAAGACTATAGCAACTATAGTGAATGAATGTTCAGATTGTACAACTTATATGACAGAGAGCGCTTCAGTCAACAGCACCACTGCTAGTGAGGGTATTATCATACACTCGTGATCTTAAGGGATTATTCTACTGGTCGGAAGCCAAGACAAACAATGATTAGCTCTCTATCTATACCATCTGTCAGTTACCCAAACACCTCTCTGCTTCACAGCTCTTTATTCTGGCTGCTTCCTGATACAACCGTGTGTTTCCGCCATCAGAATGAATGACATTTCATCAGGCCATACCTAGGCTGGGAGTTCTCCTCATACATCCTCTCTTTGGCCTCCTTAAAAAGGCTCATGGTCTGCTTCGTCTTGTTGGTCAGGTTCTCAATGACCACCCGAAAATACTCGTTTTCCCCCAGGATCTCCATTTTGCCCTCATATCTGGATAAAATGGTGCGTAAGTGCTGGTAGGTGTCCGGCAGCAGGTCCAGGATGTAGGGTGGACTGTTCTTCAATGCCACCTTGGGATTCTGGCACAAACGCACCACCTGGAGAGGAAAAACAAGGGCTCAGAGACTCTTAACATTCAAACAAAACCACAACGTGCCATGAAAACAAATACGATTAAAACACTCTGGCCTGGTAGAGCCACAGGCTGCAATGTTCACAATAAATCATTAAATAAAACCGGTTTAATCCTCGAGGAGATTAAGAATGCTTCACAAATTTCATGACAGTCTGCCAGTTAGATTATGAGCTGTCTTGCGTGCAAGTTTGGATTTGGGTTTTTTCCCAGTGACGGCAGTAGAGGAAAGGTCAGGAGGTCACCGGAGATCATTCCCTGTGCAACATAAATAGGATGAACTACCTGCAATCAGGCCCGTTGTTATGGAGAATCCTTGTTGTTGAACGACAAACATCACTGTCATTTAAAGTAGCACCATTTCATAGTTTGGATGCATACAATACAGAACTAAACCAAGTAATTTCTGAGATCTGAGAGCACAGAAACTGGAAACTTGGGCGATGATGGAACTTAAAAACAGACAATAGGGGTGATAACTTCACAGTTTGGCACTGTGTTCTTACATAAGTCCGGCTGACCTCACAGTTTGTTTACAACCTGTATGAACATCTGATTGCTGACGCGCTTTACCCAGTGAGGTTAGTTATACTGAACCCAACTATCAACTTTCAAGCACAATATACTGCTGCAGTAAACTGGAATTATTATGCAACACCTGGCACGAGAGGGGCAAATGCCATTTTATTATATTTAGGGCAATAATAGGAGTAGTGGAGCATCAGTGCAGTAGGGCTGGACTCGAATAGCCAAATAGACGACTATTTGTTCGCTGTGCTGGAATCGGGATATCAATTTTGCCCCCCCCCTCAGCGTCAGAAGAAATATTTACCCGTCACTTCCGCGCGGCACCCCCAAATATTCGGGATATTTGTCATGAATTGGGGCTGAATGTCCAGAGATCAGAAATTGCTATTCGGACCAGCCCTACAGTGCAGTAACATATATGGCGTACCAATATTTTATTGGCTAGGAGACGAGTTATAACATGCAGCGATTCACAACGTCTGCAAATGCCACATCAATAAGTGTACCAGGAGTTTTCATACCTGTCATGTTCAGCTCAGAGTGTGATAACATTTGTAACATCAAAATGTACCAATTTGGAATTTTTTTGGAAGTTTTCATCAAGAGTTACTCGACTTGGCCACCGTACAGTGAAAGAATCAAACCCTCCAACATGTGGTGGCGCTTGTCTTCACACCTGCAACAACTCAGACCTTCAAATGTCAATGTAGGCCACCTGCCTTCCTTTGTTCTTCCTTTCATGACACCAGCTGTGTGTGTGTGCCCTGTAAGCTTTATTTTGTCATTACTTGAACTGATCTCTAATTGGATAATTTATCCCCCCTGCTTAAATTATTGTTGTTTTTATACCACGTCTTTGCAAAGATTTACCAACATATAGAAAAAATACCACAACAGACAAACTGAAGAATTGTACAAAGTAATAAAAGCCTTCTGCAGTGCACGCATGAGTGTCTCATCCATCAACGGGTTTCTCAACATTACCGGTTCAACAAAGTACTGGAAGTGATGTTGAACAAAACAAGCTGCTCCACTTTTATGCACTGCATCTTAGGCTAAAGCATATGGAAAAAAAATCATATGCAATCATTTAGAGAGACATAAGTCACAATTTTAGTCATATTTGCAAAATACAAAACAGAAAATGGGGTTTTTGCTGTGGTCTGCACCAAAAAAAAAAGAGAGTATGATTTATAGGTCAGAGCATCTCTGTAGCACCACAAGGCCTCATTTGAAATGATATATTGTGACACACTTTATCAAAAAAATTGTGGCATCGGCACTTTGGATATTGCAATTTTGATATTTTGATTAATTGTTGAGGCCTAATTGCGTAAGATTAAACTGTTCATAAAAAACCTTTGACAACAAATTGTATCATTTTTATCACACTGTGCTATCACAACATAAGTCAAGATAAGATACACTAACACTGTATCACTACCCAGCACACGTGACCCAAATAGAAAAAGTTTTAAACCCCCAAACAGCGAAAGAGATCAGTCAGTGCTATGTGCCGTAAAGACACAAGCTGCAGGTGTACATGAAGCCACATCTTTGCACAACGCATTGCACATGCATGCCACAATATGCTGTACTCTCACTCTTATCTGATGCTGTCTTTCTCCTTACTCCGGCCCCCCCGAATAAATATCTGGTGAGCTCTTGTCTCACCATCTCTGCTTTCCTCTCATATATTTATCAGTTAAAGCTGACTGCAAAAGATCAAGTAAAGCAGAAGCCTTTTTTCCTCCCATTCACATTTACACCTCTCATGATCTAACACTAAATACACAGTGTCCTCTCAGGGACACTAATGTGACCTAATTCACTAGCAATTATCCCAGTTAGATAATGCAACAGGGACACTCTCTGGTGTTCTAATTTTGGGGGTTAAATTTTCTCATTAGGACAATTTTGGCAGCTTCACAAAAGTCAAAATGTATGCCAAAAAACCTTCCTATAAGGATGTCTAACACTCATTCTGATGCTAAAGGGATGAGTACAACTACTGCTTGTAGTACATAGTGTTTAAATGACTAAACGTGTAAATGATTTTAAAGTTCAGCCATAATTGTGGGTTTTGTTTTTTTCCATAAAGGAAAAAGAGGGAAGTGACTGTTTGATGATGTAGAACAGCTGAGAACTGGCAAAAGTGGCTCAGTTCAGGATTTACACGCCTTTTTAAAAAGACATTTATCACCCTAATGACATTGTCAATACCTTATCCATGAGTTTCCAGCATTTCTCCACCATTTTCTTATCGACCACTGCAGGTTGGTGCGGCTGGAGCGGCTGCTGGTGCGGCTGAAAGGCGTCCTTCATCAAGCCGATGAGACCGGCGCCCCTCCTCGGATTTCCGGCCATTAATTCGGTCGGTGACCGGGGGTTAGCCCCGGGGGCTGGAGGTTGACAACCGGGGTATTATTCCTGGCACGTTTCTCAACAAAAAAGACACAGATTTCTGCGCCCTGTCCGTAGTCAGCAGTGGTAATAATTGGCCATGCAGAGGCTGTCCATGGGCAGAACAAAAAGCCTGTGTGTACACTGTACGCGACGCAGCTAGCTAACAAGCTACATCTGAAAAGCCTCTCAGTCCAACTCCGAGCTCAGGACATACTCGCTGTGTGGTTGAAAACGCTGTCAAAAAGCGGCCTGTCTCTTCCCGGCGACGACAAGTGAAAACCCCCTGAGAAAATGAGCCCGGCTGCGATAAACTCGGGTGTTAATAAGCCACAGAGAGCGATCAACAAACAGGCTGAGCAGCAGCTTCAAGTAGCGGCAACAGCGGCTAGCATCTCCGCCCGCCGCCTTCAGCGTAAAGGCACCGACGGGGCGCAAGATGAACTGGAAAAATTAGAAAATAAGTGTCCGAAGAGGCAGTGTGGCCTTTTACTGACCTGCAAATAGCAGTACTGCAGTGTAAAAAATACTTTAATGCAAGTTAAAGTCCTGCATAAACAGGAGTTGTAAGTTTTCAAGTTTTAACTGTATTTAACTTAGAAATTTAAGTTAAACTTCCTGCCTTGAAATGAGTTTAATCAGCTGAACCTGAGTAATTAGGTTCAATAAACTATATATATTAAGTTGAATCAACCACTCACATAAATGATAATTGCATGCTTACTGTTCTTTGGAGAAAATTTCTTCTTCATTAGGGTAAAATCACTTTTATTTATACAGCACATTTAAAGTCACTCCTACAAAATAAAACTACACGTGGTAATTTACGGTGTGAAATGACCTGAGTAATGGAAACGTTAAGAATTAAAACCCTACCAAAATTAGCTAAAATACAGCTTTACTTGATGATAACAAGTATTGTTATTATGGATATTAACCTAACTAATTTAAATATTAAGGCTGAGACTCTACCGGATTATTAATTATGAAGATTAACATCACTAATTTAAATATTTAGTCTTAAACCCTGCAATATTGTTAATTATGGAGATTAAGCAAACCAATTTAAATATTGAGGCTAAAACCCTGCAGGATTATTATAAATAGAGATCAACGTACCATGGAAATAGCAGCGCTACAGTGTAACAAATATTTTAATGCAGGATAAAATCCTACATTATAGGAAGGCTAATTTTAAGTTTATTTAACTTAGAAATTTAAGTTAAACGTCCTGCCTTAAAATTAATTTTATCAGCTAAACATGAATAATTAAGTTCAATAAACTTCATATATGAAGTTGAATCAACTAGTCATATAAATGATAATTGCATGCTTACTGTCCTTTGGAGAGAGTTTCTTCTTCGTGAGGGTCAATCACTTTTATTTATACAGCACATTTAAAGCCAGTCTTACAAAATAAAACTACAAGTGGTAATTTACAGTGTGAAATTACCTGAGTAATGGAAATATTTGGGATTAAACCCTACCAAAATGAGCTAAAATACAGCTTTACTTGACGATAATAAGTATTGTCTCAGACCCTACAGCATTGTTATCTACAGACATCAACCAAACTCATTTAAATATTAAGGCTAAGACTCTGCAGGATTATTAATTATGAAGATTAACCTGAACTGCAACCCTACAACAAAATGATCTGACATGCAACTTTATCTAGCATAACACCCTACCATGTTGTTACTTATAGATTAACCTAAATAATTGAAATATTTAGCCTAAGACCCCACAATATTGTCAGTTATTCAGATTAAGCTATCTAATTTAAATATTAAGGCTAAAACCCTCCAGGATTATCATAAATGGAGCTCAGCCTAACATGCAAATAGCACTACTGCAGCATAAAATACTTTAATGCCAGATAAAAATCCTGCATTAAAGGGAGACTAATTTTAATTTAATTTAACTTTTTAATTTAAGTTAAACCTCCTGCCTTAAAATTAATTTAATCAGCTGAACCTGAGAAATCAAGTTCAAAATGACATAACATTAGAATAAATGCAGCGTCAAATAGAAAAACAACATGATATAAGTACAATACATAAATGAAATAAAAGTAAGCTTAAACAAGAAAAAGAAAAGTGAAAAGTGTTACTAGCAATCTCCACAACTAACAACACTGTAGGGTCTTATTATCATGGCGTAAGGTTGTATTTTAGCAACGCTTTGGTAGGGTTACAATCCTTAATATTTACTCTAATAGAAATGTTTGCAGTCTTTTTATGAATATTACAATGATATGAATGATATAGGAACAAATCCCTCTGTAAAAACCTTCTGAATATACAACAAATAGAGATAAATTCATAAAATAGAGAAAAATTCAAATTTGGTGTGTGCAAGAGCATTTTGAGCGAACAACCTTAAAAGATGTGTTGAATAATAAAAACTACAGATGCAAATAGACAAAGTGCAGTAAAATTAACACCTGAATGCCTATTTTGGCTTTTTTTTTTTTTTTTTTAAAACATGTATTCGTTATTAAACAATCTCCTCGATGATTCCTCCAACATGTTATTTTAAGTAGTGCTTCAAAACCAAACAGGAATAAACATCCGGTAAAGAAGGACAGTCCGTCAATCCTTGATCAAATATTTTACTTTCAGGCTCAGCGAGCTGCCGAGTCTGTCTGTCTGTCTGTCTGTGAACAGGAAGTGAAATTTACGCAAAGCAGTGGCGACCTGGTAAACAAATTTAGAGCTCTGCAAAAAATTGTAACACCATGACATGTTTTTCTGTTTTATTGAAAACCCTGATTAAAAAAAACAGTTGAGGTTTACACAAAAAAAACGACAGTTTTGAAAGCAGCTGGTGTAGCGGCTGAAGGCCTCTTTCTGCTTGTTTTTAGGGTCATGTTTGTGGGGAAAAATTGAGGAACTGGAAAAACTGGTGTTCAGTAATTAAACAGTTAAAACATTCAAGGACAATTGTTGTACAGGACTGTTTAAGGGGACAGATCTTATGTTTCACTTTAGTGGTTTTAAAAGTTTTTCATACTTGATATATTGCTTTAAAACACTGGCAGCCATTATATTCTTGCAATAAAACAATAAATATGAGTATGTATGAGGTGTCACATGCATGTCCATGTTGTTACCAACAATAACACAAGCATTTATGAGAAACACCAGGTTGGAAATTTAAAAAAAATAAAACTTTAATCACAACATTATTACAATTCTATCTGATAGAAATCTGTGTTTAGATTTCATTTATGATCACAGTTTAGATTTTGTCATCACATAGGTGAGGATGAAGAGTTTTGCACAAGTTAATAAAACAAGTTTTAAACTCTTGATAGTTGAGACAGAAATAGAATGCAGTTTAAATTACAGTTTATAATTTTCAGGGAGTAGTCCATCTTTTAAATTATTCTGATTACATAACTGGTAACTGGAACGGTCAATTAGAAAAACATAAATAAACAAAATAAAATTATATATATATGTCTTGACCATCACATTTACCAGCATCAGCCTGATAAAACACCGATGAGAGGCAGATTTATTCTCCTGTGTTACCTGCACCAGCAACCTCAGGACTGTGTTCTAAATCAAAACCCAAAATAAGAGAATATCGTTTGGTAAAATGAATTTCATCTCTTTATTACAGGTCCAAAGACTGAATGAAACCTAAAGAGCACAGATGTTTCTGTGGAGCCTCGTAGTGGAACAAGACTTTACTGATCAATGCAAATATGCTAAATTAACAATATTTTTACCCAAACTGAGAGGTGTTTTACGAAGCAAGTTTGACATATCCAGGCTTTCTTTCTGTTAGCTGCTGCAACTTTCTCTGTTAACCCAATTTTCTTCTTCAGACTCTGAGTGCAGCCACATAAAAATAGGTGTCTGATGCAATTTTGACCCTTCTTCCGCACAAACTGGATCAGTGATGTGTCATCTGTTTCAACCAAAAGGAACAGGTTGTTACAATGGAGAACTTTAAAAAATATAACAATTAATTACGACAAAATATCACCAACCATATGTCATTTGCATATGTTTCTGCAAATGATGTAAGAGAGGAATTCTGGTAGAAAGTGAATGTATTTATGTTACAACTGTCTCAATGGCTGTTGCCTATTTGTAATGTGACAGCTGCAGATTAGAGCTCTTAAACTGTCCCATAATGAAGGACAACAGCTTAGTTTTTGGCCAAATCAAAGTAAAATTGTAATAAATACCAAGTGACTAATCAATGTTGTAATCTGTCTGCAGTGTAAAATTTACTTGGCACCTAATCAGACCCACATATAAAATCACATTAATGCATTTTCTGCATCACCAACTGAATACATGAAGGTTACTGTGGCAACACAACGTATATAGCTTGCTTACTGTAACTGCACGGCTTCAGTCAGTGTTACTACTAACGCACAGCACAGCAGGTTGGCAGATATAACCTCAACGAAGAATCTTCATTGCTCATAGAGAATATTATCAGGAAATAAACCGGTGATACAGAGACGCTTCTTGCAGCTCATTTAAACCCCAAACTCTGAGCAGAGCCTCATCTGGCAGGTTTAAAGGCGCCTTTGTGACACTGAAAACTCTGGATTTAAGCTCAACATACCTCATTAACCACTTAATCTCACTTTTAGCACACCCCTCTGTTTTCCAAAGCTTGTGCACAATTGCATTTTGAAGTAATTCTGGACGACACACCACTCTGTAGTTCCACTTAAGGTGCAGATCTCTGACTTATCATTGCACACAAATCTTGAGGAGATGGTACAGTCCCAGCCTACCAGCCTTCTGCCCGATGAAGGACTCATCTTCACTGTTTATCACTTGGCCAGGTGATGTAGCCCCCAACTCTGGTGGTCCTTGTTTTCCTCTGCGTCCAGCAGCTTTGATTATATTGGATTTCCATGGAAGCTCAAAGCAATATCCAGCAGCTGAGCTCCCAGCTCTGCCTGCTGCCCTCCAGGTAGGAACTCTACAGAAAGCTCTCTGTAGGTGCTGCAAACTCTGCGCTCATGAACATCCTCCCTGTGAATGGCGTGTTTCCATCTGTGCCGTGCTTCCCCATATAACACCACCAAACACCTGCGAGGAAGGTGCACAGCTACGTGGACTTCCTCCGGCAGCCCCAGCTTGGGCAGCCCCTCTTCAAGAGACATGGTGAGGGTGGTGTTTGATAGCATGTTGACGGTGACCAGCCTCTCCCCCCACAGCCAGGAGTCGTCCAGGTGTGGATCGATGGACGAGCCTCGCTGAGGATGGTAGTCCAGGTTGCACTGCTCCACTGGCTGGAAGCCAGCGAGACTCGGCTCCTGCTGCATCCGGAGGACCAGTGTTTGGCTCAAAGCAGGAAGTCCGCTGAAGTTACTGATGCGCACTTTCCTTTTTTTGAAGTTCACCTTTGGCCCAAAGTCCTGCAACAACATGACAAAAGTTTTTTGTTTATTTCATCACAATACTATAATAATAAAAACAATGTAATATTAATGGGAAACTCAAGGATTTCTCATTTCAGGTCAGAGAATTTACATATAGCCTGCGATGTTTCTGTGTATTTCAATCTGAAACAGTCTCCACATTAAATCCTGCCCCACTATTGGCAATTTCCAATCAAAACTATTGTTCCACATTCCTTCAATTGCTTTTACTTCTTCCTAAATCTGCCCCAGTCATGTCAAATGTAGTTTCTTTTCATTAATCTGCTGTTTTGTACTGATTGGTTGTCTGGTTTTTACTAAGTTTTGTCTTTTACCCTCTTTTTTTAATGTTAAATTATTTGCATAATAATTTAGATTATTAATTAAACTATTCAACAATGATGTCAAGGCCATTCAGTTTTCCTCCTAAGGTTATCATGGACACCTAACTGGACAGTTAATGAACACATTGTTCGATGATGGCTGTCTTTCGCAACATCTCACAAATTTCTTCTTTCAGGCATTTTCATTTAGTTTGGAAAATCTGCCAACTTTATGCACCTTATAAACAAAACAACAGTGACCCAAAAATGTTTCAGCCATCTAATGTGAATTTTGCTATTTATACAGTCTTAATCTATCATATTTTTAAACATATTTCATTGTATTTATAGAATTATTCAAAAATGTTTTCATTTATTTTAGAAAATGCTGATAACCTATAAACCTATGTTAAAATGCAAACGAAATAATCAATGTTGGAAGCCTGTTGTGCAGTCTTTGTAAAGAAAACAACATTTGGTTTAAGAATTAGTTCCAAAGCTGCAGATAATGTGGTAAGGTCTTAACAATAATATTGTAAATATCAATTTTATTTCTTGCCGGTTCGCGTCCTGGTGGGGGCACCGGAATCTTTCTGTGTGGAGTTTGCATGTTCTCCCCGTGCAGCGTGGGTTCTCTCCGGGTTCTCCGGCTTCCTCCCACACAGTCCAAAAACATGTTGAGGTTAATTGGTGATTCTAAATTGTCCGTAGGCGTGAATGTGAGTGTGCTTGGTTGTCTGTCTCTAAGTGTAGCCCTGTGATAGACTGGTGACCTGTCCAGGGTGTCCCCTGCCTTCAGCCTAAGTCGGCTGGGATAGGCTCCAGGATTAAGCGGTGTATAGATAATGGATGGATGGAATTTTACTTCTCAACTGAAAAGCATTTGATTCAACAGCTGCTGTTTTAAATGTTCTATATCAATAAAACTACTTTCACTTCAGTTGAGTCTAAACAGAGAAACGGTTCGGTCATTTGTTGGTCATAACCTGTTTCCTTCGACCAGACTGCGACAGATTCCACTGGTCCTGGTCCATCGTGTTTATCAGCTCCTTCTCCTCCTCCTCTGATATAAAGTTCTCCCACAGAAAGACACCAGGGAACGGGAAAGATGCAGAATCACCATCTTCGGCAACGGCGAGCCTCGTTTCTGGGTTGTAGACGAAATGATTCACACCCTTCGTAGAAAAAACCCAACACAAAACAAAACAACGATTAGGAATTCTTCATTGCTAAAAATTAACCACACGTAGAGTCTAAAATACTACACTGACACATGTTTTAATGAGAAAAACTGACAGTAAACACGTAATAGCTCCGTAAACGCGTTTTTGACAAAGTGTAGATGTCCTGTGAGGGCTTCCGTAGCTAGCTGTGAACAGCAGTGCTAGCATTAGCTTCGTGCTTTTTCCGTTGGTAAAACAGAACACAAATACTGTTTCATTTAGACATGACTACCTGTGATTCAGTCGCCTCCAGTTGTACTGTCCTCTTAAACTTTTCACAAACGAGACACCGCCGGATGCCTTTACAACCACATGAAGTGCCACCGTCACTGCTGTCAGGAGCCATCATCATCTTCATCACCATCATCATCCTCCTGCATCTTCTTCATGTACAGAAATAACATGTCTCCTGAAATAGTAAAATACCGCCACCTACTGGAGCCACGGGTCAGTCGGTGTTATAGGGTAACTTCAACAACTAAAAAAGGATGAAATATTTTACTAACAATTATTTCAACACCATCACACAAACATTTCATCTGTATTAACCTGCAAATAATCTATTTTGCATCTTCTTCATGTGTTGGGACAACAACACATGCTGCTAAAATAAATAAATATTGGATAAACCTTACAAATATGTATCCGAATAAAAAATCCAAGTAATCCAAGCACAGCTAAAAAGAAAGCAAATATGAGCATGAATAAAATAAAATAAAATATATTAATAAAAGTTTCTGTTAAAATACACAGTCGCCAGTAACGCTGATATTGCTAAGTCAGGTTGAGCATGGTCATGATCATAAACATATTTGTAAGGCATTTTTTAAAATGACTTTTCTCTGAAATCTAAACTAAATTTTTTCAAAAGCTGAACATGTTGGACACAAATTTGTTTTTAAGAATGATATACTCATAGAGACTTTTTTTTTTTTTGCTGACATACATTCATCTAAAAAAAACAAAAACAAACAAACTACATTTTGCCTGTCAGGCTGAGCTCAGGGGTCAAATAACCCCGGAAGTCACACAAACCACGCCTACCGGAAGTACGCAGCGTTTCCCCGGGAAAGCTCAGTTTCTACAGGACGGTGTGTTGACCGGAGTCATTGAGGGGTTTGTCCGTGTTTTTTTTTTTTATTAACAAATATGTACTAATTCATTACTCTAACGTTATCTTGCGGCAGAAAAACTATTAAGATGAGCATTAAAGCTCAATAATGAGTCATTTATTGTTTATAATGTTCACTTTGTGAAGACATTCAACGATACTGCAGCCTGAGTTTCAACGTGGCGAGAACCGGGTGTTTAAAGGAAACCTTCTGCAGCTTGCTGATACAAATACTATAAATGTCCCCCAAAAATACAGTTTTGTGGGATCTAATATGTGTATTTAAAGCTATGACAGTATTACTGTAAATCCTGTGTTGTAACACATTCTGACTAAAACTTGTGAGTGTTGTTTGTGTTTTTGTCTTTTACTATTCTCGGTTGAAAACTCTTCTCTGATACACACTAACTGTAAACATGTGTTAGTGGAGGAAATCTTTTATTTATTAGGTATTCTTATTTATGCTGGTGACCTAAAGGAATCTAGTTTGCTAAGAAAACAAAGAATAAGAGGAAAAGGCCAAACAGAGGAGCTCACGAGGCATGTCAGTACAAGTAGCGCTGCAGCTTGATTAATCAATCAGTTTTATGATGAAGTGTTGGTCATTGTTTTCCAAAGCCTACTAGGATGTCTTCAGATGTCTTTTGTCCTAAAACTCTCGGGTTACTGTCATAGAGGAGGAAGGAGACCAGAAAATATTCACATTTAAGAAGCTGGAATTAGAGAATTTAGATTTTTTTTTAATCTTTAAAAAAATACTTAAACCAACTTATTGATAATACAAATAGTTGACAAATGTGTGTAATTGTTGCAGTTCTAAATGTTTGTGGGTTTGATGTTTTCAGGTTCATTTATCATGGATATGTGCAAATTTTAACTCATTAGGCGCAGCGCTGAATGCAATTAGTTTTGCAGGTATTTTGCTCTTAAACCAGAGTATTAAACAGCCACATAGTTGGCAGTTAATTTAATAGCTAACACCTAGTTGAGTAATCGTTGGAGCTCTAGTTACAAAAATAACAATTAAATCTGATCTGAAAGAAAGGCATTGTTATAAATTGTAAACATTATGTAAATTTACATGAGTCAAACATTGAGTGCAAACTTAACAATGACTTAATTTTACAAGGTTGCTCTGTTCAGTACTCTGTGTATTGAATACACTGCAGTCCATCTAAAACAGCTCCTGAAGTTTTTTAAATAAACTCATTGAGTCTGTGCTGCATAGTTTGAAATGCAAACAAAAATAGAACTTTCTCATCAAATTTGTTTAATATTAAAGTTTTTTTTGCTGAAATTTAGTCGTTGCATTGATCAAATTGTTGCATTAATGTGACCAGTACGACCCGACGTCACTGTTGGTGCAGATTATTAACACTAAAGAGGTCCCTAAAACAGATTTAACGCCATTTTTTCTTTTTCAGTTGTTTCTTTGGTTTGTTAGTTTCTGAATTGTGCTTTTCCCTGCAGATAAACAATGGAGAAAATAACAGAGAAGCTTTTACTGGAGAAAGGCTCTCCAAAAACCAACAAACTGGAGCAAATCAAAACCCTGAAGTAAGCATGCAAGTTTTTGTTTCCTTACAATGCTCTGCAGGTTTCCGATTGGAGTTAAAACTGGTCATAGCTGTTGGTGATACCTATGAAAGAAGGACTTGAACAAATGTACAGCCAGGGATATAGTTTTGAACTGGTGCTCTGTTCTCTTTTTCAAAAGAGAAATAAGTTAAGGCATTGAATGGCCTTTATGTGATATTATTTTTTGCGTACATCATTGTGTGAGTGTCAGTTTTGATATAATTTTTGCTCAGATTTGTTGTGGAGGTAATAAAATAACCCCTTCAATAAAACCTTTATATTTGATTTGATTTCGTGCCCTGTGGAGACCCTAACTTGAGCCTTTCTGCTGTTCAGTCTGTCTAAGATGGGGCTGCAGCTCCAGGACTTGTCTGTGAAGCTGCTGTCGCGCCTCCGGGCCCTGGAGCGGTGGGATCTGTCTGAGAACAGACTGCAGGGCTTTCACAAGAACCTGGAGCTGCCCATGCTCCGATACCTGGACCTCAGCGACAACCAGATGGAGGACGTCACCACTCTGGAGTCTCTCAGCGGCCTAGAGGAGCTCAAGATGGACGACAACCTTTATATCACAGTGAGGACGTGGATTTGTTTACTGTTTTAGGGGCGAATGTTGCAGCTGCAGCACGAATGCCAAATACATGAACACATTATATCTTAAAGGACCAGTGAGAGGGCTGCAAGGTGGCGCAGTTGGTAGCACTGTTGCCTCGCAGCAAGCAAGAAAGTCGCCGGTTCGGTTGGGGGCACCGGAATCTTTCTGCGTGGAGTTTGCATGTTCTCCCCGTGCAGCGTGGGTTCTCTCCGGGTTCTCCGGCTTCCTCACACACAGCCCAAAAACATGCTGAGGTTAATTGGTGATTCTAAATTGTCCGTAGGTGTGAATGTGAGTGTGCTTGGTTGTCTGTCTCTAAGTGTAGCCCTGTGATAGACTGGCGGCCTGTCCAGGGTGTCCCCTGCCTTCGCCCTGAGTCGGCTGGGATAGACTCCAGCCCCCCCGCGACCCTAGTGAGGATTAAACGGTGTATAGATAATGGATGGATGGACCAGTGAGAATCAGTTGTTTATCCTGTTTGAATATATCCCCTGTTTAAGGCCTTTGTGTCTGTAGTTTGCATATTCTCTTGTTGGGTTTCCTCCCACTTTTTAACACATGCAGATTTTGTGAAGAGGACACTCTGACTGTAGGTGTGAATGGTTGTCTATTGTGTCGACTCTGATAGACAATGTTTCTGCCTCTCTTGCAAAAGATAAACGGAGTGGCTTCTTACTTTATGTGATGTGTTTGATAGCTCAAAAACCTCCCGGCCTTCCTTCTTGTTTTGCTATCAATAAACCTAGTCTTTCATTAAAACCAAAATTATCAGCACAGTTGTTTAAGAAGCTTGAAAGGATACTTCAATAACTTAGTTTTGCTCCATTATAAGATATATTTCAACACTACTGACTATGAAACAAAAGGTCAAAATCATTTCTAACTTGTCGTCTTTGGCGTAGTTATAAAACACAGCATCTTTTACTTTGTATAAGTAATTATCCGTTCATTTATTGAGCCAAAAGACATGATCACATTATAATTTCACACTTTTAATATTTGCTTTCGATAATATTCACATCCAAATGGTAGAGAGTTCAAGCTTAGGTTTCCTCTTTTTGTGTGATTTCCAGTCGACTCGCTGGATTTGTAGACATCAGTCCAAAAAAGTACAATTATTTGTTTTCAAACCCCAATGCAGGACGGAAATGAAACATATCTAATTTTCATAGAGCTTCAGTGATTCATCCATCATTTGTCAACTAATAAATTAAGCAGCAACTGTGTTAATAATTGATTAGCTGCTTTGAGTAATTTTCTAAGAAAAAAAGTCAAACTTCTTTGATTCCAGCGTCTTAAATTTGAATATTTTCTCATTTCTTTCCTCCACTGCGACTGTAAATTGAATAGCTTTCATTTGAGGAAAAAGCAAGTTATTAGTCATCTTGGCCTTGAAATCTTGACATTTCTTTCTTTTTTTTAAAAAACATTTTCTGACATTTTATAGCCCAAACACCAAACTTATTTATCAAGGATATAATCGACGGATCAATTGACAATGAAAATTATTCATAGTTGCAGCCTTGACCTTTCGTGTGTATTTTCAGTAGTTCTTTCAACATTAAAGGCCTCCTCACTGGGTCTTAAACTTGATGGTTAATTTTAGTTTCCTCTGACAGGTGAGTGACAACTACAAGCTGATGGTGTTGTTGCCCAATCTGAGGATCTACAACGGTAAAGATGTCAGTACGACGGCCAACCACTTACGCTACGTCTACAGCGACAACCTGAGGACGAGGGTACGAAGCTGACCAATTCTTTTACTGTATTTTATGACATTAGAACAATGTCCCACGATTAGACTCTATGCTAACTCAACAAATAATGTTCTAGAAGTTTTTTTTTTTCTGCTGCAAATATAGCAGAACAGGTGGGTTTAATTTGTGATCGTTGAAACTTTTGTTCTTTATTTCAGGTTATTGCACTTTGGGGGAAGAGCTTCAGTCTCCCAAATCCCATCACACCAGAGAAACTGGCCGCCTTGGAGAGCAGCTTTGTCAACACGGCCCGTCAGCAAGTTAAATTCGGACCCAGTTCAGTCAGTGACTTCACCAAATGGAAGGTAGGTTCAGGATGGTAAACACATTCAGACCAGTTTTTGTGTTGCTTTCTGTCTATTTTCATTTTAACTGCTTCTTTGCCTCCGTTTAGGTGGAGATTATCGCGAAGGAGTATCTGCGCTCACTGACTGACCCAGATAGCAAAGAGGAGTCTGCTGACACTGAAGAGATCTGTGTAAGTTTCAGGCAGGTGCTCTGCATTAGCACCAAGTTGAGACCAAATAATAGTTTCTTTACATGTAGTTTCTTTACATCAGCGTCTTCCTGCACACTGCTTTGGTTAAAAATAGGTCCAATCTGGTGTTTTGATCACTGGGAAATACTGAGTGATTTCATTAAGGTTTTATTAAGATCCTGTAAAGTCAGTTTTATTTGCAACATGTATCCTGCCGACACATAACAGCACGATTTTGGAAGGAGAATAAATACATACAGGAAAAACATCCAGATCTTCTATGCTTAGGCGATGGATAGATTATTCAAAACTTTAAAAGTTTCCTGTGCTGCCATTTATTAATCTGATCGCACTATAAATAAACAAGTATGTGTAACGATTGCTAATCTTGATTGTGGATGGCGATCACAGCTTGAGCTTCACATTGAAGTTGTCTCCTTTCTGCCAATACAGATCAGTGCATTTCGATATTTAGAAACATCTTTGACTCTATGTAGGATTTATTGAACAGTTCTATTAAGGTTCAATCTTCATTAAATAATCTTAGTTTTCTAAGACTGCACAGGCGCTGCGGTCTCTTTTTGCGTAATCCTTATCTTAAAATCTATTTTTAAAAAATCAGCAAAAACTGGCCGTGGCATGTTTAGTTATATTTCTCAGGACTCACAGTAACTGTAGCATCAGCAAACTTCAAGAAATGACTGGTGTTATTTTTGCATGATGTGCAATCATTTGTATATAAAAAAAATCTATATTAATAGTAAAAGGACACAACATTGACATGAGCCTGTGGATGTAGACAGGAGAGATGAAAGGCTGCTTATTTTTCCGTTTACAAAAGTCTATGAGGGTAACATCATGGCCAAAACTAATTATTAATTCATTTGCTAAAATATGGGGTTGTATGGAATTAAAAGCACAACATAAATAACAGCCACCTTCCAAGTGCTGCTGTGACTTTGGTTCTCTTTTGGTTCTGGTATACTTATTATATATAAAGTCTAACAACAGTAGTGGCACCTGAAAAGGTCAATTGATAATGCAGGAAACTTAGAAGCTTTATTGAAGATGTTTAAACTTCATTTTAATACATATTTGTTTTAATTAGGATGTGTCAATGCCCAGCAAGAGGAAACAAACTGAGTCAGAAACCGACACCAGCATCAGTTTTACACCCTGCAAAAAGCTGCGCTCAGACCTGACAGCGTCTCTGGTCAAAGACAGTCCTCGCAAGTCCAGCCTCCGCCTCAAACCTCAGACCTTGACCGAGACTGCCGTGGCCAGGTCGAGCCCCCGCAAGACGAGCCAGCCTCCCTCCACCCCCACTAGAGGGCAGCTGAGAGCAGAGACACCCGGCAGGAGGAGTTCCAAAGCGCAGCAAAGCCAAGAGGATGGACCGCAGACCAAACAGCTGAAGGCCACACAGCTGCAGAGAGGCAACGACATGCCACCCGGGATGAGGAGCCTGAGCAACACACAGGTAGTGCAAATAAAGAAATAGTATACTGGTGCTTCTTCTGAGTCATTTACAAGTTGCAGAATCACAAAGAAGTCGCAAAGGATCTGCACATTATTAGTGTGGTGTTAATGCTCTGCAGGCTTTTTTTTGTTGTTGCAGTTTTTTAGGATAGTGATGTTGAAATGTTAGTGTATGTGTGCATTTTACCCCCAGAGGAATCCACAATATCTCCACAGCTATTGTCCAGATTGTCATAAAAGTTGCTCTGACTGTCACCGGTCACAGGCTACTTTTGTCAAGCATCTTAAATTAACTGTAAAGAGTGGATTGTAAGCCATTTAAGGCGATGACAGGCAGTCACACAGCACTTTAGGCCACTTTAAAACTGTTAAATATGCTGCTGTGAAATCTGATACAGACATTTATTGTTCCCAGAGTCTTTGGCTGAGATTCGCTTTTATGGTTTGAAAGTAAATGTCTCCACAACTATTTGATGGATGGCCAGACATTTTCTGATACACACACGCCCTCTCAAGATTAGTTTAAAGACTTTGGGGGTCATTTCACTTTTCATTTCTTTTGCTGAGGAGTAAACAATATGCAAATAAAAATTAGCTTAATAGATTTTGCTAAATGAGCCAGGAGTCAAGTGGGATTGGTCGTTTTTTCATCTCTTTTCCACTGATTTAAAAAAAAAAAAGATAGTGATTTTTGCTGCATTCTGTGCCTATCAACCATGTTCCTTGTCTGGCGATTATGATTTCTATCAATGGCTTTACAGTGCTTCATTTCTAATAGCATTTTTGGACACATTTTACTTTCATTAAAAGATTGCAGCTCCTGCAAGTTGGATTTTGTTCAAATTGCAATATGTTTAATATTTTAGTCGATTGTTCAGCTCTATAGTTTTAATCGCTATGATTAAACATTACAGGGTTGAGGGGCAAAAAAGTATCAAAAAAGATCATTTGTGAAAAGAAAGTCAGTTTCTTCAAAAGATTTCTTGATCTTGTTTCCTGTCGAATGTTTATCAAGGAAGGAGCTGATTTTGATCTGCTGGTCTCCTCTTCTGGATGTCGCAAAAGAAAAAAATAGTCAACAATTTTCAGATGTGCTACAGTTTCAGTAAAATGAATATATTTTGGGTTGTGGACCAAAGGAGGCATTTCAGGACGTCATTACTGGGAAACAATGATCAACATTTTTTATAAATTTCGGACATTTTATAGACCAAACAGCTTGAAGAGGCTAAGCCAATGCTTTAAGCCACTGGGAGAATCCAAACAGGAAAACTTACTTGATGCGCTATATTAACTATGTCTGATGAATTAAAGTCAAACTCCTATTTGCTTTACGATGCACACAGTTTCTTTATTTGATATCCAAATCTTATTAAAGTGGATATTTCCAAATCACATCCATACATGTGGTAACTTTCAGCGTGTTGCTCAGCGGTCAACAACTGGTTCGTCCCCTTCTGGTTGGAAACCTTATCCAGACAGAAAGGTTCCTATCATTTATAGGTAAAACTGACAATCAGCACATTATCGTGAGACCCATTTACACCAAACATAGCACAGCGTTTCCTGATCTGCTCCTACACGGCTGATCGATAAATCAAGATAATCGTGAACAGACTAATTGACAGTGGCAATGATCTTTAGTCGCAGCTTGTTAGAATGCTAGTGTTAGTGCTTGGTTACAGGGCTAGCGTAGCTGTGAAGTGTTTTTCTTTTTTATTTCCCCTGAGCTTCATATATGCAGCTGGTTTTGCTGTCAGGACATCGTGTCATTAATATAACCTTTTCTGATCACTCTCATCTTCCTTTTTGTCCACGTGTTTTCTGCAGCCGGTGCATCTGAAGCCGCTCCACGTGCTTCAGTGTCACAGCAAACAGGACAACCCGGAGGACTTCTCCACCCAGTTGTGGGCCTGCGCCTTTCAGCCGGACTTCTCTGGTACTGTTGAACTTGTCTAGAAACACTAATTCCCTCACATTTATCAGGGCATCCACAAGCCAGATGAGGCCTGGATCATTAAACAACAAGCTCTATCTGTAAAGTGATTTGTTGAAAACAGGATTAAAGTCGGTGTCTTTTCCTGCATCATCAGGTGGTGGAGGAAGCCGTTTGGTGGCTACCTGTGGAGGAGACTCTGTCTGTGTGATCGACTGTGAAACAGGGATGGTGATGAAGAAGTACAAAGTCTCTGGAGAGGTCTGCTCCATTTATTCAGATTAGTCTACAGTAATTTGGCTTTAAAGGTTGCACTTATTCTTGTGTCCTCGACTCATAATTACAAGATATGTTCATACTTAAGATTTGAAATGCCAATATTTACACATCAGTGGATAAAACTGTGGTCTGATCTTGGAAAACACACTGATGAGACATGGATAAGCTGCAGCTCTCTGTGTGTGTTGTTTGCCCCGCAGGAGTTCTTCTCTCTGGCCTGGTCCACGGTGCTGATGTCCAGAGGAGGCACAGCTTCGGCTCAGCAATGCAGCATTCTTGCAGCTGGCGGGAAGAGAGGACTGGTCAAACTGATCCATCCCAGAAACAACGTGGCGTACGGGGAGTTCAGAGGCAGCAAGAAGTCGCTGTCTGTCCTCCGCTTCAACCCCCGGCAAGGAAACTTCCTCTTCAGTGAGTTGTTAGTCATAGAAGCTTTATAACGTCAGACAGATTAGAACCTAATTACGCTTAATTACACGTCTTGGTTGCATGTTTTTGTTTATTATTTCTATGTATAGTAATTCCACCAATTGTAGAAAATAATTGAGAAGATCTGGGTTAATCGATAACGTGACGAAAAAGCAGAAGCAAGTTATAACTAAAGCGACAGTTTAGCTTAAACTCATAAAGAACAGAAAACAAGTACACTGTAAAATGATTATAAACATCCACCACAGATTACTGGTTAGCTTCTGCTTCAGCTGTGATGCTGCTGTGTAGTTTTCAGTTCAGCAAGGAATTATTTCTGTTTGGGTGAGAACACTTTCAGTTTTTCCTTCAAATGAATCAATCTGCTTTTTCCAGCTTTTCCAGGAACCTCATCCTGTTCTCAATCAGTTTTGTTTTTGAAGGAGACGACATACAGTCCTTTCTCTCATCTTAGCTCGTTGTGTAGTGTGCAGTCAGTCAGTTTTATTTATGAAGCACTTTTCTAACAAATCATGTGCATTTTAAAGTGCTTTACAAGCAACAACTTGGAGACTAATGCACAACAAAACAATAAAAGTGAATACAAAAGAATAAGAGACTGGTAGTTAAGATGATATAAAGATAAATAACGATAATTCAGGAAAATAAAACTATTAAAAATGATATAATTTGTCATAATTATGTGTATTGTTCATAGTAAAAATGGAACAATAAAAAGATAAATAACAATGATAAAACAATCAAACCTCTATAAATCCTAAAACCATAAACTTTTACAACACAACAGTCAGTCTGAATAGATGAGGTTTTATCTTTCAGCTTAATAATTATTATTAATTGTGATCTTAAGTGTAAAGACTCAAAGCAGCATCACCAAATCTTTTTGTTCTGTTTGGTGGAACAGATAAGAGAAGAACCGATAGATCTGAGAAGTAGTTTGGTGTAAGGCTATGTAGTGCCCTTGAAACTAACTTTTATATGAACATGAAGGCTAACAGGTAGCGAGTGTAAAGACTTTTGGTCATTTGGTCTTAGTCAGCACTCGAGCAGCAGCATTTTAAATGAACTGTGGTTGATTTATTGTAAATAAAGTCTTTATTTAGTCCTCACTCTGCCTGCTGCTGTTACCTCCTCATGTTTGCCAAACATTTCTGTACGACAACCAAGTTCTGACCCGTTGATCACCTGAGAAGGTTTTCTGTGCTCAGATTCATTTTACTTATCTTGACTAACTTCATTGGGTAATCTCACCATTTCGCTCTCTGTCCTCCAGCCGGATCATATGACAACAAGATCACATTGTGGGACATTGGTGGAGTGGACAGCCAGTACAACTTCAAAGTTGTGTGAGTGATTCTGCCTCGACGAGTCATTTTTATCTACAATATCAGTCTTTGCAATACATTTTCTTTTCCCAAAACCATCTTTTTTGAAACAAAACTGGGCACTATCCCGATTAAAATTCCAATCTGTCCTGGGTGGTCTATGGAGTTTTTAAGCAGCTTCATTAAGCTGAGTCAGTAGCTGTCCTTTTCTATGGACAATCCATGATTTGTCTTAATTTAAACTTCAAGTCTGGTGGAGATGCTTCATTTTTGGCCACACTATTGTGCTTTTAATTGGAAAATATTGGACATATCTTGTGTATCTTTTATAGTGTGTTCTTTATATAGCACATATAAAATAAGATATGCTGACCCAAAATGCCTACCAATTAACATGTACAACAAGTTTAAACATTAAGGCTAGGAACCTACAGAAATACCAGACTAAATTATGTGGTTATTTGAAGTTATTTGTAACACATGCAGTACATATTCAGTGCATTAGCAAGTTTTCTGCTAGAATTTAATTTCTATTCGCTGAGCTGCACATTTGCAAAACAATATTAATACTGAGAATATTTCCAATCGTCTGTGCAGTCAGCTGCTGGTGTTAGAGGTCAGTGCCACCCCTCTGCACATCTGTCTACCCCCGACTACCCCCAACACACACCTGCTGACTGCCTGCGAGGACGGACTGCACTGCTTCAACACGCAACTGGGAACCAACAACACCACAAAGAGGTAGACGAGTCCACTGCCTCTGTCTCTGTTCCACTTCTACTTTATACTGATAACAGTTATAATTACTGGGAGCAGTAAGATTGTTGTGTATTGTAGAGTTTTAATCAGTTTTAATCAGAAAACCATGTATATAATCATACATGTGGAATAACCTGTGTTGTTGTTTTTTTTTCCTCAGTAGGTCAGAGGAGATGGAGATAACTTTCCCCATTTATAAGAAAGAAGATGAAGACCACGACTACCACATCATCGATGGCTTGAGCTTTCTTAATGATGACATAGTGGGTAAGTGAGGCTCGTTACCACAGCACCACTGTAGTCTAAAGTGGAAACATTGAGTCACGTTGGATTTAATTAGTGTTTTTAGCTGTGGTTGGTGTTGTCATTGTCTACCAGTTTGGTTCCAACTGAACCTGAAGCTGGTATGAAGCTGAATTTCCAGGACCATCTGTGTATTTAGGGAGATTTTTTTGGAAACTTTAAACCTGATTTGAAAAAAAAAAAATACTTTGTTTGTGTTTGTGAATCATGTTAATTTGTATTTTTGGAACTTCACCAGCTGTGTTTCCTTCATTTTAAGTTTCAAATTCACATTTAAATCAACTGCAAGATAGTTTAAGATCCCAGAATGTAAATCCCAAAATCCCCAGCTCTCCCTTCTTTCTATACATGTCTTTATTGTTTCCTTAACTTTCTCTTCTTTTGTCTTTGTGCGTCATTGTTGTAGCCTCTAAGAACTGCATGCACGGTTCCATTTACTTGTGGAGCTGGAGCAGGACCAAGGCTCAGCGGCCGAACAAGAAGAACAGGACCGTGTGTGCTGTGGTTCTGGCCGAGCTGCAGTGGGCCAACACCGAGATTCCCTACCTGGCTCTCAACACTTGTCCAGGTAAGTCCACATCCGCTGATCAGCTGCACTGAGATGTGTTTAAAAGGTTTTGAACAATTTTTTAAAGAAATACTGAAATGTCACATTTACGTCTGTCGTCAAACCCTTCATTCAGTACTTCTGCATCAATTTCTACAAACTTTGCACACGTAAATTCAGGCAGTTCAGCCATTTCTTCCCACAAAACCTCATCGAATTTCATCAGATTAAATTGAAAACATCTGTAAACTGTCATCTTCATGTTTCTCCACACGTTTTACGGGATTTAAGTCTGAGTTTACTTAAGGACGCTCCATTGTTGTCTTGTCGGGATGCTTTGGGCCAGATAATGAGAATTTCCGGGTATTTCCCAGACGTAGTGTTTATAGCAGAGCACCTGAAACTCAGATAGATGTTTTAACCGCTGTTTGTTTTCATTCGTTTCTCTTTAGGTCGAGCGTACGTGGTGTGCGGTGACAACAGAGGCAGGCTGTGGACGTACCACGTCACTGACCTCCAGAAAAACAGTTTCCAGACGGGGAAGCCCATCCAGCCCACTGAGGTATCCAGAATAATCATCAAGTGTTGTGGCGGAAAGCTATTTAAAGGATGAATATTTTGTAGGTTTTGAACATTTGTCTTCTGGTTATGATAACTTTGCTCTTCTGGGACATTGTGTCATTACACCGAAGCAGTCACAAGAGGAAAAACACACATTGTTTAGCAAACAGGGTGTAAACAAACCTCCATATCTGGCAAACAGTGAGCAGTAGAATCACTCTCCAAGCTCTAATGCTAAACATCTGCTACAGTTTCAGACATGACATGTCATGGTTCAGTTTATTAGCGATGATTACTGACATTTTGGTTGAACTCATTTCTAATTTACCTCCAACTGACGTGGTTTAGATAAACAAATCTCTAAGAAGTAAAACTGTTTCTCAGCATTAATAAACTGAAATTGTCTTCTGACTACAGAGTTCTTCGGAATAATCTTAGTTACTAATTGCTTTACTTTTCTTCGTCACCATCTAACTTTATAAGATTAGATTAGTTCAGTTTATTTAATTCTTTCACCCCGATGAAGATGAAATCAAGAACATACAGAGATAAGCGTCTTGTCCTTTTCTTCACAACTCCGCATCCAACCAGTGAAACTTCTCCCCAGATGTGTTTTTGCTTCGTTTGCAGCTCGGCAGCTAACGCGTTGCTTGTTTTGTCAGGTGTTGGAGTGGCCGACCCCGATGAGGAACGGCCTCAGCCAGACAGAGGGTCCCTCCATCAACAATGTAGCGACGGACCCCGAGCTTCGCTACCTGGTCGCCCTCAGCGACAAGAACATGGTGATAGTATGGAAGAGAGACGAGTCGTCCTGAGTGACTGTACGAGCCAAGCAGATTGCTACAGTTTTTTGGGATATAAATTAGCCGGGCGTCACAGAAATGCAAATTAGTTTGGAACCTCTGAGTTGATTTTTGATTATCAAGGCTTCGACTAAAATGCCTCTGAAAGTCTGTTTTAGCAGGACGGGGCCCAGATTGCATTTTGCCACCGCAAATTAAACATCTGGTTCTCAGGCTACATATTTTTAGTAGCGTCAAGAATGAGTTCAACATACCAAATTTTGATATTTTTTTTGGTTAGATATGAAAATATTGAAGACAGGATGGTCCATATCAGCGTTAACGTCCATGCGAGATGTTTCCTGATAACGTTTCAATCTGTTTTCCTTTTCCTTCTCATTTTCTTCATAATCTTTGTGGGAAAAGTGGCTTTCATGGTGACGAACTGAAAGTAGAATAACAATATTCTTTTTAAGTGTAATACATAGACTTTGGCATTAAACTCTGTCACTTGCAGGGTTTTCGATGACACTTAAAGGTGTTTGTTGTTGCTATGTAACCTTTTTATCTGCTGATTTGTTGTTTGAAACAAAACACATTTACTCTATTTAATTCTAAAAAATTAATTGGCCCTGTGCATTTTTAAAAAAATCTAATTCCTTGTCAAAGGTTGTGTCTGTAAATGAGATTCTGCTCAGCTGTAGTGAAAAGTTGCTCGCTCTTGTTACCATGGTGCCACAACAGCAATGATGATGGTTTCTGCTTGATTTATTTCAGCATGAGGGCCCAGGTAGATGGATGAGAACCACTGAGATACTTAAAGTTGCTAATTTTCACATTAGCGATCAATATTTTAATTTTAACAATGGATCAAATGAATGTGTGTGATGTAAAAGAGGCCAACCGCAGTGAGGAATGGTTTCAGTAACAAGGATTCATTTGTGCAGACAGAGTGAGTGACTAGCAGGTGAACACAGTAGAGAATTTAGCAGCAACAGGAGACATTAACAGACAGAAAATATTTGTTTTGTTTTATTAGAAAAAAAAGCTCCAGGAAAAATGCTGCTAAACGCCTGAGGGATGTATGAAAAGGTTTGCTACCTTTAGGTCAAGTGGTTAAAAATATGTTGACGATTGTTTAATCAGTTAAACTGAAGTCAGCAGCCTTGTGTATGAAATGAAATGAAATGAAAAATACTTTATTCATCCCAGAAGGGAAATTCATGTATGTACCTTTTTATGCAATTTTGTACATTGTTGTATATTTTCCTCTATTTTCAGATGTAGCTGTGTTTTTTAACCTCTATGTGAGTGAGCCTTGTGCTGTTTAAAGGACAGGTTTGGTTAGATGTGCAGCTTTAGCAGGAAAAAAGCAGCACAATGTGTCTCTCCCTGCTGGATAATTATATTGATTTGAACAGAAACGTATCATTTACTGCCCACAGTAGTACAATACTGTGTCAACGTGCAATCCGCCGTGTTTTTATGTGCTGTGAAGCTGTACATTTACTTTCATTTCATTAAAAGGACATTTTTAACTTTCATTCGGCTCAAATGTGTTGTGAGGTGGAAGGACTGGATTTGAAAAAGAATGTGGCTTATCGTATTTCAGCTGTATCTGGTTTTGTAACAAAACCAGACTTTTCTGTATTTTTTTACAAGTCCAGATTCAGACCACATGGGACAAACTGTATGTTTCTTAACTACTATTCTACTATGATATCTTGTTTTTTTTCTGAGAAATCAAATTACATTTCAGTCACACCTTGAGTTTATTTCTCTAAAAGCTCCTTACTACTCACTCATATCTTTAAATATACCATAGCACTAAAAAAAAAAAGGTTGTATTTATCAAAAATACAGGATATAGGTAAATAAAAATGTACCGTTTGCAATCATATTCCGGGCTGCAAAGTGGATCGGTGGTTAGCACCATTGCCTCACAGCAAGAAGGTTGCCGGTTCGTGTCCTGGTGAGGAAACCCAGAATCTTTCTGCGTGGAGTTTGCATGTTCTCCCCGTGCAGCGTGGGTTCTCTCCGGGTTCTCCAGCTTCCTCCCACACAGTCCAAAAACATGTTGAGGTTAATTGGTGATTCTAAATTGTCCGTAGCTGGTTGTCTGTCTCTAAGTGTGGCCCTGCGATAGAATGGCGACCTGTCCAGGGTGTCCCCTGCCTTCGGCCTGAGTCAGCTGGGATAGACTCCAGCCCCCACGCGACCCTAGTGAGGATTAAGCGGTGTGTGGATGGATGGATGGTTGGATAGATCATATTCCTTTGTAGAAAAACATATTAGGTTTTTTTTCTGCTGATTCCTGTCTAGAATACCAAAAAGTAATTATTATTATTGTGCTTATTAAGTATCAGTATTGCTCGGTGGATGAATTTCTTGTCATTTTTTTTGCCTTTACTCATGGCGTTTTTACTTGTGAGCATTCAAGCAGACTCCATATTTTGTTAATTCCATGTCAGTGTGTCAAAGTGTGTCTCACTTCTGTGTAAAACAACCATCTGCTGGAGACTTCTGAGTAAGGATACCTCAGGTGCAAATTACCAAGACGTTTAGCTTTAATGACTAGAATTAACAGCAAATGTTTAAACCATTATCAACCACTATCCTTCGGGCATTTTGTTAGACTCGCATAGAAGAGTCCAGAGACTGTAACAAATAAAATGAACATTTAGTTTTGGACTAGATACCACATAATTCATGCAGCTCCCTCCACTCAACATTTCAGTGTCAAATATAGAATTAAAAGAAAATTGGGTTCCTGCAAAAGCAATTGCAATGCTTTTGCAAGCATTTATACTACATATGCAACTAATAACTACTGTATTTTCAGATTAATCTGCTGGTTCATTTCTCAATTTAGGAAATCGAAGTGCTTGTTCTGTCTGAGTCAGCAAATTATTTATATTCATTACTGCTATACAGCAGAGGAAAAAAATCATTATAATGACAAGCTGGAGCCAATAAACATTTCATTTTTTCAGTTCTATTTTATGCATAATGTCTCACTATGATGTGTCTTCGTCAAAATGTTTAACCAAAGTGCTAAATATTAACATTAAAACCCTACAATATTACATGCAATATACAACCGTACTGAGTAAACCCCTGTGCCAAATGATTCAAAGTTGTATCCACTCTCAATAATTATTAGTATTAGATAGTTGTATTTCTTCTCAAGAATACTTTATTAAGATTGTATTGAAAATACAGGCCCCAAAACTCAATACACCTGTGATGACTGAAACTAAACTGAGTACACCTGCGATTTACAGTCAATAACTGCATGAATGTGGTTCTACAATAAGCTCTGAACTCTAGAACTTCCTCAGTTTTGGGCCAATGTGAGGCATCTCTTTGAATGTCTGCATCATGGTGCCACATGGAAAAGAATTACTGGAGGAATGAAAAATCGAATTATGAAGCTTCACAAAGATAGAATGAACCATGTAGTACCACTAATCAGCACTGCAGTGGCTAAAATCACAGCATAGACAGTGTGAAACCTTCACAATGTAGGCCTTAAAACCATACAGGTAAGTGATTGAGACTTGGTACAGGCATTATCAAGTGAAATCAGAGTTTCTGTGACAGCTCAGACGGTGTAAAGGACACCGTAGAACCTGAATCTCTGTGGACAGTATCCAAGAAAAATCTTTGCTTCCTCTTTGGCATTAAACAGCAAGAGGAAGTTTTCCTAAAATGCATGGAAAGAAGCTTGATGAATGTCGGTGACTCATTTTTTTGGCCAGATGAGACCTAGATAAAGTAGTTTAATTAAAAATGGGGTCCAGTATGAACGTGGCCAGGACGTCCACATTGAATGCATAGTCCTGACAATGAAGCACGGAGGTGGAAGTATGATGACACTGGGCTGCATGGGTGCAAAAGGTGAGACTGACTGATGGCGCCGTGAAAACATGCGGACACACCAAAGTGCTGGTTAGCAAGATGACTGCCAGTCTGCAGAAGAGAAATATGTCTACTTGATAACCATCTAGAGCAAACCAACAAAGTCACATGACAGTTTCTAAAGAAGAAAAAAGTGAAAACTATGACTTGAGCAAATATTTTGCTTGGCTTAAATCCAACAGAAAACCTTTGGGGTGTTTGAACAAGTAAGGTAAAGCAGCACAACACCTCCAGTAAAAACAACAGCTGGAAGAAAAACAATGTGTCTGAAAAATGGCAGAAAGTCTCTCATGAAATTTGGAATCCTTCATGTCAAGAAGGATGAAGTTGTAAATAGAGCTGAGCTCACACTAGTACAAAGTGTACTGACTTTAGTTGCACTAACTGTGGGTTCATGGCTTAAGGTGATCTTTATTATACCCAAGGGACAATTTGTCTTACTGTCAATGGTACACTACTGTGGCACACAATTTTACATCCCTCTAAAACAGCACAACATGCCAAAAATATGGCAATAAAATAAAATAAGATGGATTAAAATAATAAATCCATCATCAGTCATGGACAAAAATATGATGATAAAACGAAACAAAATAGATTAAAATCATATAAAATCACATAATGCTGTTAAAAAGGACAGTAGTAGCAGGGACAAATACGTTTTTCAGTCTGTTGTTTCTGCAGCTACACAGTGAGGCCTGTAATTTTAATTTAGTATTTTATACAAGAGCAAATAACCTACTTAGAACTGATGATTGTGAGGTAATTTGATTTTAAAGCACCTTAATGTAGATATCATCATCATCATCATCATCATCATCATCATCATCATCATCATCATCAACAACAACAACAACAACAACAACTTTATTTTTATAGTAACTTTTAAAGAGTTTACAAAGTACAGTCAGTCCAACCATGGGAAAAGATTTTCAAAAATAAATTAGTACAACAATAAAATAATAAAACGCCACATCCAAGTGAGAAAAACAACAAGTGGAATAAAAGAAAATAAACCATAAACATGAGCCTAAAAATAATAATAGTCGTAATAGTAAATAAGTAAAATTAATACATAAACAAGTAAATATTATAAAAATGAATATAATAAATGAAGTAAATGTAGTGTAAAAGAGAATAAAATAAACAATGAAATAAATAAAGTTGAAAAAAAAAGGACAACAAAAATAATAATGATAAAAATATTAGATAAAAATAACAAAATGATCAAGCATACTGGGGGCTGTGCAGGTATTTTAAAATCTTAAATAATGTGCATATACCTTGATAGACACCACATGTAGAATCGTCCCCTGCAGCCACAGGTCGTGGTTGCTGAGCAGCGACCGGCCCAGCTGCTCGTTGCGGTACGGAACCGAGCAGGGCTCCGCCTCTGGCCGGCTGATTGGCTCAGCTGTCATGTCGTTGGCCCGGTTCTCTCCGCCACTGGCCAATGCGTACAAAGCCCTTTCTGTACCCTCTCTACTGTATTCAGATACGTGCCTTTGTGCACCAGTACGTTGCGACCCCGATGGCCTCGTAGCAGCCGTAGAACCTAGTGTTAGCTCGGGAACAGGGCAGCCCCTGTTCGCTCAACGCAGCTCGTCTCCAAATGCGTCCGGGACTGGCGGGTATAGCGGCGGAGATGCTGAGCGGTGTCACCGGCAGGGCCAGGCCGAGGCTCGGCAGCCTCTTGCTGGCCCCAGCTACCAAAACAGTGCCTCCGCCGCCTCTGTCAGCCGCGGAGAGCCGCAGATTTCGGTCCACGTCCTCGATGCAGGGCTTCTCGGAGTTGGCGAGGGAGCGGTCCAAGACTGTCACGTCGTTTTACAACCAGTCGGCCATCGACGTTTCCGCGGAGAAGGTGAGCCTTGATGCGGGGTTTCTCCTCTGGAAGGGTCCTGGAGGAGGCTAGCTGTAGCCTGACAGCTAACCGTTAGCTCGGGTTGTGCTGCCTTCAGGGACACCGAGTAGGCAGTTTAAACGACCCTGCTCTACTTTAACTAGCATTTATTAGCGTCCAAAGCTAGCATTTGATAAAATAATTTGCATTTGTGTAGCTGTATTAAAATATAAACTTCGTGTTATTGTCCTTACTTCCTTATTTTACCGTCACTAGCAAAGAAACGTCCCATTATATCGTCTCCCAGTTGACAAAATGGAAGCTGTAACGTGTACAAAAAGCACAAGAAGCCACTTTTGTATTTTTTTGTGACGTTATATTTTCAAAACTCTGTGTACAATTATGAGTCCTATCGTTAATACTCTAATCCTGCCAAGCCCGTTATCTTCTCATTTCACTACTACTACAACCACTACTACGGACGACGTGAACGCAGCCTTACTGTCGGGACATTATGTTTTGCCAGCAGCTCAGATTTTCAGACAAACTCGACAACACCAGCTGTTTTCTGAAACTGATATTGGCCAGAAAATTTGTCCACACCAAAGTTGTTGTTGTCGCTGTGAAGATTGAGCAATAACAGGAGAGTGTAAAGTTTCAGCGATGGAGGTGCAGTTGACCCAGTTAATGTGGAGTCAGCAGGGCTGCTTATGCAAATGCTTTACTTATTGGAAATATAAGTCCAAATAAACATACAACCTACATTTAAATTGAGTTTTGCATTTAACAATCCTAATGAGTCAATGTGTTTTAATAATCCTAATGCAGCGTAAAAACCAACATGCAAATTTAAAGTCTTATCTATGGATCTAAGCAAGTTTACTTACATAGCACCTTTCATCATACAGAGGCTTGTAATGGTAAAATAAAATAAAATGTGTAATAAAAATATAATAAAATAAACCAAAAATAGTAAACAAAAGTTTATTTTAATGGACAAAGATTTGCAAATTCACTACAACTGCTTAAAAAAAAACAAAAAAAAAAACAAAAACACACTCTTTTCCAATCCCATGACTTGCTTTGTGTTATTTTTTGGCACATCCAAGTGCTTTGATCCTTGACAGTAACTCTTTTTTTTTTTTTTTTTCTTGTCATATGCTTACCAAATGTTTTTTAGCCACAGTGTTCAGCTATTTCACTGGAACAAAACAAATTTCACAAGTTATTTCTTCACAGTGCAATGGGGAAGGAATTTGCAGCTGCATATTAAATTCAAATGAAGAAATAAAACACCACCGTATTACAACATAGATGAATACAAATGAAAAATGTCATCATATACAGTGGAGCTGGTGAAAGGGCTGCAGAAATGAGCAAAACTAAAAAGTGCCAGCACATTCATTTCTACACTGATCAGTGTAACTGCAGCTGCTGATCTACAAGACCACCGATCTGCAGACTGTATTCAGCTGCATTAGTTGTCTTGTGACTGGTAGTCACTCATTAATCTGCTGCAGTGGTTCCCAGCCTCAGGGAGGGAGAGAGGGGGCGCGAGATGATTAAAGGCACAAACTGGATAGATTAGTATTGTACTAAGCATTTTCATGAACCTGAGAGAAGTAGGTCAAATTTTCCTCATGTGCATTTGCCACTTGTGCATACAAGCACACTTCTGCTTCTCAGTACTTGTGCAAACCGTCTGTCGCTGCCGTATCAGGGTACACGCAGCTACAGCTTGTACTTTTAATGGCTGTTTGACTTTGGCGTGCCTGATCGGCCTCATTTACACTTGCTGTTAACGTCAGATCTGATCCCGGTGTGAGGCAGACCATCTTTAAATGCGGTCTGACCGGTACAGTCGTGTTCTGATCGCAGTCAGTTCTGCACATATTTACACAATGCACTTTTATCTTCAGAGGAAAGATACAGGTACAGATTGCATGTTAGTGAGAAGTGCAAATGACACGTTTACACACATGGAACACACCTAAAAAAGCTGCCATTACTGATGTTACTGAGAAGGGGTCAACCAGTATAGTTTATTCAGGGCCGATACCGAATATTAGTGATCAAGGGCACTGCTAACCAATATCACAACTGATATGCATCCACAATAGAAATAGAAATCTTGGTGTCAAGATTTAGAATACCACTATCTCCAACACAAAACCTTCCTAAAAGTTGTTTATTTATGCTTTACGTACATTCAAATAAAGAGAACTTTTTAACCTTTATCCTCCAAGTTATTTTCAGTGTTGATCAATCTGTTGATTATTTTCTCCTGTAGTCAATTATTGAAAAAATATTTGGGTTTTAAAATGTCAATGTTGTTGGTGTTTCACAAAGCCAAAAATGACGTCTTTAAATGACTAGTTTCATCCACAAACCAAAGAAGTTAAGTTTACTGAGAGGGGAAGAAACTCGAAAATGATCAAATTTCAGAACCCCGATACTGGGAGTTCTGATTTGCTTTATCTTCAAAAATTACTCAAACTGATTAATCAGTTATTAAAATAGTTGGCGATCGATTTATTAGCTGACAGCTAAACAAATGCTTCATCAGTTGTTGTGGCTCTAGTCTTCTAGGCTTTTATTTGCATGTAACCAGTCAGACGAAGCTGTGAGCAGGATGTCACTGGACACCAGTGATGGACGACTGCATTAGAGCCAAAGTAGCACATTTTAAAATCCTTTTATTTTCTTGGGAATCATTTAAAAACAAAATAACAATACTGATGATTGGAAAAGTGCTAAATATCATATCTGATAATGAGCTGGGCCAATAATCAGGACCCTGGTATTGACTGCACTCTTAATTTAAAGACATATTTAGAAGTTATTTAATGGGTAGTGTAGGTTTAGATTTTTTTTTCACACTTGGAATTCTAACATGACCTGCGCAGGAATCTTTTTGCATGGCATGTAGTCTTGTAGGTGTAACAGTTGGAGAGAATCTGTAATTTAATCCAGTCACTGCACAGTTATTCATTACCTACTGGTTTGAAACACAAGCCGGGTTTCTGTGCCACATAGTACATGAACATGATTGACTTTCTCTATCCAACCAAGTCAACTCCTGCACACAGAAATGTGTATTTGTACAATGTCTGATGGCTTTCAAATGTATATTTAGCCTTGTGGTTTAATGTGTGATAATTTAGAGTAATTTGTTTTCCTTGATTTTTATAGTTCTAAACTGTTTTCAGTTCTGCCTGGTAACGATACAGAAGGTAGAATTTCTTCTTCAGTGTCATATATTGATGCAAATCCTTTTTTTGGTTGATAAAGAAAATTGTGATTGTGACACCATGTTTCCTAAGTGGGACATTTTACTGCTGAAAACAAATTATGTAATGACAGTACAGATTCTAATGATCTTAATCGTATCTTAGATGATTTATGTGTTGACATGTGCTTATATTAATACTGTAGATCTGTCTTTTTGCCACTGTAAATGTGGTTAAATTTGTAATATTGTTTATTTGCTCTTTGATCACATAGTTTCTTATTTAAACCAAAAAAAGAGACAAATGTACAGTATTTTATTTAAGTAAGGCTTGTATTTAAATATGGAACATTTTAAAACTCATTCTGTTGTCAAATTAACCATTTTTTAAATTTATTGTGTAAGGCTAAATAATATTTTAAAAGAAAAGCATATTTATATAGGAAAAAGAAGTGTCTTTCTGGCATCAGGAGTTAAAGTTAGGTATGGTGTAAGCACTAATATGAATTAAATGAACATGTTTTTCATAGTTTATGTGATTTTATGTCACCACAGGCCTCAGTGCGACTGACCTTAGCAACCCTGCTGTATTCTGGGAAGTCTCCCGATGGACACCACATCCTGGTAAATATTTCAGCCACATTGAGAGAACTGCTGAGTGTACGTTTGATGGGAAACTGCTCGTAGTGACTCTTCAATATTATCTGTGTGTGATCCCAGAGCAGTGGCAAGTATCTACACAAGGAGCTGCCTGTACGAATCGCCCATCGCATCAAGGGCTTCCGTAGTTTGCCCTTCATCATTGGCTGCAACCCCACCATTCTGCAAGTGGTAAGAGCACATTTCTCAGGACACGCCCAGACACCATGTGGCCACGTTGTATGCCGCTATACGTGAAACAGGCCTCACATCACAGTCTATAATAAGAAGGTGATAACTAGGCCACTGCACGGGAGAGTCCTGACTGAATGAAAGGAGGGAAAAGGTCTTAACCCTCTGAACCCAGCAAGTTCTTGAGTCCTTTCTTTGCAGCTATCACATTTTTACTCACTTAAAGTTCATTTTTCACTGCAGTATAAAGTCAGCACAAACAGCACAACCATTGCTAGAGGTAGAGGAAACTCAAACGTTTATTTTCTGTTGTAGGACACTGTTATAGTGCCATAAATCATAAAAAAGAAGAAATAACTTATTTTACAAGAATTCAAAAAACCTGGAATCGACGTATACAACACTTTCCCAGTGTCTTTGTTTTCATCCTTGTCTCCAATCTGTTATGTGACATAACTTTCAGTATTTAGTATTTGGTTTGGCTTGACGTCACAGTTCACAGTTAGCCAAAGAACAGCAAACATCAAAGTTAGTTTTAAGAGTGTGCTGACATCACATACCTCTGGTGGTTAACCTAAATATTATCAATCCCAACACCTTACTGGGACACTTTATGTTGGTTTTTCCTGTAACCTGTCAACAATCCATATTTATTTAATTTGTGTGTGGTCCAGGTCTGTTTTATGAAGCTGTGATACTGATGTCATTTTTGGGGGCCAATATCGACTGCAGGAAGACAGGAATTCTGATATTGGCAGGTGTTGTTCATATATATTTTAGTTACATTAAAAGGGGAAAAATATGTGGTAAATGTTTATTACCTTGACAGTGATGTATTTTACAAACTAGTTAGAAATTTTGATGAAGACAAAGTTTGAATCTGCACCACAGTGTTTGGCTGTGATACGTACTCTGCTACATGTACTGCAGACAGTGCTGAGAGTGTTGTAAACAGTGAAGTTGGAGCTGCTCTGCTAGACAAACTATGTGATGCATTTCTAAATTACCCCAGGCATCTTTTTCTGTATTATGTTCTGTAGTTTACTCATCGGTATATATCAGACAGCGTACAGAGTGCCTGTAAAAATAGTATTACCCCTCTTGTACTTAAAACCTGATTGACGGTGTAAGAAAGAGACTTGTGAGCGAGGGCACCAAGACATTTATGACTCCTCTGAAGAACGTTTTAGCTTCAGCAGCTGAGATGGGCTGTGCATAGAACAACTGTTCTCATATTAAATCTTGAATGGAGTTCACAAGAAGGTATGTGGGTATACGGGCCTCCAAAGTCAACAGGAAGAAGGTTCTTTGGTCTGATGAGACCAAGATTGAGCTTTTTGGCCATCTGACTAGGCACTATGTTTGGTGGACACTAAACACTGCACATCATCACCATCACAACATCCCCACCGTGAAGCATGGTGGTGGCAGCATCATGATATGAAGCATGGTGATGAAAGCATCACGATTTGAGGATGTTTCTTGACAGCAGGCACTGGAAGGCTTGTAAAGGCAGAGAGTAGAATGAATGCAGTAAAATATGGATGAAATCCTGGAGGACAACTCGATGCAGTCTGCAAGCCACTGGGACTCAGGAGAAGATTTGTTTTCCAGCAAGACTATAACCCTCTCAGAGTTGCACTAAAATGGTTTAAAGACAACAAGGTGAATGTTATGGAGTGGCTGAGTCAGAGCCCAGATCTCAATCTAATTGAGAATTTGAGACTGGACCAAAAGGAGTTGTTCACTCACAATCCCTCTGTAACTTGACACAGCCTGAGCAATTTAGCAAAACATAATGGACTAAAATTGCAGTGTCCATATATGCAAGACTGATTTAAGACCTATCTACAAAGGCTCAGTGCTGTATTTGCAACCAAAGGTGCATCTTTTAAATACTGACTTAAAGGGGTGAACACTTATGCCAGCCCTTATTTTACATTTTATATTATTAATTAACTGACATTACCTTGTAGATCGGTTTTCAGTGTGACATAAAAGAGTCTCTCTTTTTTTTGTAAATTCTTGTCAGAAAAAAAGCCAAATTATATAATTAAGTATAATTCAGTGTTGAAAATTATTAAAAGGATAAAACTTCCAAGAGGAGTGACTGCTTTTTATAAGCTCTGCATTGCCGATACCAATATATCTGTGAGAGCCTGATATTGGCCAACTGATGTATCAGTCAGATCCTAACACTTACTCACTACACTTGTTTTTCTGCCTGTCTTCCTACTTTCATCGGTCTTCATACTGATTGTTTGTTCAGAAGGTCATTCCACTCAAATATGTCCTCAGGGAAGTCTGTGCTTTAGCCACATGACATTGTTCTTGCAGCCACATTGCAGTTAAGTTCTTGAAATGCCATTTGGGACAAACAAAATTACTTCAAACCCACTTGTACAGAGATGATAGTGGCACAAGGTTCACAGACCGTTGCTCTGAAACCAAAACTATTTTAATGATAGTAACAAGTACTATAATATCGAAGTCTGCATCAACATGTGTCATGTTCTTGGTTTTCTGTCTCAGCCTATTTTCCCCTGCAGGCCCTTTGTAACTGCTTCGCGTTCTCTGCATGTCTCGTAGCTGATGAACTTTCACCCAGATTCCTTCCTTTTGGAGCTTCTCTGCGCTGATTGCATAAAGCGAAGCTCCTTTTGTGCGCCACCAGTTGTAATGTAGGTCAGGATGGATTTACTTGCAGAATTTGCTCCTCAGTCAGAAGTAAAGTAATGTTTGGAGCAGATTGTGGTTTTTAATTGTTAAACATCCAGATTATGAGCAGCATTTTGATGTAGTCCGGTCATTTAAACCTGAATTAAAATGGGAAACAAAGCAGATTTTCTAGGAAAGTGGTTGTATAACTCAGCTGTTAATCCTATGGAAGCTTTATGAAATGTTCCATAGCGTAAACCACATGTGTGCTGGGGTCATTGGTGCCATGAGGCCCGACCAGGGGCCAGTTCATGTCTGGGTTGATGCTGCCTGGTTGAACCACAGACAATCAGTCTAACTATAGCCTGCACCTCTGCTCTCCTTTCTTACAGCATGAACTGTATATCAGAGCCTACCACATGCTCATCGACTTTCCACAGGTGAGTGTCCCACACAGACATGAAACACATAACCAACCTTACACAGGGTCATGAGTTCAAGTTTTGTGGGGAAGCGGGTTTATTCATGACCAAAAGAAGAAGTGTGACAATGCAGTGTCATGTAGCGGCTCCAGGATTGGTTAAACTTTGTGTATTAGTAATATAAAGGCTCAAATAAATTATAAATTAGGTCTGCTTAGAGGTTATTTGTGTCGGTTTATGTAAAATGAGACATACTGACATCTAAAAATCTGCTTCATTCAGAAAAGATACATATGGAAGAATAGAACAATAAATATGGACAATGTGGCAGAATATGTGTATTTTTTTGATCCAAATGGAACTCGTTGTGCAGCTCAGTCATCAATCACGATGTTGTTGACAGCTAGTGTAACCTCAGTTTTCAGGTTCAGGATGGGTTCAACACAGTGTGGAATGCAGGTCAGTTCTTTCCAGTCATTCCCTGTTTGACAGTGACCGTGAACAGCCTTCGCCTCTGTGCTTTATTTAATTCCTTTTTCCGTTTTTAGTTCTCGACAAAGGAGACAAATTGCTCTTCTGTCAGTGCAGTTGCAGATGGCATCAGACCTGCTAAACATGTTTTCCCTTCTGCTTTGTATAAATACAGGCACTCATTTGTGCTGGCATTTAGATCTGAGATGGTGCCCTCTCTGATTTTCTATGCTGGCTGAAACAGACTCGTCAGATTAAGTAAAACAAACCTCTGACCGTGCATAGAAAGGTATGAGCCTGTGTATGTTCAAGCATCCTGAATCACTGCACATGTGCTCTGCTTTGGCTTGTATAAACAGATTTCAGAAGAGATGACTCAGCCACTTGGTTAGCTTAAACTACAAGAGCCTTTCACTCTCTGATTTGAAAGGAGCACCAGCAGGAGAGAACCATTTTAAACTCTGAACAGTAATGTGGGTTGGCAAATCGCTTTTTAATTATCAAAGGCTAAAGATCAGAGACTCTCGGGTGGAGTTAGCTGCTCTATAAAAGTTAACAGTAAATTATAATGTCTAAAATTGTCCACAGTGCTAATTCAGTGAGACAACAGTCATGTATTTCCCACCACTCTTACCTGTGTGCATTAGGCTCACATTGTTTGACTGCTGACATTTGAAGTGTTATCAGCTTGTCAGTCACCTGTGAAATCCTTTTAGCTGCACTAATCTGCATTAATAGTGCTGTGCAAGTGAAGTTTGATAGATTTTTTCCCCTCACTGGTCTGATCCAGTTGCATATGTTTTGCTGTTTTGATCGTTCTTCAGCCACCATCCAACAATGTAAACATTCCCTGCTGCAAATGTTTAACATTAGAAGTCCAAAACCCCGGAAAGGGAGAGAATATGCCCTTTGAGCTGCGGCACAGCTTTAAAAGTGAATTATCTATGCAGGAATCGAAGAATCTAGAGGCTTTTTTTCAAACAACAACTTAACAGTGACAGGAAAAAATAGCAAAGTAGAAGCAACTGGAAAGATCAATAAATCAAAACAGCATTCTGAAAGAACTCCTACACTGAAGCTGAATTTGTCAGAGCAATGGGTAAACATAAAGGAACAGCTGAGGTTGCTTTTAGATCAAAGTAAGACAGCAACAAGTTACAAAACAGTGACCCTCTGTAAATCACAAATATACCATCCCCACAGTGAAGCATGGTGGTGGCAGCATCATGATGTGAAACATGGTGGTGGCAGCGCCATGATGTGGGTATTTTTCTTGGCAACATGCTCTGGAAAGTTATAAAGGTAGAGGGTAATGTGAAAGCAGCAAAGTATAAGGAAATCCTGGAGGACAACATGATGCAGTGTGCAAGAGAATTGCAATTGTTTTTTTTCCAGCAGGACAATGACCTGAAGCATACAGCCAAAGCCACACAGAAATGGTTTACAGACAACAAGGTCAATGTTCTGGAGTGGCTCAGTCAGACTTCAGACCTCAATCCAACTGAATCTGTGGCTGGAATTAAAAAGGGCTGTTTACTCACAGTCCTCGTGCAACCTGACTTTTAGAAAGCTTTGCAAATAAGAATGGGTTAAATTACAGCATCCAGATTTGCAAGGCTGCTTTAAACCTATCCACACAGGTTCAGTGCAGTAATTGTAGACTTAAAGGTGCACACTGACTTGAAAAAGGGTGAATACTTCTGCAGTCAGTTTTTTGAAGTTTCAGATGTTTAATTAATTATACAGTTACATAAAGAATAGGAACATTAGCTCAGTCAGGGTTTGCAGGTTTGATGTGAAGTGTGCTCTTCTTTCAACAGATCAAGGATCAAGATGTGGAGGCTCGTTTCTGTAAACTGGTGCAGCAACTGTTGGACGACCACAAAGACGTGGTTACCATGCTGGCTCAGGGCTTCAGGGAGTGTCGCAGACACATTCAGGTACTGAGCACCTGGAATACTCTCTAAATGAATGGTCAAAAAGCCTACCTTTAACTGTAGGATGGGTTGTGATTATGTTGGAAATAACTCCTCACTGACTGACTTTCTGTGCCTGTGTTAGGTAGTTTATTGCTCTTGTTTCATTTTTGTCTTTAGCATATTTAAAGGCCTTTAAATTGTTAGAAATTGTTTTGTTTGTTTGTTTTTTTAAATTTATTTTGAAAGATTAATTAAAGTCCCTCTCTGGTCATTGATTTAACTCCTAAAACTCATCTCCATGTATCATAATTACATATTTAGATTTTTTTTTCTCCATAAAATTATTCCTCCATGACTTAAAATGGCTTAAAGGTAACTTTGCACCATTGCTTCCTTTAGTATGTTCAGATCCATGAAGTCCCCACCCGTCTCTCCATGCACCCCTCTGCCCCTCACTGCAGCTTGAGCACACCAGCTCCCCTGTTACTCAGACTCTGTAAAACTGCTCTACACAACACAATAGCAAGTTGTAATACTGGAGCAATTTTCATGACATGTAAGAACCTGAAACCAATTCTGAAGAACAATAATGATACAGAAAACTCTCACCCTGCAAGGATTTGTTCCTTAGAGTCGTTATGAGTAAACCCTGCAAGTCTGGATCCGTGTTTTTATCTTCGATTGTATCAGCTTTAATGTTCGCCACGATGTTGGCTGCTTATTTTGCTCAGTAAACGTCTTCTCACATAAACACCACATGAATACGTTAACAAGGTAAAAAACTGATTTTTTACTAGAGTAGATCTAAAAATAATGACAGGCTTCAATCTGTGCACTTACTAATTAAGGACATGCTTATGAAACCTTTCAATGTGACTTTTAAAATCTCAAAGTGTAGGTATTATTCAAGGTTTTTGTTTTAGAGTGAGTTAGTCCTACCTCCTACCAGATTTAGTGGGTGTACTCAGCTGTTTTTCTGCCACTGTCTTGACTTTTTAAGTGCCCATGAACAGTTTTTCTTGCTCTTACAGGATGAGACGATCATCCGCAGCTTCTTGGACACAACACTCTGCTCTCGTCTGGGAATCCGCATGCTGGCCACGCACCACCTCGCCCTCCACGAAGATAACGTACGCCGGACTGTTTCTGTGATTGACATGGCTTGTTTTTTAACTTTTCAACTGAGTTGTTTGCATAAGGACATATTAGGGGAGGGTTGGTTGTTACATTTTCTTGTCAAACATAGGTTTAACATTGATCCAGTGTAATGTTGATGTTGGACCAAAACCATCTTTCTGCTTTCTGACTTTACACCTTGCCTGTGGCTCTCAGCCCCGAGCAAATCAGAAGAAGAAATCTCTAACAAAAGGACACAGTTAAATAGTTTCAGACTCAGTCGTTTTCTTAAACAGCTACGGCAGTTTTTAGCAAATGTTCTTAGGTGCATTAGATAAATTTGCAAGTAAATGCCTGGTTTATTTTGTGGTCGGTAATGTAAGATTAAGGTATTTTAATGTATTTCAGGTGGGTTGATGAATTAAATTTACAGTTTATATTTAGAGAATGACAAGTAGAAGTGCTGCCAGAGACAATTAAAGCTTTTTTAGATAAATGTTAAATGTGATTTCAAGTAAATATTTAAGTAAAAGTATTCCTGTTCTTGTTTCAGCCTGATTTTGTCGGGATCATATGCAGACGTCTCTCTCCCAAAAAGATCATAGAGAAGTGGGTGGACTTTGCCAGGTGAGTGTTTGCAGCGGCTTTGTTTGTTTAACACTTTCAGATGACTTTTCTGCTTCTGTATGAGCTCTCTGATGATCGAGGCGAGTCAGAGTTCAGCTGATAAACCTTCAGGAACATGCGTGTTTCAGCGCTGGGACCTGTGAATGAGATATGAGCTATCATTCCTGTTTACTTTCTCTAATCTTATCAAACGACCTCTTCACGCTCAATTACCTGGACTGAGGTCAACAGAAAGCTACTACTGTGTGCGACCTAATAATCAGTAAATTAGCGAGAAAATGATGCAGTTGTCTCTTGTCTGGAGCAGCTAGTAAGCACATTACAATTGCAGCATCTAATACTTGTATCGACACAATTATCCATCCATCCATTATCTATACGCCACTTAATCCTCACTAGGGTCGTGGGGGGCTGGAGTCTATCCCAGCTGACTTAGGGCGAAGGCAGGGGACACCCTAAACAGGTCACCAGTCTATCACAGGGCCACACTTAGAGACAGACAACCAAGCACACTCACATTCACACCTACGGACAATTTTGAATCACCAATTAACCTCAACATGTTTTTGGACTGTGTGGGAGGAAGCTGGAGAACCCAGAGAGAACCCACGCTGCACGGGGAGAACATGCAAACTCCCAGCAACCTTCCTTCTGCGAGGCAGTGGTGCTAACCACCGAGCCACATTGCAGCCCCTCGACACAGTTAATGTGCAGATATTCATGTCTCTCTCAGAATCAAGTGTTAAAACTTTGGTGAGCGCTTAACTTTTTACCTAGCAGCATTATCAGGTTGACATTTTAATGTCCAGTCCTTTGCTTTATAATTATAATAACAATAATAAACTTTATTCATATCACAGTTTTCAAAAGCAAAGTGCCTCATAAGACAAAAATGAAAAAATGGTATTTAACAATAAAAAAAAGCAAAGGTTGACAACTAGTTTACATTAAGCAACAGTAGCTACATATGAGGAGGAAACAAAAAAGCAAAATAAAATCATTACAATAATTAAGAAATGTGAGAATGTCTTTGGATCAATTAACTGTAAGCAGTTTCTGAATGTTTTTTTTACTCACTGTGGGCTCTTTTTTTTTTTTTTACTGCAGTATAAAGTCCTGCACCTCTATGGAAGTAGAATTAACTCAGAAATGTCTCTGGGACACAGCTATAATGGTATAAAAAAAATTTTTTTTTAAAAAGAGAGAAAATAAAAGTTTCATTTCTTTGATTAATTATTCTGCAAAAATATAATAATTAAAAAAAAACCCTGGAAATAATATGTAAAACTTTTTTCTAAGTGCCCAGAAGTGTTACTAAAACTGAAAGAAATGGTGACACTACATACTACAGATATTTTACTACTTCCATATTTTTTGTTTCTATACTTTCCTCATATCTGCTCAGTGTGAACACAACCTGCAGTTCAGCCGAAAAATCCCTGAGTTTTTGTCACAGGAGTTGTAGTGTTTGTCACGGATGAGTTAATAATGGCTTCTTAGTTGTGCCAAGGAGTGGAGAATTTTTAGTTTTTTGTTTTTTTTTGTTTTTTTTTTTACATAATTTGGTTTGTGCAAACTATTTATTCTTGGTGAATTTTTAAATTTTTTATTTGTATTTTTTTTTACAGTTCCCAGCTCTGATAAATAACTTGCCAAAAACAATAGCAAGTTGCATTTCTGTCCAGCCATTTATTGTGTAAGAACATGTGACGACACACATATGTTTTATCATGTTTAGTCATCAGCATTGTGACGAATGTTCCTCGTGTCCAACAGGCGTCTGTGTGAGCACCAGTACGGGAACTCTCCCAGGGTGAGGATCAATGGGCACGTAGCAGCTCGCTTCCCCTTCATCCCTCTGCCTCTGGATTACATCCTCCCAGAGCTCCTCAAGAACGCCATGAGGTAAACCCACCACCAGCAGTCGTCTCATATCAGCTACTGCCTCAGGATCTGGAGGAGGAAATTGCAGAGTAGCATCCATCTCCAATTGTTTTCCAATTTTCTCAGTTATCGCTCAGGCTGACAGCTTCTGCCATTCAATGCGCCTTCTATAATTATTTTGGAGTCTCTCATTGTGCCTGTGTAGCTACTGTGATGACTAATGTTGGCTCATGACAGAGATTGGCATAATTTCCGTACGTTTCTCACAGTTTTTAATGAATTGTTTGTGAAATTTGATCTAGTTTTGCTGCTTTTCTGGCTTTCAGCAGTGAGAATGATGTAAAATTAGACCTTACGAATGGGTTTGGTCTTCTTTGGAAGTAAGACTCCACTTGAGTCTTTTCTGTCCAAAAGTAAGCGATAAAGATTTCATTGTATACTGTTGCTCGGTGTGAGTTAATCCTTCATTTTAATAAGAGCTGAGAGCGCAGTTTTTGGCTGGAGTTGCTCTGCGCTGGCAAGATTCTTGTCATGGTTACTGGCTTGGAGGATGGAGGCGAAATGAATTGTGTCTTTGATTTATATTTTAATTAGTTTAGAAAATGTTGATGAATTCCAGTTTGGACACAGAAGCAGAGCCCAGGTCAGTGTACTCACAGGCCCTCTTTATTTTTTTTAAATTAGGCCTGACCGAGATCGGCCAGCATTCAGAAAACCTAACCGCTAGTGTGATTTATTAAGCTGGATTGAGGCTTCATTCATCAGCTGAGTAAAGCAATCATTTATGAGGACTTTTCACCAAAAAAAAAAAAAAAACAGTATATCTGTCAGAAAAATGTTCAGCAGTCTAGTCCACCCAAAACATATCTGACAGAATGAACTGAGCTGTAGGTCATCAACAAAACACCTTTTAGTGTCTGTTTACATGCAATAGTTAAAATGTTCAAAATGAGGTTTCATTTTTGTTTATTTACTACTGATTGTTCCACATGTGTTTCTAATCTATTTTCTGTGTCTGTGTCTCCTCAGGGCCACCATGGAAAGCCACCTGGACACTCCATACAATGTGCCCGATGTGGTTGTCACCATTGCCAATAATGACATTGATTTTGTCATCAGGTGGGTGGCAGAGAGTGCGTTGTACTGCTGTTATTTGGAATTCCAGGGAAGATTCCAACTGTGATTAGCATTAAGAGATGCTAAGGATTTATTGTTTTGCGATTATTTTCAGTTAATATTCGCGTGTCAGAAAATGTCTCTTACTGTTTTATAAAATGAAGCTCCAGGTGTGTTTGCTGACACATGCTAACGCTAAACTAGGATTTTCAAACGCTAATACAGGCCGAGGTTTGAGTGTACATTAGAAGGGAGTAGCTGTTGACGCTGCTAACTTTCAGGAGCAACATTTAAACTAACACATTAATAACATTGCAGGTTATTTACTGTGGGCGACTGCAGCTCGTTTGCTGTGTTTTATTACTTTTTTTTTGTCAAGCCTGAAATTCAGCCATTTTTTTGTGTGTTTACTTTATCTGTTCCTCAAATTCCTAACTTAAGAGTGTATTTAGTGGTAAACAGTAAGTGTTTGCAGTTAAAAAGAGTTGATAAATCATCAACTGTATTTAATTCATTTTAACGATCATTCGGCGATCTGACAAGCCGCCTATCACCTTAGGAGGGTGCTTGAAATTTGTATTTCTGTCAGCATTATGAAAGGATTTGTTGCAATCTGTAGGAGATTAAATGTCTATTTTGCTCGCCGATTGTGCGTTTTCAGTATCCCTTCATCAGTCCATTGACTGTCGCCTATTCTGGATGAGGATATGCTTACTGCAGGCTAAGCAATGTAGCACTGATTGTCTGTCCTAGTTGTGTCATTTATCTCCTTCTGGGACCAGGTGGCATTCTCCTCATTGTGTCCTGATGTGTCTCTGGCTATAACTCCTGGGTGTGTCCACTGTACCCTCCACCTACCAACCCAGCTGGCTTCTTTCAGCATGTAGGACCTATAGTAGTAGTAGTTCAGGTGTTTGGTTCTAGTGTCAGAGCTCCTCACCCTGTTGTAAAGAAAGGTGTCACTGCTGCTGCCGTGACAGGTACAGACAACTTCTGCATCTCCTGGCACCTTCACAGTGAAGTCAAATGTGACTCCAGGCCTTGAACCACCCACTAAACAAATGTTCCTGCATGTTGGACAATTACAGGTTTACCAAGTCTGTGTGGCAGCCAAGTTAAAGAACAGAGAGTTAAGAGAGTTACAGTGGTTCCAGAGCTTCCAAATAACTCTTTTCCCTCTTTGATTTAGGATTTCAGATCGTGGTGGCGGCATCCCTCACAACATAATCGACAAAGTGATGGACTACCACTTCAGCACGGCCGAGGAGAGCGCGCAGGACCCCCGCATGAGCAACCTCTTCAACAACATTACCAACAGCGGAAACCAGTCCAACCCTATGCACGGGTGAGAATTACAAAGTACAGGATTAGTTACATTTTCAGATGTACTCAGGTTTGTGTGTCAACATCCCAAAATGTGCTCACGAGTTTGAAAGGCACCATTTACCAGAGTATGACACAGTAAAAACAGAAAGCATAACTTTCTGATGGTCTGTAATCTACTCATCTGTGTCGTGCTATTCTATAAGAAATGTAACCAATTCTGAGCGTAAACTCAGTCATTGTTTCATTATGTTTAAAAAAACATTCAAATGACACACTTTTACAGAACCTAAAACTGTGAAATCATTACGTCTTGAGGTTCCCAACAGTCCTTGAACTAATCACGTGGAACTGTTGGTTTCAATGAAGAAATTAAGTCAGAGTTTGTTTGCTAAAAATACACTATTCGCTCAAAACTGTAAAAAATAAGAAAATGGCAATACTCATGAAAACATAAAGCAGAATGAAGAACAAATTAGAAATGTAAATTGTAAATATTTATAGTATGTAGAGTCAGCTTTTTTGTTGCAGTATTGTTTGTGGGTTTTTTTTTTCCTCTCACTATTTATGGGATTGTAACCGTCTCATATGGCACAAAAAAACATTTCTGAGTTCTCTCTACTTCCATCCATGGTTGTGTTGTTTTCATAGAGGTGCAGGACTTTATATTGCAGTGAAAAATGAGCCCACAGTGAGTAAAAAATGCGACGGGCACAAAAACACCCTGAAACAGTTTGTGGTTTAGTGAGTTAAAGAGGTAAAGGTAAGAGTTGGGTTGTTGGTTTATCAAATCATATCTTCCAATGACAATGTGTGACTCCTCCAGGAGGTTTGGCAGAGACCCAGTAAATATGTGTCATATTTAACTGCAGTTGGCATTTCACAGTTCACTTGTTCACCACTTAGATTCACATTTTACCTCCAATATTTCATCTTCAGCCAAGCGTGAATCACTTCCCTTCATCGGTAAACCTGTCCTCTGCGTCCTCTTCAGGTTTGGTTTCGGCCTGCCCACGTCTCGGGCCTACGCTGAGTACCTGGGCGGCTCCCTGTCCATTCAGTCAATGCAGGGCATCGGCACCGACGTCTACCTGCGTCTGCGCCACATCGACGGCAAAGGAGAGAGCTTCAGAGTGTAAAGCTCCACACCGATAAACCCAACGTAGGAGTCAGGCCATGCAGGAAGGGTTTCCCACCACGAAGGCTGACGAGGACGAGGTCGACACAGTGAAAGCATTCACAGTGTTGCGTAAGAAAGCTCCTAAATTTACCAACCCACTCACTACTTGTTCTTTTATTATTGTTTTTTGTTTTTTTTTTGCCTTAGACTGATTATAAGCTATGTTAGCTCTCGAGTTGATGATTTCAGTTGTTTTCCTTTGTGTTTTGTACCCTGTGGTGTGTCGTCTTGAAGTTTTTAGAGGGCGTATGAACTTTTGAATGTTTGGGTTATCGGGACAAACTGTGCATGACAGTGGACATTGATAATGATGATTAGAGAGAGAGAGAGGTGACGAGGAAGAGCTTCAGTTTTAAAGAAGTTCACTTTGAAGTTAGCGATCGCATAGCCTCAACATAGAAGCAGACATTTTGATGATTAATGTTTCAAATGAAACTTCTGAGACACTCCAGCAACCCTGTCAAAATCTCCTCAAAGTGCACAAAGCTGTTACACGATGATCAACACAACCGTAGTTCCAATTTCCACTTCCTTTTTTATCCGCTTGAATGAAAATGTGCGAGGTAGAACAGTTTGCGTGGGACACACGTTTTTAGCTTATCGACAAACCCTATGTTATTCCTATTAAATCCTTCTCTGAGTTTCTGATAAACGCAGAAAAAAAACTGCCAAAACACCGAATGCTCATTAACAGATTTCTGTCTTGTTCCGTTTTGAGAACACTCGCCGTGACGAACATCTTCGTTCAGCAGTATTTTTGCGGAGCTTTCGGGCAGGGAGGCCAACCGAGATGCTGAGCTGCCTTACTGTGTGACACTAGTCCTTCGACTGCATGCTGGCTTTTATTTTCTTCTTCTATTTTTCTTGTTTTCTCTTTTGTTGCCTTTACTGCCTCACACGGGTGCACAATGCGTCAGTCAGCCTCATTAGTTGGATGTTTTTTGTTTTCTTTTTTTGCACAATGAATAGATTTCTCATCGTCGGGCACCGATCATAGCAGTTCTTTGACTTTATTGTAACAGCTTTCCAAGTAACAATATACCAGAGAAGTATTGTCTAATGTTGTCTTCTTTGTTTCATTTTATTTGACTTCTTTAGATTTTTTTAAGGATGTGTGTCAGTTGTATTTCAAGTTTGGTGTCTTTTTGAATAAGTTTTTTTTTAAAAATAAGATCACATTTCATGATGGGTCAACAACAGGGTTTCTGAGCTGTGAGTTCAGGCTGACTGAGGTTTGGAATCCTTTTTTTTAGGTCCATTTTCTCCAGATCACAACTTGATTATGTCATTATCTTTAAACAGAAAATATATCTAAACGTTTAGTTTACTAACGACAAATCCATCGAGCAACCACTTCTGAAGGCAGAAGTCTAAGAGCAACCCTGCTCATTGCAAGAAATCTGTGAGGAAGCATCCATGGAAAGCTGTTCTAACATTTAATAACCGAGTTTGACTATCTGGAGTTAAAATGACAGAAATCAACGACATCATTTTGACTTGTTGTAATAACACTGTGACTAGATTCATTCCTGATATTCAAAACATCATTGTGACCTGTCAAAACAACAGATCTGTGTGACTCAGTTTCGATCAGTCAAAATAATGGCTGCAGTTACATCAAAGGTCATTATGACTAGTCAGAATTGTTTTACATGACTAGAGGCTAGAACAATGTTAGCAGAAGTAATGGCAGCCATTGTTAGAAACTGCTGTACAATAAGAAAAGCTCATCACGGAGGAGTTTGTGGAAAACCAGAGCTTCGTTTATTAGAGGCTTGTTGTCAAAATTTGCAGCATTTCATACAATCGTCTTCTCCAGACACACCCGTGCATCTGCGACGAAGCCTGGATGGTCTCAGGAAACTGATTTCCCATTCGGAGACAAAAAAAGAAGTTGTGTTTTTTTCCAATCGCAGTGCCATATTATGTCTGAAAAGCAAACCATCTCCACCTCCTGCTTGCCGTATTTTCTGATCTAAGTACACATTTCTGCAATGTCATTGGACTAGTTCAAACCTAATTTAAGATCTAAACAGGTCAATGTAGATCTTGAATTTAGATGAATTGAAGATAATTAGAATTATGACTTCTCTGACTTCTAACCAGAATTACAACTAGTCATAATTTAGCTGCAAATAAACACAATTTAGTGGATACCCACATACAATGGTGGAAGTTGCACCATTTATCCTGTTAAATATGACTATAGTGGATATCTGGAATGTTTTTTTTCCTAGAAGGAGCTGAATTACTGTATTGACTATACATATCCAGTCTAGCTGCAGTATTACATAGTTAAAGGGCTCCAGATGTGCTCTAGAATGAGGATGACACTTGGGATGCACAGGTGAAAAGAAATGGAAGCATGAAAACGAACCTGTTGGTTTCCAGAAATTCTGAAATAATCAAGTTGTGATCTAAATATATGTACGAGAAAATAGACTACCAAACCTTTGCCGCTCTGAGTTTCCAGTGAGAAAATTCAAATATTATGACATTATAGAAGAAGGTTCAGAAATTTGCGTCGTCACCAGAAGCACTCCTCACGTTGTGTTGAACATTCCCCAGCTGTCCAGCAGCAGGTCGACCTGGCTGTCAACTGAATGTTACTGTATTAGCGTATGCTGTTATCTTTTTTTTTTTTTTTTTTAATCTGAAGGGGCATTAGGAACATCACACCGTTACTAACAAGACGGGAAACCGATGAACTCTGTAAACCATCAGAAAATGAAAGCAGTTTGTTTCTTGTTTGAACTCTTCGTGGCCTGCAGTCGTTTTCTTTTATATTTTATAGACTACCTAATGGGACGGTTCTTTGCGTTTTAGAAAACATAAGAATCACACGAGACCCTAACATGTTCTAGATCTTACAAATGAAGTCACAGGTTCACATAGATTCGCAGCCAGAATGTCTCCTGAGCTTTATTTTTGCCACTTCGTTTACATACAAATGAGATGAGATTTTAGCTCATGAGGCATCGTGAACTTGTTATTTACGTTGTAAGATTTTAGAAACATGATCTGATTTCATTTGTGGAAGGCCCATAGCCCATATTTATTTTTTGTGAAAGGAAAACAACCCCCCACATAAAGAACTGTTGAAGAACGTTGTTGTGTGTACCCATATTCTCACTAAAGCCGTCTGTATGAATTCATGTGTTTATTGTAGCTTCAAAAGTCTTGAAGATGTAGAACATATGTAGCTTTTGCATGTAAAGCAGAGCAGAGTGGAACATGGTTTAAGGTTTGTGCTCCAGCCTCCTGAGGTTTCCTTTTTTTTTTTTTTTAAATTCCAAAATGTTGAAGGTGGTTTGTACATTTTTCAATCCGGCAGCCAGCCTGTGGCTTTTATCGAGCATAAAATGTGCACTGTACGCCCCCTGCTGGCCGACAAAAGTGAAGGCAAACTGGAAAATAATGTTCTATGTGAAAATATTAAGTGAAGCATTTTAATTTTTTTAAGGAAGACATACAAGGTAATTTCCCTTTTCTAGGTTTCTGATTTTTCTAATTTTTGCAGCTCAGCAAAAAAAAAAAAACAAAAAATAAAAAATGACCTCCAATACAACGCAGAACCTTGTTACTGACTAAATGTGCTGCCATGGAGTGTTTTGTCTCCTAGACTGAAAGTAGTTTCTCCCATGTGTTTTCTGTTGTGTTCAGGACTTTGTAGTTATTAAAATTTCATTTGGTTGGAACTTTGAGAGTCGTTTTTTTCCTAATTTCAGATTATCCATCAGCCTCCATCCTTTCATTAATCAATCACTAAACAATTCAGTCCATACAGGTCAGAATGCTTTGCGCATAGACTTGTTAAAAACAGAGAGACCTGTGAAGAAAACATGTAGTACAAGCCAAAACCAAATACACATGTGAACAGAACACTGGTTACACATTAGAAACAAATGCTTGTTTCATAAGTTGTACAAGAAGAATGAAGAAATGCTCTAACTTTGACTCTATGATGGAAGCACATGTGTTATTCACTATTAGCCTGCAAGTAAGCTGTGTTGAACCGGATTCTTGTGCACTTGCTGAACTATCTGGACTGTCCAAAGACTTTTGTGTGTTTGGGAAGAAGCTGCACACATTAAGTTGGCCATTAACAAATGAGTTTGTTTACTGACCTGAATGATCCCAGACCTCATCTTCAGCTATGTGGGAAACCAAAAGTGCCAGAAAACTTTACAAACGTGTCACATTTTGTGTCACTCTCACTGTAGCTTGAAGTGTTGTAAATACTGCCATCTGAATCACCACGAGGTGTTTAATATGCTTTAAAACACTTCATAATGAGCTCTACCAATATATTTTAACTGTAATCAATCAGTGTTGCTGCATTCCAATCAATGATGATCTATTTTGCCTTTTCTGTAGCCATGCTTAAGGTTTTCCTCCTTCACTGATGGGATGAGTATAGTTTTGTGGCCAGAAAACCAAATTCCAGGGATCAATATCATTTAAGAAAACAGCGCTTTTTAAACCATATTGGCACCGAGTGACACAAAAAGCAGCTTTTAATGACCATATTGAGGCTCGGGGTTTTTTTGTTGTTTGAAAACTGAAAGTGGTGCTTTTTACGCAGCTTTAAACATCCTACACTGTAAAAACAGTGTCTTGACAAATGATACACAACATTATGCTGAACAAATGCATTTGAGAAGTCACAGTTTATGGCACTTTGGGCTTTCCATATGTCCAACACATTTGGTATCAAAGGAAATGCTGTGAAGCAGGCAACAAAAATTGTGTTTAAGATTTTTATGAATTGAATAAGGAACAATAATTTAAAAAATATGTAGTATTTACTATTTTCTGACAATTTCTAATTAGACTATTAATCTATTAATTGAGAAAATGAACAAGGAAACAATTATTAGCACTAAAGCTGTTAAGTTCTATTTATTTTCTGTTTTAAGTCTAGATCAGTGATGCTCAACTTTAATAAACAAACAATACTCATCAGATGAACTGAATGAGCATTAAAAGGCCCACAACTCATTGTCTTTGAAATGGTTCATTTTATAATTCACTGGGTAATGGACTTTAAAATCAACAAGAACATTTCCAGTGTCACAGTATTGTGACCCTGGTTTGGGCCGCGGGCCGTAAGGTGAGCATCACCGGTCTCGTCAAGCTGCTGCTGTTTTAAGAGTCTTCCAGCTGACTGAAGGAGAACTTGTCAATATTTGCAGATTGTATTTACCTGTGCAGGTGAGTTTTCTCAGGAGTGGAACCGACGTCGAGTCCTTTAGAGAAAAGCTTCCCTGTTGCTGTTCACAGTCCACATGATGGTTCCACAGCAGCTTCAACAGGACGACGAATTCATGCAGTTCACACACATAACACTACAAAAGCCTAAAACAAAGTGTGAACAAAGGGGTCTCACACAATATAATACAATCAAAAAAGAAGAAAAGGGAGTTTAAACTGAGCCACTGAGAGAACCTTTAGTCTCACGAATATCTGATTTAAGCTGTTCTTCATCTAAAACAATAAAACAAAGAATAAAACAAAACTAAAGCGAGCTGCACTGTACTGGGATTGTCCCAGTTTGTTAGATGGCAGATAGTTACTGGTAAAATCACAGAAAATCGTATTAAATTCTAAATATTTTGACCGTCGACAACAGCCCAACATTATGCATAATGTCCACATCAAAAATCTGTGGGGTTTTTTTCATTGTAATTCATCGTATTTTGAGATTTAGGCCATAATTTGCAAAAGGAAAAAAAAACAAAAGGTACATTGAGGATTGAAAAATGCTATTTTATAGATATGTTGTTTATGTATAGATACTACCTACAGTAACATCACAAAAATAAAGAATTAATTTACAGAATAAAGCTAACAGATTAAAACTGTACAAAAATATATTAGAAATATATTTTTTTACAAATAGTATTTGACTCTTAAAATGTGACTAAAGTACTCTTTCAAAAACGCTATAAAAAGAAATGTGCAGATATATGGTGTGATTTGCACCGTTTACAGTTGAACACTACAGCATCTCACCATTTTTTAACTTCTTTTTTTTATTTCACTGTTTTATTCAGGATTGTTTCTTTTGTCTGTCCAGCTGGATGAACCAAACCAAAGTCAAGCTACTTTTTCATGTTCTTTCTCGTGTCACTTCCTCTTTTTGTTCTCTGAGGACACAAACTGCAGAAGAAATCTGTGACTCAAGAAGAAGCTTCACACCATCTCCGCCTGTTGGACAGTTTTCTAAAATTACATTACAGGGGTTTAATTTTCTCATTTTTCACTCACACTGTTTATACAACAAATGGAAGTCAGCAAGCTTTTGGTTGGCTGGTTTCTCTGAATCTTGGACAGAGTTGTGTTTCTCTCACAACACTTTGTTCTGTCAGAGACTCTTCAGAAGATTCATGATCATGTGGTTCTAAGGCAGGTTCCTTACTGGTGGTGGACGGGTGTTAGATAAGAGCTGGTAATCAGACTTCTAAACAGATTACTTCTGTATAAACTGTGCTAAAGCATGTTCAAGTTGAATTTACATTTCAGGAGATACTTAAGTCCTTGTATTAAATGCCTGTCACACCACTATCATATTTATCAGACGGTTAAAAGTGATTATAGCCTTTGACCTCACATAATCTGGTAACTGTCGCCGTGTACTTATAGCTTTAAAATCAAAGACTTCAAGTACTGAAGCCTCACCACTGCATCGGCAGTCTGATGTGCAAAAACAGACTGCCACATCCAATGGTACGCTGTATAAAAGGATGTTACACTACTGTTTTGAACAAGTGACTAATTTAACAGATAACACCGAGTAGAATCCCAGAAAAAAGTATAATGAACAAAAAAAATCAATATTTTTACAAATAATTAGTTTTTTAGTTACTTTTTTTTTAACAGCTTGACCGCAAAATGAGACAATATTTACTGCATTTAAATGTGCAAAAAATGTATATTACTGGTATTTGCCTTTATTTGAAAGAAAAGAAATTTCATATTAACACTGAGAAATTATTTTTAACTGTTTGCAATTTTTCTATTTTGTTAAATTACAGATAACTTGTGAAATCATATGAAAAAAAAACTATTAATTTACATGTTGACTTAAAAAAATAAAAAAATAAAAAAATAAACCAAAACTGTAAATAATGGCCACATTAGAAATTTGCATTTTTTACAATAGTACCTGAAAACCTGTAAAAATAATTCCTGTCAACCCAGTGAGTAATCTTATTTGTTGCATATTTTACATATTTCATATTCTTATAGTCCTTATTCACTTCAGTCAGTTTATATTATTTACTGGGCCTGAACTTGCATATTAGCTCTAAAATAAATAGGATGAAGTCAGAAAAGATCATTTTATGGCAAAGGGAGAATAAGTAGTCTCTGGTTTGACACATGACGACCATCACAACACTCATTCACGTGCAAAAGACAATGAGAACTTTTATTTTGGAAGTCTGTTGCAGGGTGTGAATTCCATCCTCCTTGACCTCAGCAGTTTAAGAAGCACAAATACACAAATGTTAAACAAAGCAAGAACATTCTCTTGATATGAACCCGGCACCAACTCGCTGTACAACTAAAACTACAAGTGCACTTTAGTCTCTTCTGAACAGTAAGAAATAACTGAGCAACACTTTGGTCAGTCATCTTATTTGGAATGTGATAACAGGTTGGTGCGTTTTCCATCTTTTTTAAAAAAACACAGTAACAGATTCTGCCCTCCGCTGAGAAGCTGTCGCTTCTCTCAGTTAACCCACATTTACTGAAAGGTCTCCAGTGTTTTAAGTACAGAAACTGGAGGTTACAAAGTCATGCTGTTTACAAACGGCCCATCCAGAGAGCGTCTCCTCCACCACTTCGCTCCAACCCTCGGGCCTTCACCCGACGTTAAGCTTCGTTGGTTTAGACTTTGTCATGCTTAGCTACACTTTCAGTAAAACGTGTGCTTGTGTTGTGACCTTGAGCAAAACAGCAGTTCAGAAAAAGGCCATAATTCTGTAAGGCAGAACTATATTTGGACAGTAACACATTCATATTAAGCAGCATCAGTATGCAGAGTTGACTGGTTTGACAGATATGACACAGGCTCCGTGGTCTTTAAGAAGTAAAAGCTTTTCAAATGAAGTTGATGACAAAGTCTTTGAGGCTTTCGTGAGCTTTTGGATGTAAAAACACAGTAATGCCAACTTTCACGCTACTATGTTTTTTTAAGACTTTTTGACACGTGCTCACCATGCTGCTCCAGACACAGACACACATGGTGGAGAAACAACCTTGGTCGCTCTCAAAACTTAAAAACCAGACAAGAAGGTTGAATGTAAACAGTGAGGCCTGAACTCCTCACATAATGCATGAGAGTTGGGGTTCAGTAGCATTTTATCGAATCTGAATCAAGTTTTCAATCTGCTTAATGTGTCCAGATCTTCTTGAATCTCTTATAACATCTATGAAACATTTGCAAGTGACTAAATCTATAAATAAACTCTAAGGTTTGTTGGCTGAAGGCAGGAAACACGTAGCTATAAGAAGCTACAGCGTTTCTCGTAAACATTTATTTGCACATCCTGGTTTGAACTACTAAATTGACTACCTTAAATTACTGATCATATAAATTACATTTGAACTAGTATATTCCCATTATGGACGCTGACATGGCACATGTTTCTAATACAACTGAAGTGCAAATATGCACAGAACACTCCTGATCAACTGCTGTTAAATTGGTTCCTTCTTTAACAATCAATCTTTGGCTGATAATAGAAAACCAGCTGACACTGAGCCCAATAATCCAATTACAGATTTATCTAATACAAATCATAAAGCACAAAGAGATGCTTAGGATCATTTAGAAAATGTGTCATCACAGAGTTTGTCCAGCAGAGCAGCTCCGACTCCATTATTACAACAATCTCATCATAGTCTGCAGCACATGCAGCAGAGTCTGAGCTGAGCACACAGCGGTGCGGAGTCAAATGGTCTTTATGTTAAGTTGTAAACAGTGTAGTTTGTGAGACACACTGCTAGAAATTGATTGGTTGAACTGCAGGTACGATTTCAGTCGACCAAGACTTTCTTTCATGGAAGGTAGCCCTAAAATGAACAGTAGTGGCTTTATGGGAGTTACTTCATCCTTATAAATGGTATCAGCATTGGGCCTAATATCAGTTGGGATCTATAAACAGTAGTCAACTTCCATTATGGCAAGTTACTGAAGGCATTAATATCAATTAGGTCAAGCTTCAAACATCAATTTCTTTTAAAAGAACTGCAGATTGAAAATGAGAAGCCTGCAACTCAAATAATCTCTATACAGTTTGCTAATAAGAACTGAGCAGATATAAGAGATTCAAAAGGAGAGTTTTAAGGTAATTACGGGTATTTTGGCAACAGATCTAAAATGGAAACCCTGTCGGGACTGAACCCAACCGTTAAAACGTAAACAGAGCAGAAATGGCACAGCGAACATAATAGCCCTTTTTGTGTAAACCTTTTTCCTTGACCAACACAGACTACAGAGCTAAAACACAGACCAAGTCACCGCACAAATCCTACAATGTAACTTCACCTTAAGAATAAGTTGGCAGTCTGACATGTATTGGCTGTCTGTACTGCACAGTGACACGCTTTAAAGTTCACTGCTTACAAGTTCGAGACTTTAGCAATGACCAGAACAAATGTCAGAAAAGGGAGAGGGCTTGATAAATATGTGACACAGAGAAAGTCTTTAAAGCTGCCGTTGGGTTTTCACACAGTCTGGAGGCCTCTCTCGTGGCCGTCCAGCTGCACCTTTATCTTGTGCAGTTCCTCGATCTCCTGGTGGTGGCGCTCTGTCTTGTGGCGCACCAGAGAGCGATAGAAGTGGATGGTGAACACCACAAAGATCACCCCCACTGGGACCATGATGATGGTGGAGGCCAGCGCCGCCTGCCAGCCGCTGTCCTGCACTGAGGGGGTTGTGGACGTCACCTGAGTGGCGGCGGTCGTGGTGCCGCAGACGGCGGCCTTTTTGAGCCCGCCGGAGTCCACGGGTAGGAACTTGATCCAGCAGAGCAGCACCACCTCTGCTAAAAACAGAAGGATGCCCAGCGCCGTGGAGAAGCCCCAGGCCAGCTCGATGTAGTAGTGCATGCGTTCGTGGGGCGACTCGCTGACAGAGTTGAGGTTGTGGATGTTGCTGACGGCTTCCACGTTGGGCAGGATGCAGGTACTGATCAGCAGAGCGAAGAGGTGCACCGCCACCAACACGGTGGTGCACACGCTGAAGGCGATGAGGAGCACCCGAGGGTAACTGTACTGCACCTCCAGCTGCACCTCCACCATGGCCACCTATGACAGGAACATCCAGGTCATTCAGTCAACAGGGCGAGACAAAGATACTGTGTATGTGCGACAAATCAGACAATTCAACACATTTGAGCTGCAAAGAAAAAAGTATTATTTGGGGAAGTTCAGTAAGTTCCCAGCAAGCACAGCTACTTTTTCAGCTCTTGGATGGTCTTGAAACACTTTTGGTTAATTTATGAGTACAAATGTTCTCCAACAATATACTGTTTGCAGTAACAAGATTTTGTTTAAAAAAAAAAAAATAAATAAAAATAAAAATTTAATAAAATCCTGTGCTTCTCAACCTAATTATATATATATATTAAAAAAAGAACCAGTAACTCAGCTACGACCAACAGTCATATTACAAAAATTGAGCAATTTTCCAGCCGAACTGCAGGCTGTGTAAGTAGTAAAATATCTATAGAATGTTCAGCTAATGTTGTTTTTTCAGTATTGGTAAAACCTGGGGGCACTCTGAAAAATGATGAGCATGTTAGTTGGAGGTCTTTTTACATTTTTGTAAAAATAAATAAAACAAATTCCTTTTCTTTTTTCTTTTTTTTTCAATGATTTATGGCATTATTACTTTTTAATACTGCACAAAAGACACGTTTGAGTTCTCTCTCCTTCTAGTCATGGTTGTGCTGTTTTCAATAGAGCTCCAGGACTTTATAATGAAAAATGAGCCTGCAGTGAGCAAAAATCTGACAGAAACTCCTCAGGGTTCAGAGCGTTAAGAAAGTTTAATTTTACATTCAGTAATGATGGATGTGTTTTGTTCCCAGCTGCAAAGTTCTCTGAATTTGACTCACATCTCTCACTGGTTTATTCTCCATAGCAACAGTGGCTGAGGCTTATGAACAGCCACCCGCAGGAGCAAACAAAAACCCCCAAACACCCCAAAAAAGCATGAAGCAGAGAGAACGAAGAAATGCTTCTGCTGGATAAATGACAGAAAGAATTAACCAGCAATACGACGGTTTTGTTGGTCCAACATATTTTAGTGAAGCCTGTTTTTTTGTGGTAATACAGTTGTCCCCAGTCCACCACAGGAAAGAATAAGCATGCTTTGCTATTTGAGAACTGATATTAACTACCATAAATCAATGTAATGATGATTTATGTTGTCAGAAAAATGTAATCCAGAGGACAAACTGTAACCATAAACACTGATGTGCAGCAGCCAACAATGACATTTTAAGTGCACAAACAGGAAATTGAGAGGTATTTCCTGCCCAAATTACCATGTGACACATTGGCTACTGTGGTGAATTATCTTTGTCACACAAGATCTGTGGTACTGAAGTGAACAAGCATCATCAACTTCCTGGAAAAATAAAATCTTTGTTGAGGTTTGAAACACGTAAAATGATCAGGTGAAAAACCAACTAACCATTGCAAAGCCGGACAGCAGTGCGGAGGTCCTGCTGGAGGCCTTGAGCTTGGCCCGGCTCAGGTAGAGTTTCCTCCAGGACAGGGCCTGCACTGAGTGGTGGTTGGAGCTCACCAGCTCCAGGTAGCTGCGTCGCACCCAGTCCCTGTAGTCCATCCCGCCGCTGTCCGGAGCCCGCTCTGAGACCCCCGGGGCCGGGGAGCCCATAGGGACGTTCAGCTCGCTGCTCATGGCACCTGGGGGAATAAACAGGACAGATGTGAGCTCCTCCTCACCAGGACTAGACAAGAGACTGATGCAAGCTGTGTGGATAAACCAGAATCACATAACAGGCAAAATGCTCCCCCTATCAGATACTGTATGTGCCTGGTTATGCAAAGATTATGGTAAATCAACAAGACAACCTCAGGTCGGATTCAGTTTTAAAAGTTGTGCAGGCATTTCATCAAGGTTATGCCGAGGAACGCTTACAATAGGACAAGTGTGAACAATCATTTTCATTATTTTCTCCATTATTCAATAAGTTGTTTGTTCTATTACATGTCAGAAAGTGGTGAAAAGTGTCCATCAGTGTTTCCTAAAGCCCGAGAAACCATCCATAAATGTCTTCTTTAGTCCGCAGCCCAAAGATGTTCAGTTTACTGTCAGAAGAGTAAGAAAACTGGAAAATATTCACATTTAAGAAACTGCAATCATAGAATTTAGACTTTTTTTTACCCTAAAAAATTACCCCAACTGATCAATCCAGTGTCAGATTAGTTGACAATTAATTTAAAAGTTGACAGATAATTGGTTAGTTGTTGCAGCTCTAGTCTAAACTGCATGTCATCACATTAACATCAGCCTACAGCAACATGAGATAAAGATAAAATCGGTGTAAATGCATACCTTTTTAAAAGCACTGCAATTAATTAGTCAATTAATGACAATTCCTTGGCAATGAGGTCATTTAAAAAGCTTAACGCACCATAAAACACTGAGAATGAGACAATTTTAAGTTGGTGTACAGGCTGCTATTTCAAAAATTCTCAAATAAGTTATTGAATTTCTGTAATGAATGACACATTTTGTAAGAGAAGAAGAGCTTCCTGTGTGGTCAAAATAAGTTAAAATCCCTGATGCCGACAAGCACTGCGGCTCTCAAGTCACTTACATTTGAACAATGCTGTGACATTTACGTGATTTAATGTGTATTTTTGTACCGTGGACCAACGCCACATATCAGATAAATGTTGTTTGCCAGCTTTTGCCCCTACATGGGCCTTCGAAGATATACACAGCTCAACAGGAAAACACAATGATGGAATACGATCCCCCAGTTTGTTATCTTAGGTATTATGATAATAACCCAATAAAACACTATAAAAGAATCTTTATATGAGAATGTGATCTGAGTTGTTTTTCCTCCTGCCCATCAATCACTGCAGCGTCATGGTTTTATTCTTGCTGAACAGTGACTTTGTCAAAATATTCCCACAACCCAGGCTGAACTTTTTCGGGGGACATAACATTTGTCTGCCAAAAGACTGTTCTACTGTTGACAAAGAGCCAGAGGAGCTGAGGAGGGACTTCTGAGATGGGAACAGCAAAGGACTTTTATGAAGAAAACGAAAGGCAATAAAGCAACTGTCAGAAGTCCAGCAACTGATAAATGACAGCACCATAAAGTAAACAGCTGATAATTTGACTCGTTACACTTCAGCTTTTATTACAGGGGGGTTAACGTCAGCTAATTTAGCAATATTTAGCTATTTTGCTTCCATACTTTATGGACCCCTTGTGTAGACTTTCATGGATTTTTCTCTTTTATTTTTCTTCAGGTTTGTTTCCATGGTTGTGGCCCCAAAACTCTTCATGAAGCAGCATACAGCAGTATTTTGGACAATAGTGTGCTTCAGACTTTATGAAAAAAGTCTGATCCACTGAGATGGATTTACCACTTTACTGGGGAAGAACTTGACTTCATTGCTAATTATTCTGCTAAACATTTTCTTGATTATTCAGTTTGTTGTTTGAGGTTGAAAATGTCAAAAATCTGTCTCTACCAAAGCCCAAAACGACGTCCTTTAATGTATAGTTTTGTCCACAACCCAACGATGCTCAGATTACTGTCATCGAGAAGAAACAGGAAAATATTCACATTTAAGAAGCTGGAGTCAGAGGATTTACACCTTTTTTCTTGAAAAAATAAATCTATCATTCAATTATCAAATGTACATTGATTAATTTAATAGTTGACAAATAATTGCTCATCCGCTTGCTATTTTAGCTGCAACTGTGTCCCAACACCAGTGAGATTATTTGAAATGCTGACAGTGAGCCAGGTTTGATCACAAAACGTCACCAGCTAATGTTTTTGTTGCTGATCTGAAACATAACGACGCACACAGCTGCTACAGAACATAACGACGCACACGGTTGTGGAGTGATGTGCTCAATAAGAAAATCCTACAACATGTGTAACAGAGGCACTTCCGCTGTCTGTTCTTTATAATTAAATAAAGTGAGGTGAGCGTGGTGGTGCCACTTCTTCTCTATGGGAGGCCCGAGGAGATGTTGAAGGTCTCACTCTGTTCCCAGGCAGCGTGGTTTGTGTGGCCACATGGCATTTTATGAGGGGCTCACTTTGCTGCTGCATGGAAGAAATATGCCAATGTAGCAGCAAATACTTGACGTCCAAACTCTGTTTCCTGCCGTCTTTATTTAGTACATTTTGTCTGTAATATGTGTTTTAGTCACGTCCCTATTCTGATCTACTGCGGGGAATCGGTAGCCTTATTCGTTAGTGAAACCCAGCTTGTGCATTGGTTATACCCACGAGTGAATTCATCTCAGTGTCGTTTAACGTGCTGTGTGACAATTCAGGGTGCAGTGAACTGTGATTTGCGACCCCTCTTGGGTTCTCACTTACAATTAAGGTATTAGTGTTAGAGTTAGTCCTTGTAAGATGAACAGGAACAAAGGCGTAATCTTCAATCAGACATTGTGGGGGCACGCAGGTTTATTTACCACTATTACACTACATTATTAAAACGCTAAAATGTCATCTTGTGCGTCATCACAGGCTTATCCTTATAAAAAACATGCTGTCAGCTCTGATGGGGCTCAGGAGGATTCAATCACAGGAGCTTTAACATAAATAACTCCTGGAATCTGTGTAATGTGTGTTCCTGAAGTTACAGCTGCTGTGCATAAATGTACACATCCCTCGTAATTTAAAGAAGCATTTATCCTCTCTGCTGTCTCAGGGATGCAGCAAGTCAAATGAAGGGATCAGCAAATGGAACACAGTAGATGTATTGAGGTTTCTGCAAAATCCAGAATTGCTTTCAGTGACACTTTAACACCAAAACTGTTCAGACATTAACCTGACACGATTCAGATCTCAGAGTCACACTAGTAGGTGCGTTTTGACATGTCAATATGATATGTAATAGACACCCATGTGTGACATAGTGCTACGTGCTGAAAGACCAGAAACACCTGATGAACCCCGGAAACGCCACTGATGCTGCATCCAGACGCATCAAGTGGATTTCCTGTGCGTTAATAGAAGTGTAATAGATTGCCTATGATACAAGAGAGAAGCAAAAGAAGCAAAATGCATCTCTCCATGTGTACGTCTGCTGACTAAAGATGCAAACAGAGGTTATTAAACTCCCTGCAGGTTTCATTCTTACAATTTGCAATTTCATCTAGCAGACACTTTTATCCAAAGCGACGTACATCTGAGACTAGATACACATTCATACACCAATGGTGACAAAGCTGCCATGCAAGGTGCTGCCTGCCATTGGGAGCAACTTCAGGTTCAGTGTCTTGCCCAAGGACACGTCGACTGTGGAGGGGCGCAGGATTGAACCACCAACCTTGCGATCAGAAGACAACCGCTCTACCACCTGAGCCACAGCTGCATTAGTGCAGAAATATGAAGTAAAGCCTGAAACACTGGAAACTCTTTTGCTCATTGAAACAAGTTCCTTCACTGCCTGTAATATATTCATTAGCTGTAGGCATCTGGTAATGTGCAACAACATGTTCTCCCCTCCCTTCGACGCTCTACGTTAAGTTATTCTCTGTTCCATTAGATTTGAGGACCACAAATATGCAGAGTTTTAGATATTAAAGGGGAAGGATCAGTGGCCCCCAGGACCTACAGGGCAGACCCAAAGCTTTGTCACTGTGTTCACTGCTGCTTCATGGGTGCAACCAAGTAGAATTGGGATATAAATGGGAATTATTGCATAACTGGGAGGGATGTCACAGACTTCCTTACTAAATTGTATTAGACTGACAGGAAATAACAACATGACAAAGTTCATAAAAGGCTATCTAACATAATTTCCACTGTGCATTGTGGGGCACAGATTGGCCCTAGAATTGGACCTCTTTACATGATGTTACCTGCATTTTTTTGTTGCAATAAATATCGTCACTCACGCAGCTACATTTCCCTGTCAGTAATATTTAACGTTTGGCATCAGCACCTGGACGCTACAGGGTTGTGTGATATCGTAGTTATTGTTACTATTGTTGTTGCTATTATTCAAATGCATAGGTTTATTATTATTGTTCTCCGGCAAATTGAAATGCAAATTAGAGGGCCTAAACATGCACGCTGGATCAGAGCCTCGCCCAGAGCACGTTTCTGCCAAACCCTGATGTGTGCGAAGGTCGACAATCGTACAGCAAGGACCCGACCATCATTGCTTGCAGCTTTAATGATTATTACCATCCTTTTGCACAACACACAGTTACTTCTGTTATTTACACTACATGCTGGGGGATTTTGCAGTTGGCTCACTTAAATAGGCATTTTTATGACTTTTAAAATGGCTTTCTTTTGCTGCACTTTTAATTCAACTTGTAATATTTGCTTTTTATATTATTTTATCCTTGTTTATTTTTATGATTACCATTGTTCACAGCCATGCACCACAAAGGGAAAAAAAAAAACTACATGGTCATAGTTCTCTGATGAATCTGATGAAATGTCCATGCAGTTTTGATCAGATAGTGCAGTTCCTGCTGCAGCACAGTGTTTGTCTATGTAAAGTTCTGACACTTTACTCGCTCCCTGCTCATCTTACATAATGTGCAAACACAAAAACACTGGTTTTCCGAACGAGCTTTCGCAGGTAACCACAACAGCAAGCCACACTGGTAGAAGTGAATAACCAGTGCATGACTGCAAGAGTATTATGCATGTAGGTGAGAGCTTCACAAATGATGTACAGTGCTTAGCAAATGTATGACCACCTGTCTAATTTGTCAAGCACTGTATATATATATATCTAAATATAGACCATCCAGTATCATGAAGTGCTTCAATGCGTACTCAGCTCTTGACGTTTTACCATTTTGACTAGGAATGAGGAACTTCAAACTGAATTTTTATACCCACATTGAGCCACTGGGCTTCTCTGAGAAGTCCGAAATTAATCAAGTATAACGCTCAACCACTAAAACTAGTATTTTCTGTTCAGGAATGCGAGTAAATCACTAAACAACTACAATTTGGCACCTTAGTCAAGAAATAATAATGTGCTTTACTATTTTTTCAGTTCACTTAATTCCTGGATAACAATTATAACTATATTTTAGCATTAAAAATATCATTTCAGTGAAAGAGCTTCTACATACTGGTTTATTAACCATTACAGAAAGGTAAGAAATGATTCTGGTAATTACTAATGCTGTTAATTTAGGGCATAAACCTTGCTTTGGGTGGTGGTCTAACAAAGTTGTTAAGCATTGTATAATCCTAAGAGCTTCAGTAAAAGCAGTTGGACCTCCAAGATCCTTCTTAAATTGTGGAAGTGAAAAAGCCTTTTAGATATGAGAAGATGAGATGAGCTGGTTTTTACTGAAGTTCTCAGGATTTTTATGACCTGGATGACTGAGAATCTACACAGATGAGTGTTTGTAGTATATATAGTTAATATGCAGAGCTAAAGTGATGCATTTATAAATGTTAGGTATAAATGTAACACACTTTGGGCATCTCCCCTGATTGGTTTTACAGCGCCAACAGTTCAGCACCTTCACGCCTCCGTGTATATTTAGAAAACTGGCAAGTTAGCAGGATCCGTTTACCGAGTTTAGCTAACAAGAGCCGGTCCACCGCCGGGCTGCGGCTATTTCTGTCTACGTTAGAGGCAGAAATATGAAAGCTAGCATTTCTACAAACTGTCCCGGAGCTTTAAATTACACTGAAATCCAACTCGGTCACGGTCAGAGAGTTTAAAGAGCTAAAACAGCATCCAGACAACGCAGGACTCCCCAAAGCTAGCTAACTTAGCTAACGCAGCTCCTCACCAAGTTGTCCGAGCGCTAGCACTTAACTTGACTTTATTTAAATATCTCACCTGTCTGCGGAAGTGACTTTTCAATGAGAGACTCCTCACAGTCTTCTCTCCACGTTTCAGGAAGGTAAACAGATTAATTTCAAAAAATAAAAACAAAAAATGAACCTCTGCGAGTGTTTTTTTTTTTTCTTTAATCGAGCAGCTTCAGCTCGTCGGCTGCAGGTGTCAATAACGTCCCGGTTGAGCTCCAGAAGCAGAGCCAGAAACGGTGCTGCTCTCCTCCATACCTCAGAAACCCGCAGGACGGCTGAGCTCGCTGCCGAGTGACTCCAGTCGGTTCACCTGCCGTAGTTTTTGTCGGTTCGGGTGGTGCTGAGCTGCCGAGCAGAGAGACGGAGAGGAAAACTACATCCTCATCTGGAGGCTGCAGGCTGGGGGAGCGGCCTTCAAAGTAAAAGCACGCAGAGTAAGGTTTCAGAAAAAAAATAAATAAATAAAAGTCCACATCCACGGGCGTCTTATCACAGGGGTGGGGCAACTAAATATCACGGGATGGAAACCAAAAGACAGAAAAGATAAATTAATTCGGGAATTCTATAATGCTGCTGTAGAATAAAGGCTGGTCGAGAACTATGTTAAGTGCAAAGAAGGGGGAAGTGAAAAAAAAGTCTTACAGTCGTCCTCAAATATATTAGTGGACATTACTGAGTGAAGTGAGTAAAGTGAATACAGAAATGAATTATTCTGTCTCAGTCAACAGCAGCCTTCTGCTAGTTTTTGAAACTTTATTTTACATTAACTACAGATATTAAGAAAAAATCTGTCTCTCTCTATACACACACATATATATATACACACACATATGTATATAGGATAAACAGAAACTCGGGAACATTGTACTAAAAGTGTAATAGAATGTAATGTAATAGAAAAGCACTCCTTATTTGTTTATCAAATTAGTTCAGGCATGTGTTTTGTTTTACATACTGAGACCATTTTGTCCGTCTTCTTTCATGAATGTAGTCATTTGCTTGTTTCCTATAATTTATCTCTAGTTTATATTCAAGGACATGATATTTCTACTTAAAAGTATCAGACTGGAAGAGTTCTTCAAGAGTTAGTGTATCTCTACAAGTGCTAATCATGCAATATCAAAATAACATGCAGTTATACTTCTTATTAATACATTTTTTTCAAAATCAAACAATCTTTCTGAGGTTGGATTTTTAACACAGTCAGATAGACGTCCAGGCGCAGCAGCTGATATTATAAATCCATGTGCTCACATTTGCTTGTTTAGTTGAATAAATCGCCACAGAAGAGACACAAACAGCATCAACATGTTCAATCTATCTGCTGCAGTGCAACAGGGAGGTCATGCATAATGCTTTTTAGTGGCTAAACTCAGTGTTTGTCTTCATTTGGACACTGGGTGGAGCTGCTCAGTCATTCAGCTTAGTTTGCTTTTAAAGACAGACTGAAGAGAAGGAGGCTGACACTGAATGAAGTTTGATGATGAAGATATAACACACAACGTCACTCATTTTTGTCTTTTTAAATTTTTTATCAATGTACCGCAGCACTAAGGAGGAAAAATATAAACTTGCACTCACTTTCTGCATCATTTAAATTAGGTTTTAAAAAGTTATTTTTCTACAGCATCACCAGTAAACCCAGCTTCTGCATGTTTTATGGGCACTGAAATTTAAGGCTATGTTTGAACAACAGTATCTCAGGAACTATGAAACTTTTTTTCCCATCAAGCCACTGATTCAGATATTTTCTCAACCATGAGCAGTTACCCGCCACAACTTCACAAAAGAAAACATATAGAATACATTTCATTATGAAATATTTCACAAAAAGTAAAGAGAAAGTTTGACAACTGATTGAGCAGGTATGTCAAGGTGTAAGTCTGTATGTCATGAAAGACTAAAATATTGCTAAATAGTTTAATCCAAATAAGATCAGATTCAAAATGCTTCTTAAATATAACTAAGAAAAAGATATTTTTACATGGCTGTGATGATTTAAGATGAAATAACCAAAAAGTGATTTACTGTCGCTCAAATATCTGAACTGACGGTCTTGATGACTTCCTTTAGAAATCTCGTGGGGATTATTGATCATTTGATGCTGTTGCCTTCTTTTCAGAACATGAACTTATTTCAACAAGCCAAAACAGCCGTAAATTAATCTTTCAAGTTTAGTTAGACTCTAGATCAATTATAGGTTGTTTGGTTTTGGTTTTGGAGCCTTTCTTTTGTTTAAATGTTTGTTATATATAATACTATAATGACTGTTATTGTCCTTGTTTATGAGTTATTTTGTCCAAATGAGGAAATTGGAACCGTTTATTTGGCTCTGCAGATTGTACAGACTCTTTATGTGACAGAAGGTGATCAGGAGAATTTACTGTACTTTTTTAAAATTGTATTTGTCTTTCTCACAGCCTCAACGTTTTTGTGTGTGTCCATAACCCACTTATCTGTGTTTTTCTTTCGGTCAAGTGCGTGTTAGTTAAACCAGTTCAATGGGTTCAACCACCTCGTCTCAATGGGTCAGTCCATTGACTAGAAAACTGTATATACTTCAGCCGAAACAGACAGGAATGCAGTGCTTTTATTTAGTTGTAAATTCACATCTTGGATGTTGTATCAAAGGAATGCAACTGCACATAAACAGCATGCTAATGGCTGGTTGCACGGATCCAATTTAGTTCAAGGTGAACCTGTACCACCAAGTACTAGGTGAAACAGATAAAGAGTCAATACTGAGCGTACTTTTATGTTTTAAGAACATCCTTTCAAATCTCAGATCTCAAAAGCGTTATCTCAGTTGTGTGGCTGTAAACTGACCCAGTAAGCATTTGAGTCTCACGATCCAACTGTGAGTTGAGCTTGAACTGCGTATTGATTGGCATAAAGTGAGAGCCATGTTTGTTTAGGTCTGTTTGTGTCGATCTTCTGTTTACCTTCAGTTCAGGGCTGTGATCTTTTCCTCATTCTGGACTGTAAAAACAGCAGCAACCGAAACTCAACTGCAACACAAACAGTCTTCAAACGCCAGCAACTGCTCTTGAACTGACAATTCGTGTGTCAGTTAGTAATTTGATAAAAGACAGATGGAACGAACCTAAACATCTTTAGAAAAGCAAGTTCTTAGCAATAAAGGTACCATATGATGAAAATGAACTTCTACTGTGTAATCTGAAGGTGTAAAGTAAAAGCTGTTACCATATAAAGCTTTTCACTTTTGCCATTCCTCAGCCTGTCTCAGCAACAAGCAAAGTTCACAAAATGTTCTGCTGTTGGCCACAAGAGTGAACACAACTGTTTTTATGCACTCCCAGCATCTGAGGAAAAACCCTAAGTGTTAGCATGCTGTGCCACTAATGTTATCAGAAGCTTTGATGTGCCCACAGGTCAGAAATCTGTGGAAGCTGTAGAGCCGAAGGACATTCAGATGACTTATTTGAAATCAAAAACAAGGACTGTGTGGGTTACTGTGTTTAATTTCACATGTGTTTACTTCTCTCCTGTTCTCTGTGCTGACATGCTGCATTTTAATACAGCTGTATTCCTAATAAAGTAGTTACCATTTACATATTTTTAATAGTGACTTCATTCAGCAAGGAATCTTCCTCAGCAAAAAGACTATTCACCTGGAAGCTTATTGTCTTATTCATGCAACAGTTGTGTTAGTTTCACCTCAGATGTCTATGGGGTTCACATGATGGGAGAAAAAAAAAGAGTTCAACAGACAGCATGTAGAAAAAGTCTGCTTTATTTCCAAATAAAAAATAAACTAGATACAATTTTGGTGCTTTCTCTGAATCAGTTAAAATGACATCAAGTCGACTCACTCGACTGGTCTCACAACTGCATATGGATGATGAACTGCAAACACCAAATTTTCACACTTTCATTTTAAGGCACAATACGATTTTGGAAATGTGTCTGAACTAGTATTAGGAGGATATTTTGATTTGGTTACACGTCACACACGGTGGTGCATCAGCTAACAATCAACAGACTACAATGAAACATCAGATGATACAGTACAGTGAGAGGTATTGTAGAGGACTTAGGTTAGATGCGTCAGTGTCGGCTTAGCAAACAGTGGACATTTAAATTCTCTCACTTGATCGTTGAGTATCAGCATCAATAGGTTTCATATCTACTCAGACACTTTTCAAACATGCCAATATGTCTGGTCAATCCTAGCATATAAATGAATGGATTTACAACTTGTATTTACATTTGCATCATGTTTCTATACAGTTTTCATTTACAGTCTCTCCAGTTATCTTTCTCTTATATTTGGTATCTTACTGTTTTTATTGGGATAATGTCACAGACTGGACTGAAAGCTGCAAACAAGACAATTAAAGGGTATTTTTGAGTCATTTTTAACAAATGTGCACATTTACGTGACTTTCCTACATGAGTTGCTGTCAGGGTGATGTGAATGTGTGACATCCTATACGTTTGAAAAACACACCATTTGTAGAACACATACAGACAGATAACTTTAACAGTTTTTCGTTGTGTAATTGTGTTGTGGTTGCCATCATTTTTTGCACCTAAAATGCCACAATTACAGTTTAAAAAGCTTAAAAAATGATCAGCACACTCTGACAACAGATATATTGGTTGAATACACTGTGAGGATCCATCTAATTGGATTTAAGCAGTGAGGGAGCCATATTTAAAGGTGCGATGGAGTGACAGTGACCTCAGACATATCCTGTGATGTCATATCCTGCTGCTGCCGGTTTCTTAGCTCCCTGGACTCCATGCGTACTCGTTCCTGAGCTGCCACTTGCACTGCGGATCAGTGTTTGCCCCCTGCCGCCGGTGCTGGTGCCCCCTACCTGCAGGGTGGGGTTGCGGTAGGTCTGTGAGGTGGTTCGTACTCCTGCGCTGGAGATGCCGCCTCCTACTGGATATGGATATCCGGCGCCATGTCGCCTCCCGCGGCCGCCATCCTGCTCATCACAGCAGGACACGCACAGCATCCCTCCTCCCAGCATGGTAATAAGTGCGGAGGCCAGACCGACGTACAAACACTCTCCCAGCTCAAACTTCATGCTGGCTGGTACGTTTGGGCGATAGAAGGTCTGGACCACCTCGTGTGTGGTCCACGCCACAGGTATGAGAGCCAGAAAGCCGGCAGCGACAAACAACCCCCCGCCGGCACCCGCCACACGGCTCTTAACAGCACCCGAGCCATCCAAGCAGAGAGTGCACTGCATCCCCAGGACGGACATGGCGATTGCGAGGATGGACAGCACCAGGGAGATGACCATGAGGGCCCGAGAGGCCTGCAGGTCAGAGGGCAGAGCCAGCATGGAATTGTAGGTCTCACACTGGAAGGCCCCGGTGCTCTGATAGACACATTCCATCCACAGGCCCCTCATGTTGGCCACAGCAGTGACGATGTTGGAGCCGATGTGTGCAGAAATCTGCCAGTAGGGCAGCACTGTGGCAACCAGGGTGCCCAGCATCCCCAGCAAGCCCAGGAAGAAGCCCATCAGCTCCAGAGCTGCTGATGCCATGACCACAGCTGTGATAAGACCCTAAAGCAAACACAGGGAAAGAAAAGATTTTAGATATCGAAATATCTGGCTTGCAAATAGCTTCCAAGTATTTATTGCCACTGCGTAAACAAACAAATACATATGCTGTCAGTAGTTCAAGATAATCAAATCCACATTTTAATTGAGGCTGTTAATATTTTCAACTATTTTAGCCAACTTTGCAAGCTTTCAGTGTCATAAAAATGTGATTCATGCCCATTGTATTGGAAGATCACTGTGAGTAAAACAAACTCAGATAAGTTGTTAGCCATTAAAATATGCAAAGATGATGTAATACAGGATTTCAGTTACAACTTTGATTGTTGATCCTAACAGTTTGCCTTGCAGTGACTGTTTATGAATAATGCTAAATAAATGCAAACTACACCAGATAAAGAGCAATAACTATTAAAAACAGCTCTACTGTGGTCAGCATATTATATTATCGTCACCAAAGTAGTTTTATTCCATAAAAAACTGTCAAGAGCTTAGCTAGCCTTAGCAACAGCTTTGTTAGTTTGCTAACTGTCAGGAATGACAAATAATAAAACAGCAGCTACTACAACAGACAACTGTTCTGACATTAGCCGAATATTACACCTGATAACCTAATATTTGGTATATTGCTATAAATAGCATCACTGGTATTCTGATTGGTCATATTAATTCTAAATGTAAAAAAAACAAACAAATACACATGCTGTCAAACTCAGTGGTTTGAGGTGATCAAACTCACTTTTATTTGACGCTGCCAGTATTTGCAACTTCTATGACCAAATTTTCAACATCATTCAAAAATGTGAATTTCTGCTTTAACATGAATGCCCGATTAGATAGCTGTAAATGGATTAAACTCAGATGTTAGCGATTAAAATATGGTAAAATGATTTAATTAACAATTTCAGTAACGACTTTGCCTTGAAATGATTGCAAATAATGCTAAATAAACACAAACTACACCAGATACAGAGCAGTAACTGATAAACACAACTGTATTTTAGTCAATATATTATAGCGTGTTCACCAAATATTCTGTTAAACACGTGTTTCTTACTGAAATGAATACTTTCAAATAGTGTCTAAAATTGTAACTTTAGCGAACCTAACTTTGTTAGCTTGCTAACTGTCAAGCACGGAAAATTAATAAAACAGCAGCTACTATAGCAAACAACCATTCTGACTTTAACCGAATAATACACCTATAGTATAATATTAGGTATTACATTATGAATAACAAAGCTAGTTTTCTGAGTAGATGTGTTTACTAATTATTAATTACCAAGCTAATGTGCTGTCAAGCTAGCTCTGAAAAGTGGATGAAATTATTTTTTTTCTTTTGAATATTCTCAGTTTGTTTTCCTATTTTATTAATCTATATTTCAGACTACAGTCATTCAAATAGGATTTTATACTTCATCTACATAAATAGAACAGAAAAACAACGCTTTTTTTTCATTATTTCCTCAACTACTAGCCTTGTATTCACACCTGAATTAACCTTGTAGTCATCACACAAGAGGCAAACTATACATTTCAATGACAAATCACATATTGTTAATAAAGGAGGAAGTGTGTGCAGCCAAACATTTGTCTCTGTTTGTCATCTAATCAAAATCTCCACCACTGATTGCCAGACATCAGTAAAAACTTACATCTAATCCAGTTTCACCACCTTTAATATAACTTACCTGCATATTACATTCCGTTTGCTGCATTCAGTTTCACACTCAGATCACATTCCATCTGGATATACACAGTAATATGCAAAACCCACAGCCCACATCCATGCATTACCTGAGAGCGCTGCAGGTTACAGAAGTGCCAGTCGATGGACCAGTCCAAGATTTGATTATGTTTCTTTTGCTGCAGGAGTTGAAGTTGCAGCTTGAGCGGAGGAGGGTGAATATACAGCACAGCCTGTACAGATTGTATCCAGCGCTGGTATTTCTGCTGCTCCTGCTTCTCCAAAGTAGAAAATGTTTCTTTTTTTTCTTGCTCTATCAGACTCTTACTGCTTCCTCAGACCTTGACATAGTCGCAGCTCATGTGCTTCTGCTGCTGCTGCTGCTGCTGCTGTACTTTTTAAATTATTATTCTGCTGGCTGGATTGAACCAAGGGAGCCAAAAAATACTTTCAGAACAAATGCCGTTGAAGAAGAAATACAGTCCTTTGAGTTCAGTGTTGTGGCTGTTGCAGGATATCCAATTAGAACAACAATAAAGCAGGACGAATGCTGCTGTTTCTGCTCTCCGTCTGGGTCAGATGCTCTGCTGTCTTTGTTCAAATGAGAGTCCGTCATCCAGACCTTCACCTATTATCCTGCACACACTGACATCTCTGATAGTGACACACATCCCGGTTGCCAGCCAGGTTAATCATTCTCTCATCCGTCATTTCGCCAAAACAGACCTTTGGTACATCGATGGCAGCAGGTCGGCCCAAAAACAGTTCAGCAGACCCCTGTGAGAGAATGACATTTTCTGGATATTAGTTTTCTGTACAGTAGAGTGGGAAAAAAGGTTTAATTCAGCAAAAAATATATAATCATCACTTTTCGTTGAGCTCAAATCAGGTATCCTTTCATGTTTTGGGGGAAAAATGTCTCGCACTCTGCAGAAATCCCCCCGAAAAACTGCTTGTGAAGATGTTTTCTTTCAGTTCTAATTAAAATCAGCAATGAAATGAAACACCCTGAAGAAAGGAAAAGAGGAAAGCTGAATAATAAAATGTTTTAAAATAATTTGCTCTTATATAATAGAATTTGATGACATTTTGTTGCAGTCACCAAGGAGTCAACAAGGAGTTAATTGGAACATTGCAAACTCAGTCGTGACTGTCTTCATTAAACCAGATTAACTAGTTCAGTCATTAGTTGTTGTTTTATTTCACATGTTGATTTCGAGTGAGATTTCCGTCCACTTGCATTTCAACAATACTGAATAAAAGGCTATCCTAGGATTACAGACAGATTTTTTATTAAATTCACAACTTATTCGTCTATAATGAAAATCCTCCATTGTTTTAAAAATTCCCTCCCATAGAAAGCGATGTCTTAATCACAGGAAATTAGCATTATTCTAAAAATAAAGTACATTTTAAAGCTATGTATTGGTGTTTTTTGCCCATCAACAAGCCATTTTCATTTTAAAAAAAATTCTTTAAACACTCTTTATGCTGTATTTCACCTTTCTCTTTTTATTTATGCATTTCATTCATTTAGTGACATAACTGTTGCATAAAAAGTCAAATTTAAAGATATTTGTGTCAAATTTGAACAAAATTACAACTGAGATTGTGATGTAGTGATGAGGTTAGATGATGTTTTTATGATTGTGTTAACTAGAATGTGCCACAGGAGGGTATTAGGGCCTTTTACATGGTTTAATTATGATCAGTGACTAAATTAATATATTTTAAAAGGCTATTAGGAGGCTACTTTGCTGCTCTGTGTGCAAATGTATCTTAATTTTCATCTGTTTTTAACTGAATAGAGCTGTATTTACATCAAACAAATAAGAATATAAGCTCTCAATCTCAAAACAGGAAATACATTTAAAAAAAAAAAAAAAATTTAAAGGTCTAATAAGACCTAATGTAATGATTTTTAAAATTATTTTGTTTTTTATTTTTAGTTTATGGATATATTATATTTTTAAAATGCTTATTTTGTGAGTTTGTAGTAGTTTTTAAAGCATTTAATTAACCGTAAATGTCTCAAATTATTTTCAAATCACCTTGTTTTTCATCTTAGTCTGAGATAATTTATTGTGAATTTATTGCTCTGTTAAAGTTTCATTAAAACAACTTATTCTTCATAGAGGAATACCTTCTTTGATCCTATTCTACTTCTTTCTCATCCTATTTATACATTCAGCTAATTTTTTAACAGTCAAATTTAAAGATAAATTCTGTGAAATTTTAACAAAACTACAACTGAAATTGAGTTGTTATGAGGTTTGAAAAGTATATATATTTTTAAAAATTGAGTCTGCTAATATATTTTTAAAACAGAATTTTATTCTGTGAGCTTGTAGTGATTGTCAAAGCATTTATTGAACTGTCAATATCTAGAATTAGTTTAATGGCACCCTCCAGACTCCATACTCTAACCTTTTTTAGCTTGCCATAATATATTGTGAATTTACTGCTCTGTTAAACTGACACCAGACTTGGCTGCCTCCACTATGTGCTCATTTTTCAAATGTTTGCAGGGCTGTCAATTTAAAAAAAAACAACTGCTGCTGCATAATAAAGTTAGAAAAACAAACAATACATACCATGTCAGGGTGTCTCTGGATGACAGACAAGCAGATGTGTCCTCCCTTGTTGGGCGGTGTCATCTAAACTGTTTACAGCCATCACAGCCTGAATCAGTGTCAGTTATCGGCCCATTTGTGGCCGATCCGGTCGTCAAACTTGAGCCTTCAGTTTTTAATCCTTCCAAGCGGCCCTCACATGGCAGCAGCATCATAATGGGATTAGAGTGTAATCCAGTCACTTCCCCTACAAAGCAGACTGAGAGGCCAACGTCCACACACTCAGAAACACTGAGCCATTATTGTGAACCACAGAGGGGCTTTATCTGGACACGCTGCATATTAATGAGGCAGCTCAGGTTGGCCCGTGACCCTTTGTTATACTGTTGTGGTCAGTTACAGTGAATGAATGAAAAGAAACAGAAAATATAAAAGTTTTTAGTGTTGCAACTTTGAAAATCACTCGAGATTTCACGATATGGTCAAATATTGTATATGTGGCCATCTAAACATTGCACCCTTATGTAAGTGTTAAACATGTCATTCCATAACCAAGAGTATTAATCTGTTGCTTTTACAGCCTCCATGTTTCTGGGGAGGTACAAGATGTCACAACCTGGGATTTATTCTCATTCACTGGCTGCAGATGTTGAGTCACTTCATCCCAAATATGTAAACGGGGTTAAACTTGGGCCTGATTGCTTCTATCCATCCATCCATTT